GGCTATTCGGCGATAGATGGCGTTACTTTTACTGGCGTAACATTACGTTTTTACACCTTACGGCCCGCCGCCAGAGAAGAGTTCATCCATAATTTCTATAACCACCGCGTTCATCCACAGCGCGTTTTCAGGTATATTTTTTTGCAAAGCACCTTCCGGTTCTAGAATGAAATGACCTCCAGGGTAATTCCTAAACGCTATCACATGTCCTTCTTCGAATGAGGTTTTCAGGGCGTATCTAACAAGATACAATGACTTTGGTGGATTTTATCTGTCTACAATGGCAATACTTAAAAAAAATCTACAAAAGATGAGTGCTATCGAAAGGAGAATGCTTAGGGGGGTCGACGGAGCTACACGTATCTTTACTGGTGATAGGACCTCTTGTGAGTCCGCGCGGGTAGGTAACGTCACCCTGCCTATTTCTGCCGTGAAGCAGTAATGCAGTAAGGGTGAGGCAGCCGTTGTAACTATACTTGAGACCTTAGAACTTATATCTCAAGGTAAGTGGCGCATTTACGTCGTAGATGTCTATGGGCTCCAGTAACCACTTAACACCAGGTGGGCTGTGAGCTCCGTCCAACTCATATAAGCAATGAAAAAAAAACACGCGAAATCACTTTACATGACACAGCCCAAAGGCGATTATTGAAAATAAGATTAAAAAAACGGTAAAAACCGGTATTAGATTGATTGGATAAGCTGTTCTTTTTTTAAATTGAATTTGAACGAAAAGCGTACACAAGATGTATTGATTTCTCGAACATCGCAAGTATCCAACAGTGGACGAACGACCTGGCTGCTCTCTCCGGTCACGTGGAGAATAACGTCCGACGTTCAATTTGATTCCGAGATAGGATCGTTCCAGTCCCTATAGGAGCTAGAGAGTGCATTGACTCATTCTTGTTAATGACGTTGATCTTACCGTCTACGGCAAGTCGAGAAGTCGTTGAACTTTACACAGAAGCTTTCATACATAAACTTCAATATTAAATTTGCTATCGGTGCGTTACTTGTCACGTTTAAACAATTGACAATGTTAATACATTATTTGCCATACAACCATGAGCTTTCTTCAAACATAGCACCTAATTCTCATTCAGAATTATTTTGATTTGTCCATAATTTGTCCAAAATTCACAAAATCCGATTGGAAATTGAAAATAGTAACAGAATACTCCTGTCCGGCGTACTCAAATGGTCTTTATAGTCAGCATCTTTATGGCAGGGAATTTCCGTGGGAATTCTAATTAAATTTCTTGGTAAAACGTACAGTCTGCGACAATGGGAGACCGCGCTGTGTCCCCTAAAACTACCTACTGCCGTGCAAGCTAAGAGAGACTTTCGCATATCACAAACTTTTTTAAAGAAAATGCTTCTTTAAAGGTGTACAGGGAAGGAATTATAATTTGCGTAATTACTGGTGGTAGGACCTCCTGTAAGTCCACACGGGTAGGTACCACCACCCTGCCTATTTCTGCTGTGAAGCAGTAATGCGTTTCGGTTTGAAGGGTGGGGCAGCTGTTGTAACTATACTAAGATCTTAGAACTTATACCTCAAGCTGGGTGGCGCGTTTACGTTGTAGATGTCTATGGGCTCCAGAAACCATTTAACACCAGGTGGGTTGTGAGCTCGTCCACCCTTTTTTTCAACCCGAAATGAGTATCTACTTCGCGATGAAAATGTACTAATAGTTGGTCGTATCTACCGGTGCGTTATCATGATATGTCCAACGATTCTGATAATATATTTGAGAGCTGCTTATAGGCCTAGAAGGAAAGGACCGGAAAACCGTATTATTAACTCGTGCGGTCATACCACCAGTATAGAATATATATGTCTGAACTAAAATGATCCAATCACTGATGTGTGTCCATCTGTGAGATCGTCACCTCTGCAGTACAATAAAATAAATAAAAAACGTATCAAACAAATTATGGGTTGAGTGAAAACTCTTCTAACTTGAATCCTATTGGTGTACAAAGCTTACAGTCCAATTTGTTGAGTTGCTCGATTTACGATGGGCCTTTATGCCTCTACGTCGCTTTACCTACGTAACTTTGCCGATATCACGGTCTCGTTCATGAAAAGTATCTTAATTTTCGTCATTATAAACGTTTTAAGAGGCGATAAGGGAGTCCGATTCTTATGTTTTTCCGATGCATATCTATAGTATCAAATTGTTTTTAAGCTATTGCATACCTTTTATCGTGAGGTTTGAGCGCGGCGACCGAATCAAAAAATTCCGTAACGAAAATAAAACCTAACACCCTACTCCGCCTACCATGTAGCTCGCGTTCAAGCATCCGCACGTTGCGCTTGTGTGGTGTTTATGAATAAGCGCGCGGCGTGACGTCGCACTGCGTACGCATAATGAAGAGTCTGCCCATCTCTATCGCGCGGTCTAGCTTATGAGTGTGAAGGGGACAGTTAATGTTTTGCTTTTGTTAATGTTTATAAATATAACTTGATCTTATTTTTATTATTGTTTTAATATTAAATTATGATTGTCTAATTATAATTGCATTAGTTGATAAAAAATGCTATGCAATAGTTTTACCGCGACAGTCCCCGAGTGCAACACGTGTTTTTTTTTCTAAATGCGAACGAACTCACGGACTGTTGTTATAGAGTCACCACAAGCCATAGGTAAATGAGATCGAAGTGTTAAAAATAAACCGAATTTCGTATTTCAGATTACATGTCATTATATAGGTGACAAACATAAATAAATAGTGACAAACGTAAAAGCGTGCATGTCGAAGAATTCCAATGGCAATAACAATGTAGCTTTTGTTTATTCAATATAGATTTAATATGTTTGAAATTTGTCAATTTATAGAATAGGCTTCGATTAAAAATGCTATTTATTTGAAATACAAAACAACGTTTTATCGTTTCACTTGAAATATTTCATAAAAATAATCAATAGATCTTTATTAATTATTCTATAATAATCAATAGATCTTAATTATTTATTTTATAATACAAAATTGTTGAGTTATGATTTGTAAGCAATATTCCTATGTTTTTTATTATCAAATTCTAAATTACTTAATGTTATTACGTTATTAACTATGAAGTTACTGAATAAGAAATTTTGTTTGATGTATAATAAATATAAATATATAATACTTTTTAGTCGTAATTCCGATCCAGCGCGACGGCGGTAGATTTTGCGAAGCGCTGCTCTTGCTAGGGCTAGCGTTACCAAATTCTCTCAGGTTGAGCCTATGAGTTCACCTACCCATCCGGGCGTAGCTGAAATAGTCCCTTACGCTACTTGCGAATAGGAAGGTTCATAAAAAAATTAATGGCGGGCATTTGCGTCTGCGGTGGGTTTTTTTAACAGCAGACAAATCACGCCCGTTCATCCGGCCCCAAATTAAAATTTCTTGTGCTATGGATACCAGAAACTGAGATGCATTATAATATATGTTTAAATATATACATGCATATCTATATAGATATTAACACCCAGACAAAAAACAAATAGATCTGCTCATCACACTAATGTTTGCTCGAAGCGGAAATCGAATCCAAGACCTTCGGCGCAACCGTCAGGACCACTGACTACTGCACCATCGAGTCAGTATTATTAACATAAATCCATACATGTATAATGTATATAAACAAATACATGAACAACAAAAAAATATAAGCAAATTTTATACATATTTTCATTATGTAAACAGTGGGTTGACCCTTTTCCTATTATTAGATAAACGGAATCTAATTCATTTGGCCCTATCTCTCACGTACTATCGACTTTTAATTACCTAGCAACCTCTAGTTATGACAGAAGGTTTATGGAGAGTAAAAATAATGGCTATTGGCTACCATACAATCGATATATTGTCCTACCTGACCCAATTCCGGGGTACCGCCTTACGGGCAGTAAAACGACCTGCCTGTTTGACCAACCTATTTTACTGTCACGCGATCTGTATTTATCGTTAGCTTACATAAGATGTAGTACGGTTACAGAACATTCTTAGACTATTAAAGTTCAATGAAATAGTTTGGAGAAGATAAAATTTCAGAACACTTTCAGTTGGATCAATTGGTCACGTACCACTAATTATTATATGCTTAAGCAAATCATAATTTTTTGAAACGTTTTTATGTCTTTCAGAGATCAGAACCATCACAAAGATAATAAACAAAAACGAAGCAATTGTTGAAATAACTTTTTGTGTTGTCCAGCTGGAGCACTGGGTATGAATACTCCAGAGGGTCCCACAAACAAGTTCGAAAAGGAATGGTAGCGAGCGAGGTGCGGACGTATTCTCGTGTGTATGCTTCGGTGGTTGCGGGTGAACTGTCGGCGCCAGTAAAGGCGCACGCGCGGCTTGCCAAAAGGAAAGCCCCTCGGTCGCTACTCTTTGAANCGAGGTGCGGACGTATTCTCGTGTGTATGCTTCGGTGGTTGCGGGTGAACTGTCGGCGCCAGTAAAGGCGCACGCGCGGCTTGCCAAAAGGAAAGCCCCTCGGTCGCTACTCTTTGAATCGCGCCGGGAGCCGACAACGAGAGTCCCTGATTGGTCGCGGCGCGCGATCAGACGCGGCTGCCGATGCGGCAGGCGTTAGGGTTGCTATAAACTATTATAATCTACCTAAATTATATTCTACCTAATATTATCATTTAATATTATATCATCACTTCATCATCATAGAATATTTATTTCAAAATTCAAAGTCGAAGGTTAACATTTTATGGCCTAAGATTTGAAACTCAATGAAATGAAGAATCGAAAATTAAAAGACAAAATAGACACTTATAAGAGTTCTATTCTAGGAGAGTGTATAAAAACTGAAAATATACGAAAAGTTGTTTTTAAATTACTATTGAAAATTATGACAATTCTAGGTATTTAATCCACTTAATTAAATTTAATTTCATTCAATTACATACCACTTTTTAATAGAATGGTTGGATGCTAGATTCTTTTGCGTGACAAAATTGATAAAACAAACAGTCACTGAATTATGGCTGTCACTGTCAATCAACGATTTTGTTATCGCAAAAAACACGTAAATTGGGAAAGTCCTACAATAGTATACGTGATAAATTGTTGAAAACCCAACGAAATTTGTGAAAATGGCTTCGATACCTTTAATGTACGCCCAAGAAGACTGTGAACTAGGAGGGAAGGAATCTGTTGAGGTAATATTCTATAATATGAACAAAATATGGTGACAATAAATACAATTTAATACTATAGAATCATTTAATATTGCGACCTTCATCAGCAATGAAAACAAAATTGTAACCGTCTCTAATTTCTTTTAAGAACAAAATAAACCTTTCAATTTAAGATATTGAGATATTGTACAAGCATAAAAAAAATTACAAGAAAACATGCAGGAAGCAAAATGCCTTCTGCTTTCTTCTCTATATCACTAAATCTTATTTATTCTTCCCGTAGATAAGATAATAATAGTACTCAAATGACAATTACGATGCATTAAACCTATCCGTTCAGAACACTGTTTTTGCCTGTTTCTACACCAACAGCTGATACTAATTCATCCTAATTATTTTCGACATGTCAATAGTTAAAATTTTTGTTACTCTAACTGGGTAGTGTAGCCCTTCTTTCGGTTCTCTCTTCGAAGTTACTAAGATGATTCACCAAGATTCAGATATAGACCAGACTATAGTCCTGTTTTGCAAATTCCTGCTTTAAATTAATGAATAGTGTTGATATTGTTGGTAATTAGCAGGCAGTGGCTTGGCTCTGTCCCTGGCATTGCTGAAGTCCATGGGCGACAGTAACCACTCACCATCAGGTGAGCCATACGCAAAGTGCTTACAAGGGCAATAAAAAAATAATATTGTGTTACTGATATATACTTATACTTACTGCGCAATACTTTTTTTCATATATTTGTAAGTAAAACTATTGCTTGTATGTAATTATTTAACAAATTCTAGGATGACTTTGCATACCGCAACAATGTAATGAATGCTGAAAGGGAGATCCGTCTCGCCTTCATACGGAAAGTCTACGGTCTCCTGACAGTGCAGCTCCTGGCTACGGTCTCCATTGCGGCTGTATTTATGTTTGTTGAACCCGTACAAACATTTATACACACCAAGTATGTTTAATATCTTCCCTAAAACATATATTTTTAGTTGCACCCAATCTTCCTTGTATTTAGCTTCACAGAATACTTTAAATGTTAATGATATTGCGTGTTAAATTTGTCTGGGACAACCAGTTCCAAAATTGAAATTCAATTAAAAACAAAAGAAACATCGTACTTACATATTGCAGTGTTGCGAGCATTGCAAGATGACATTAAATTCACTAAAATACACTAAATACCTTAAAGGAAAGACTCTTCATATGCTTTGCTTGTGGATACCAAACCCATACTTGCACTAAAATTCTGAATGAAGAAACTTCTTGAGACTTCTTCGTATAATAATACTGAGAAGAATAAGGCAGCTTACATTCTAATGATATATGGCTGTGGCTTGAAAACACTTATAATTGAAAATAGCAAATAATATAATGAAAACAGAACTACTCAGAGAGGCCTTTGTTGATGCTGATGCCATTTTACACAAGGGTCCCATGTGTGTAACTAATTAAACAAGTAAATCTATGCAAGTCACATACATACTTTGTGCACTACAACTATTTGATGTATTAAATTGATCTAACTTATTGAATAATTTCATTGAATAAAAATGCAAATTTGCAACTGATATCTTAGTGTGAAATTGACAGTGTAGTGCAATTTTACAAACAAACACACACACACACACACACATAATCCTGTCTTTAATATTTGTGGTGCATTAACTGCTTGATTTGGTGGATGCTATTCAATTTATAACCAAAGCTATGCACTGTATTAAAAAACAATGCATGAAAACAGTATTTGAAGAATTTGTAGATTATGACTTAACAAACATATAAGTATGTAGCCTCAGTCAAATGCTTAAGTAGCTTAAGCTGTGAGACAACAAACTAAGCAACATGTAAATCAGAAAATATGCTACAACCATTTTATGCTTCCTTTAAATTTGCGTGATTTGAGGCTTGAACATTTAGTATAGGGTTTTAGTGAAGAGTATTTTTATTGATTTTACCGACAATAGAATTCAATAGAAAGTCTTAATAACATTATTCATAAACTGTAAATATGCCAACATATCTTACAAATGCTGTTGACGAAATTCAGGTTTTTTCAGACATATTTTGATGTAGTAATTTCATAACAATAAGTGAATTATCTGTAAGATTTGCAGAATATTTAATCATTGTCATTAAATTTGCCAATTACATGGATTGATAAAACTGATTCTATTAATAAGCTAAAAATACAACAAAATCACTTAAAAAATTGTCTTAACAACAATATCTTTCCAAAATTATTAGATCTGGTTATATTGCCTTTAAACTAATATTTAATATGATCACAGGCGCTCATTGACTCTGGCAACGTCAGAAGTGAAAGAGCTCACTCCACATTAGATTGCAAATGGACTTCTGTGAAAATACTACTGAATAACTGGAATAACAATTTGTTGCGTAAAATTTCAGTAATTGGATGATGATCATTGCTTTTATCCTAAGCATGGGAACTCTGATTGCATTGATCGTGAAACGACGTGATTCGCCCGCCAATCTATATCTCCTGGCTGCATTTGTAAGTCTCATATTGCTAATTGTTGTTATAGATTTTATATAAAAAATGTGTGGTGTCGTGGGACACCGGATAGGAACGAATTTCCTTATTATAAAAATATTAATTTTAAGTTCTATTCGTGGTACAAAGAAAATAATTATTCGGGTATGCATTTTTTATAATTATTTTTTTATAGATAAAGAAATCTTACGTTACGCACGTTTTTTCCCGGTTAAGGTACCCCTCCGCATCGTCCCATAAGGAACTTCGTTCCAATAATAATATAATTGCCCAGTAAATAGCCTGTTTGATTTTATTATTATTTTGTATACAAACAAATATGTATTATAGAATTGTATTTCGCTATTTTTACGTTTTTTTCAGACTGTTATCCAAGCGTACACCATCGGCGTTGTCATATCATACTACAACACCATGGTGGTGTTGCAAGCTCTAGCTTTAACATTCGCCGTCGTATTTTCTCTCACACTGTACACGCTTAACTCCAAACGGGACTTCTCATTCATTGGATACATGTGAGTATCACATTATTTTGAACAGTTTTAGAATAATAACGGTTGTTCAATTAATATTAATATAATATGGCCAAATCATTGTCCTTAAATCTGGAACTCACGATTGCTTCGGACAAAGAAATAAGTATGACTTACTTAGAACATACCCTTCCTAGCAATGAACGCAGGATTTGTATAGATGATGCTTTTCGCCTTTCATAACCACACCCACCCTTCAAACTGAAACGCATTACTGCTTCACGGCTGAATTAGGAAGGGTGGTACCCGTGCGGACTCACAAGAGGTCCAACCACCAGTAATTACTAATTACTAGTTGTAGATTTTTTTATTGCCGTATAGGCAAACGAGCATACGGCCCTCCTGATGGTGAGGCCTGCCGTTAAAGATACCGTATAGATCAGGCCTGGGCAAATGGCGGCCCGCGGTAGAATTTTGTCTGGCCCGTGAAGCATTGTATATATATTATTATTATTATTGAAAAACAAATATTAGTTTTTGTCCAACATAAATTGGTGCATAAAATTTTTTAGATAAAATATTAAGCAATACTTATACCTAGTCAGGTCATAAATTCTGTCACATGTTTAATGTAAAATAATTGAAACAAGTTTATTCATTATGTAACCATTCATATACCAAAATGAACTTAACAAAACATAGATTCTTATGACACTAAAGTTTATTCAAAATGACCTCCGTGATTTTGAATACAGGCCTTCAATCTGCGCGGCCAGTCGTCTATCGCAGCACGAACGAGGTCCATGTCAATATCGGCGGCTGCCTTAATCAAGGATGTCTTGAGTGACTCCAAATTGGGATGAGGCTTTGAGCACGCCTTTTCCTCCAAGTGTTGCCATATCTTGTAATCTAACGGATTCAAATCTGGACTGGAGGAGGGCCAGTCTTCGTGCCGGATGAAGTCGATTTCACGCGCCGCCAGCCAGTCTTGTGTGCTCTTCGCTCTATGAGCTGGCGCCGAATCTTGTTGGAATACCCAGTGCCTGTTATTGAACATGGTATGAGAAACAGGTTCCACAAGGTTCGTCAGGACTGTATTTTGATACACAACTGCATTCGTTTTTACACCTTTCTCACAAAAATGTACCTCTGTTAAGCCCCAATAAGAAACTCCCAACCATACCATGAGCGAGGATGGAAAATGACCTCGTTGGACACGCGGAATACGGTTGCTCGCTTCTTCACTACTGTGTGCGTACACCTTATCATTTTGTTTGTTGTAGCTCTCTTCTACGGTAAAAATTTTTTCATCCGAAAAAAGAATTTCCCGATATTTTTTTCCCGCGTACCGCTTCAACAAAGCGCGGCATCTCTTCAGTCTCAGGTCCATTAGACGAGCATTCAAACGATGTCCTGTTTTTCTTCGATATGCCCGAAGCCCTAAGTCTTCATTTAACACCCTTTTCACCGTGGTTCTGCTTAACCCCATCTGAAGGGCCAACAGTTTCTGCTTACGTTTGGGATTTCTTTGAATTCGCGCCTTCACAGCTTTTATCACTGCTGGAGTCCTAACAGACCGAGGGCGACCACTTCTTGACCTGTCATCTACACTAGAGTCTTCATTGTATCGTTTGATGGTACGATAAACGAATCTTTTGGTTATATTCAAATTTTTCAGTATGTTAAAAATTTGAATTGGCGCGTAACCGCAACGATGCAACGCAATAACTGCAACACGGTCTTCTTTAAGCGTCCACTCCATATTTAAAAATGAGTAAAATTCTAAAAGTATACATTTTTATTTTCATGAACAATTCGAAATTCGAATTCAATAAACTTTTTTGTGGCCAGCATTCTAAAAGAAAAGTTTTTACTGTGTGACAATACTTATGACCTGACTAGTTATACACATTATCAGGGCCGGTGGGAGCCAAATTTTTTATTTTTATTTTTTTATTTTATTGTTTAGGTGGTTGGACGAGCTCACAGCCCACCTGGTGTTAAGTGAATACTGGAGCCCATAGACATCCACAACGTAAATGCGCCACCCACCTTGAGATATAAGTTCTAAGATCTCATGTATAGTTACAACGGCTGCCCCACCCTTCAAACCGAAACGCATTACTGCTTCACGGCAGAAATAGGCAGCGTGGTGGTACCCATCAGCGCGGACTCACAAGAGGTCCTACCACCAGTGAAGACAACGGCTCTTTTCAGCGCCTCCTATTCGAAAATAACATTATGATAATTGAGTAATTACAGTATGTATAATAGTCGCACAATATAAAATTAGAAAAAATACTGTTCGGCCCGAGGTCAAATTTTCATCTGCAATGTGGCCCGACTATCAAAATATTTGCCCACCCCTGGACTATAGATACTTTACAATTATTTTTCCAGGCTCGTAGCTGGTTTGACAGTTCTCATTTTGGGGGGTCTTCTTCAGCTGGTGGTGCAGAGCGCCGCCTTCGAAATGGCTCTGTCCATCGTCGGCGCGATATTCTTCAGCATGTTCCTCGTTTACGACACGCACCAGATGATGAGGGTCCTGTCCCCGGAGGAGTACATCTTGGCAACCATCAATCTATACTTGGACATTCTGAACCTGTTCCTGTACATACTCAGAATTTTGAATGAGTTAAACAGGAATTAATGCATTTAGTAGTCCTTTTGGGAAAAGGGGGGGTAATTTATACACAATCTATCTAAACAGTTTTCATATACTGTATATTTCAATGTTATTTTATGCATCAACATAATAATATACAGTAAGTCCAGAAAAAAAAAATATGTTCATGTATATGTTACAATTTGTAATCCCCCTACACCCCAATTGATATCGATATTTGTCGATTTAGAATGTATTAGACGAATGCATTAGTAACAGTTTACTTAAAATTCATAGTAGCGACGCGCAAAATAGTGAAAGCTTTTATTGTTTATGTATATTCTAATGTTAATTAAACTTATTAAACTGAGCACCGCTGACTTTTTTCCTCCTTAGTCACTTGTAAAATTAAAAGTAAAATAAAAATTGTTTGTGATGTTTTTTTTTTTTGCACTTATTTAAAAAACTGATTTTTTATTTATTACTTTTTCTTTTCATACACATTGAGTGAAACGAAACAACATTGATAAAATTATAAAACAAATTTTTGACGTTGCAATGAATAAGTATAAGATATGGTATTATTATTTTTATTTTCGCGTAGGCCGAAATGATATACAGAAAACTGTAGAGTCGAAAACAATATCAATAAATTTTTGTTAATCGCAAACCATGAAGAAGACTTTAATTGAAATTAATTGCATTGGTGAATAATTAATATAGTAATCTATATATATAAAAATGAATTGCTGTTCGTTAGTCGCGCTAAAACTCGAGAACGGCTGGACCGATTTGGCTAATTTTGGTCTTGAATTATTTGTGGAAGTCCAGAGAAGGTTTAAAGGATAGATAAATATGAAAATCCTCGGAATTAAATAAAAATAACAATTTTGTTTTTCCTTTTGTTTGTTTTAAGTTTATTTTATACAAAAGTTTAGGTCTTTTATTTATCGATTGAGGCACTACGAAGTTTGCCGGGTCAGCTAGTTAAATTATAATTGTTACAGCTACTTAAACGATTATTGAAATCTATCTATTTAACACCATGATATCACGAAACCAAACGAATAGCTCAGTATTTTTTTATTATAATATTATTTAGAAAAAAATGTTTACCCTTTTTTTTCAGAACATTGCATTGTATGTTGACTTTCGGATTATCGTTATTGGAACCAATAAATGTTGAGGTTCGATTTTCAATTAAAATTTTTACTTTGGCTGTGAATATAAATTCTTTTAATATTGTTTGATATAAATGTTTTTTTTCTTAATAGCAAGTATTATGTTTTCGATATAATCACACGATGCTTTGACCGAAATGTTATTTGTATTACACATAAATTTAATAAATAGTTTGGGATGGTATTTCTTTATTTCTATACGATCGAGTTGTGAAGCACTTGTGGTATGCAGATGCCAATTTTCGTTAGCAATTAGAATTATTAATTTTATTGTATTTCTATTTTTCATTTGAAAATATTCTTGAGAGCATTTTCCGGTGTCTGTCCAGTATGCTTAGTGCGAGTCTCTTAACGTTCTCGATAGCGTAAAAGTTAACTCAAATTTGTATGTTGTTGGAACAGCGCCCCTAGCGGCAAATGTACGCAAACGATCCCACTCCATACAAATATGAGTTAACTTTTACGCTATCGAGAACGTTAAAAAACTCGCACTAAGCACACTGTAGATTGCCTATCGTGTATGTTTCAATCAACATGAACTATAAAATAAATATCTTAAGATTAATTTCGTGATCCGATATTTTCTATGCGTGTGGTATTAGAGTCCGTTCACACATGGTCTCCGTTTTACTGGTCCGTTTCGTCGAATACGCTTTTTTTCATCGATGGAGTATGGAGTTGTATGAGCTACTTCACATATGGTATTCAGTACACAGTAAAAAAAAATCCGGTAATTTATGACGTTCCCTTTTGTCATCGAATACTGGATGAACGGAATACGTATCCGTCATGTTTTCGTACAATTTTACCGGATAGAAACTGTGCGGGGGTGAGGGGCCAGCGGGCGGTGCAGCTTTTTTTTTTTGCTTAGATGGGTGGACGAGCTCACAGCTCACCTGGTGTTAAGTGGTTACTGGAGCCCATAGACATCTAAAACGTAAATGCGCCACCCACCTTGAGACATAGGTTCTAAGGTCTCAGGTATAGTTACAACGGCTGCCCCACCCTTCAAACCGAAACGCATTACTGCTTCACGGCAGAAATAGGCAGGGTAGTGGTACCTACCCGCGCGGACTCACAAGAGGTCCTACCACCTAGACAAACAAATTTCGTCCTGGCAGAATAGCGGCGGTATACTACGAATTTGCTTATCAAAATCGTATCCAGTAATTACAGATACGTTGAACGTTTAATACGGTGCCTATGTGTGAACAAAGCATAGTATTTTGTCGTATGCGTTAAAACGGGTACCGTATACACGGAGAGTATGTGTGAACGTAGCCTTCTCCGGACGACCCATGGCAGGCGAATGTGCAGGCGGTGTGAACGTGCCGCGCGCCATGCATGCTCCCGCCATGCCGCACCCGAACCGTACGTTGTGGGTCTTTTCGCCAGCCTCAAAGGTGCCTCAGTTGCGGTTGTGTGGCGCGCGCGGTTTGGACGGTTGTGTGGTTCACGCAATCCACCACACCATATGGACATCTCGCAAAGTCGCTGTCTGATATCACTTTATAAAGAATTCAATGTTTATGGGTGTTTTGGTGCGGGCTGTATGGGCCGGTTGCTGTTATAAAGAAAACTTGTGCTTTGTGCTGTAATACGGTTTATTTGTAAGTTTATATACTTGATATTTTATTAATACGATAAACACGTCCGCTTGCGGTGAAAAGTAAAAAAGGAAGAGACTGACATCAACAATGTTGCCAGTCATATAATATTATTTTCCATACTAAAATGTTGGGAGTTGCCGACAATGGGATCCAAAATGTTAATTATACCAATAGAGGTGTAAGAGACGATGCTTCGCGTCAGATATTTCTCGAAATGGAGAATAAACCAGTAGAAGAATCTAGAAAAAAAAATAAAAAAAATCGGTCTCTGGCGAGAGGCTACAGAAGGGAACATTTCAGAGAGAAACCAGATTCTAAGTGATATTTGTATATTGTTTTTACCCAGAACCGTCTTTTTCTTTTTTGTAATTTTTTGCGCAAACTTTTAAGCAATATAAAGGTTACTGCTGCAACGGCAATTCGACGCCGCCGCTGTACGTGTGATTCCATATCGTTCAAGAGTTGGACTGTGAAATCACGGATCGCCATACGATCGCTTGGAGCGTATTTTTAGGTTCGAAAGTTTCCAAAACTGGATCGGTCTAACACAATCCGTGATCCTGGATCGTGAATCGTGCGATCGCCAATCCAAAACGGATCGTTGGGTATAGACCCACTTTTCAAATTTGCGCTCAGAGCGTAACTCAAAATTGTCACAAAAAGGAAAAATGGTCTATTCATTATATATTTCAGATTTCAGTATAAATCTAGTAAAATGTTAGATAAGACCCACGGATTGCTTTTTTTTTAGGACTGATTATTTATAATTTATAAATAGCAAGCTACTAGATGGCGCCATTATTAGTAAAATCTATGGTTTCGTTTTTTTTTATTGCTTTGATGGGTGGACGAGCTCACAGCCCACTTGATTGTGAGTAGTTACTGGAGCCCATAGACATCTACAATGTAAATGCCGCCACCCATCTTAAGACACGAGTTGTAAGATCTCACTTTTAACAGTACAACGGCTGCCCCACCCTTCAAACTTAAACGCATTACTGCATCACGGCAGAAATAGGCAGGGCGGTGGTACCTACCCGTGCAGACTCACAAGACGTCATGCCACCAGTAAAAGTACCTAACACAAAAGTAACAGTACCTCCAAAACAGCGCTGTATTTTGAGTTGCCGGCTTCCAAATGCAAATATGCATTCTGAATTTGCAGCACTCCTTACCTAACAAGTTCCTAGGGAACACCAGTAGGGAGGAAAAATATTGTTTTTTTTTAATAAATAAAATAACGACACTGTATTCCATACTACAACATAATATTTAAAAAAAAGTCACTTTCATTATAACACAAATCACAATTAAGTATGTATGTACATATTTCATTAAATTAAAGCATTTCAATTTACAAAACTAATATTTTTACATTACACGTTTTATGAGCTACATCTTTACATGAAACACTAAATAGAAACAAAAAGTTTTCATATATGAACGGCTGGAAAGTGATTATACTCATTTTAGGCCAAATTTTTTTCAACTTTTTTTTTTATTGCTTAGATTGGCGGACGAGCTCACAGCCCACCTGGTGTTAAGTGGTAACTGGAGCCCATGGACATCTACAACGTAAATGCGCCACCCACCTTGAGATATAAGTTCTAAGATCTCAGTATAGTTACAACGGCTGTTCCACCCTTCAAACCGAAACGCATTACTGCTTCACGGCAGAAATAGGCAGGGTGGTGGTACATACCCGCGCGGACTCACAAGAGGTCCTACCACTAGTGAGTACTGAGTTACTCATTTTAGGCCAATTTTTTTTTCCACATTACGAATGAATCGTTTAGGATAAAAATGTGGAGTATGTATATAATTACATTTTTAAAAACAATTGCCGCTATATATAATTAAGCTTCATTAATTACTTCCCGTGAGACTCAAAGATTCATAAAGTTGACATATACTATGTCATTGTGATAAAATTAACAACTCATTGTATCCATCTATACATTAAATTCAATTTATGGAAAGTAAATAATAAACAACTTATGTACGTGATAAAAATACAAATTTTGTCATTCAATTGAACTGTTCTAAGTACATAAATTAATTTTACGAAATTAATTAATTTACTAGAAAATTAAAGTTCTTTTTAAAACAATTTACTGAAATTTTGTTTAGAATTTTTTTTTCCTTATCAAACCCAGAGATCCGTTTTATTTCGTACATCCAGGCTTAAGCATGCTATATCTGAACCCAAAATATATATGAACTCAAAATGCATGTGACCACGCGCACAATTCAACTATACAGTAAAAACTCAATTTTCCAGAGTAAATATTCCGTAAATATGCCATGTATATAGAAACCGAGAATATGAAAAAGCGATTTTACAAGGTATATTCAGTTGGATACCTACATATTGGAGTCCTTGTGTACGTACCAATGTACCGATTGAATCCGCAGATAAAGAATGTTTTGCCGCGAATATAGAAATTGCGTTTTTTTTATCCGCGTGTAGTGAAAACGTGAATGAAGAAAACGCGACTAAGGAGCTTTTACTGTATTGAAATTTTGAGCCTGAGCACATTCAGACACACAAATAAGTACGTTTACTACACGATATTTTACATGTATTTTTTGTCTTTGTATCTTACGCGAACAAAAGAAAATTTTAAAATTCTCATTGGCATGCTTCTCTTGCACTGCGTTTAGAAGAACTAACTTTAATGAATTTAATTTGCTTTGAACCATTCCAGTAGTAGAAGATTTCCTAGGGATTCATTGACAATTTGAACATCTGCTCATAAATATGCATTAAGTTAATGTCTGTCGACATCACACAAATAAAATATATGATCATTGATCATTATAAATTAAGTTTTCTCCATTTACTATACTGGTAGAACATTACATTAAAACTTCAAGGCATTGGATCTATAATAATAAAATACACCAAATAAATAGAAATTGACGAAACTACACTTTCTTTAGTTACAAAGAAAACAAATTAAGATAAACAACTTTAATACATGTTTTTGAGAAAATCCTGTAATGTAAGGCCAACCAGACGAGATAAAAAATGTAAACAAAGTTTCAGGAGTAAAAAACATTTTTATTTAAATAAATTATTACAAAGTTCGAATTTTAATCGCTGTCATCTGTACTAGACAAAGATGATTCGTCGGAAGAGTCCGAGTCAGCTGTGTTTATGATAAAACTATCTATTGTATTATCAATCATGTTGTCAATATTGCTATAAAAATTGTCCTCGTCTTTTATAACACTTCGAACGCAATCCAAACAGGAATGAACTTGTACACAAAATGGAGGACCAAATGTTGACAACTGCGGTACTCAGTGCTTTCCTGTACCACGAAACACAACGACAGCTGTTGTCGACCAACTGACGCCATAACTGCGCGTACGAGTGATAAGGACAGAGATAATAATCCCTCCCTATCGCAATGTAACTCAGTAACGGTCCGCTTATTTACGTTTATTATCTCGTCTGGTTGGCCTAAGATTAGTTCTATTTAGTAAACTCTTATAGCTAAACCGATTTATTATTAACTATGTAGTAAAAACGTTGTTACACTAACGCAGCCGCTCACATTTCACCCAATTTCGTTGTGCATATAGTATGCCACTTTGTAACAAACCAAATTGACACTTAATCACTTTCAAATGTATCACTTCCAATCCGTTGTTCCACTTCACTGTGACTGTTTCGATTCGAATTAACTCTTTTATTAACTTTATTTCTGTTGTTTCTTTTTTTGAATGGAGATTCACAATATTTCCTGTAATCATAGATACGATTGTCTTTAAAAAATATGAATATATGTGTTGAGCTTCACAGACCAATCTTCCGATTGAATTTAATCTTTGCCATGTTGTTGACCCTTTGGCGTTTTCTTTAACATCCACCATACAGGAGGTACGTCACATGTTGTGCCCGTGTGTGCAAAACACATTTGAGACTAGACATAATCACAAAAATACTTCAATTTTTTAGAAAATATGAACTTTACGCGCTCACTAACTTCTATCCTAACTTAGGACAGACGTACCATATCCAAAAATAAAAAGATTTGGTGTCGTGGGACACCAGGTAGGAACGAAGTACCTTCGGCTAATGTAGAATCGACACAATTTGCAAAAACAAAATCGTGCTCAATTTTATGTAGGTTTTCTTGATTTTTCTCTTAAGTTTTGCTGATTAGTTTTTATTTAAGTACAGGAAAGTATTTAGGAAATTCAGTGTTTTAGGAAATAATAAATTACGTAAAATAAAAAAAAAACGTAATTCAAATTATCAATTAAAATAACAAAATATGTTTCTTTATTTTTGTTTGACAACATAAAATTACATAAAAATAGAAAAATAAATACAAAAAAAGTTTATTATTATTATTATTATAAGTAATTCTTATTAATCAGTCTCGTCATTAAATTCTATTGCTGAAACTATTGGCTTGTGGTAACTAAAATATGATACGTATGTTTGTGATTCTATTTTATGCAAATACCTCGAAAAAACAGCATCAATAGTGGTACCGTATCTGTAATGTCGATTCTTTTGGATTGTTATTTATATGTAACTAGCTGTCCCGGCAAACATTGTTTTGCCATATATAAGATTTCTAGGGAATTTCTAGTGTAGAAACAAAAACTGACTTATTGTAAGTGTGTAAGGATGTGGTAAATGAGTGTAAGAGGCATGTAGCGCTGTGAACGTTGAGGGAATATATAATAAAAATAACAAAACCTCATTCAGCCACATAAATACCTCATTATTACAAAAAAAAAACCAAATAAAAAATAAATGTTTGCGGTGGACAACCCTTTCCACTTAGGGGTATGAAAAATAGATAGTAGCCGATTCTCAGACCTACTGAACATACTATTGATACACAAATAAAACCAAAAAAACATGGCTGAAAAATGTATAGTATTGTATAGCTCTCAAATTATATATTAAGTGTATAAGTCTATGATGTATAGTGAGTAAGTAAGACAGGAGACCGGCTTCGTCCTCATCCCTACTACGTGATGTTTGCTGGATGAGTGGTGACACCTGGCGGGGATAGCTGATCAATTGATAGTTGATCAATAGTCGACCGGCGAGGGCGGGAGATCAAATTCAATTTAAATAAAATCATAATTAAAGGAACTTGAAATTATAAACTCTGAATAAGAATTTATCGTACTACAATTATAAAATTTGATTGCCATCTTGCAACCTTATTGCAGATCTGTGCATAGAAAAAAAAAAATTAATCGGGGTGGAAAAATAGGGGTTGATCATATAAGAGTGAAAATTGAGAGTAATATGATTTTTTTTTATTTTAAGTCATAACAAAATAAAATAAAAACTTGCCAAAAAAATTAAAGTTTATAATTAACAAATAAAAAATAGCGGTTGATCATAGAGGGATGAAAAATTGAGAGTAACATCATATTTTTTATTTTAATTCATGACGAAATAAAAATAAAAATGAAAATCTTGCCAAAAAAATTAAAGTTTATAATTAACAAATAAAAAATAGGGGTTGATCATAGAGGGGTGAAAATTTCAGAGTAATATGAATTTTTTTATTCTACGTCATGACAAAATAAAAACAAAATTCTCGCAAAAAAATTTAAAATTTTTAATTAGCAAATAAAAAATAAGGGTTGATCGTAGAGGGGTGAAAATTTAAGGTTGTATGTATTTTTGTATGCTGTATCATAAAAAAATAGAAATTAAAAATTTTGTCTAAAAAATAAATAAAAAAATTTAGGGGTGGACTACCCCTAACATTTAGGGGGATGAAAAATAGATGTTGGCCAATTCTCATAGATACCGGATAAGCACAAAAAATTTCATCAAAATCGGTCAAGCCGTTTCGGAGGAGTATGGCAACGAAAACTGTGACACGAGAATTTTATATATTAGATNAAAAAATAGAAATTAAAAATTTTGTCTAAAAAATAAATAAAAAAATTTAGGGGTGGACTACCCCTAACATTTAGGGGGATGAAAAATAGATGTTGGCCAATTCTCATAGATACCGGATAAGCACAAAAAATTTCATCAAAATCGGTCAAGCCGTTTCGGAGGAGTATGGCAACGAAAACTGTGACACGAGAATTTTATATATTAGATTTAAATTTTTCTAAAAGAAATGTTCTTAGTGGTTCTGATTTTTCATCTGCAAAATTGATATTGAAGTCTCCAGATAAAACCATCGAAAACCGATGGAAGTTTCCACCAAGTATCAGAAACCTCATCAGTATATTCTATCAGCGCTCGATGGATGAAATGTTTCACATCTTCAATTTTTGTATTTGGTGAAATGTAGACTATTACCATGACAGTTTCAACTCCGTTGTTCGTTTTACATATGTGAGCTGAACAAATGTCTCCAACTCCTGTACGTCTAACATTCACATCGTCAGTATTTATTAAGATTATGTCCATATTTGGTGTTAAAACACGTCATTTCGGATCCTCCCGATCCACTAACGGTGCTTTTAGGTACTTCAAGCACCGGTCACCGTTCTTGTCGAACCCGTCGCTTGCGACGAAGGGCTCGACGAGTAAATTAACTCTCAGACACAGCCCACTGAGTTTCTCGCCGGATCTTCTCAGTGGGTCGTGTTTCCGATCCGGTGGTAGATTCTGCGAAGCACGGCTCTTGCTAGGGTTCGTGTTAGCAACGTCGTCAGGTTTGAGCCCCGTGAGCTCACCTACTAGTTAAGGTTACGCTGAAATAGCCTCTCAAGGCTACCAGCATAGGTAGGAAAAAAAAATAGTTGTTAAAATATTAGTAGTGTCATTTCTATTTTGATAGATAGCAACTCCACCTGTACGTACGTAATCTCGTTTAAAATGGGCAATGCAGTTGAAATTAGGAATATCAAACTGTTGGTCATTGCTCATCCGCGTTTCGGAAAGAAGTAAGAAATTAGTTTTTTTGAATTACAAAATCCGACAAATCCAATCTATGGCTTTGTAGACTTTGACAATTTAATGTGGTTATGGTAATGCCATTTTTAGCCATGCCAATGTTCTTGTTCATCTTCTCCATCATCCTCTTCGTCTTCTTTTTCTCTGCACAGCTGTGAGATTATCTTCAATCGGCACATGCTCACTGACATCATCTAGCACTAATTCAGGAGCTGCTTCGTTATTATTATTATTATTTAAAAAGTTATTGTCGATTGTGATATTGTAGTAAAGATTAAGCGGAGTTTTTACAAAATAAGTCAACCATTTTTTTATATTCTTTAGATTTATGAGCCCATGAACATAACTGCTTTTATATACTAATTTCTTCTTTAAGTGTACATAAACGCAATGGTCATCGTTAATATTTCTAGGCAAATGGTTTACCATTGTATTAACTTCAATTGGAACATTTATAATTTGACCATAAATACCATATTGTATAATATTAAATAATACCATATATTATACCATATTATTATAATATAATAATAATAATATGGTATTGAATAATACCATATTGAGTATGAACATGTCTAAGTCTACGTATTTGCATGAAAGGAATTCTCGGTGAACTTAATCGTTGTTCTACAAGATTTAATGTTGGCAGATCGGATGGAATTATTGGGTATGAAAAACCGTTGTATGTCGCCATTAAAGGTATTTTTTCTTTGCTTAAAGCCGCTTTACACGTAGAACAAATGTCAACATTTGTACCACATACATAATTCTGAAATAGCAAAAAGAACATATAGTAATAAAATAAGATGAATTACCAATAAAGATAAAAAAGCAATATTTTTTGTAAAATATTTTCGTGTATACTAGATGTCTCACTTAAATCTTTCATCCATCAAAGCCTATCACAGACAGCACAAGAATGTCCAAAAGTATTTTTTTTAAAGCCAGTGAAAAAATCTAGATGACTACTGCTGTGTTGGTAATAATTTGTGTAAACTGGAATTGTGACATGATTTTCTATAAATTCCATCTCAATCACATCGTTTTCGTCATCAAATTCAATTTCACTTGCATCGGAATTTTCTTCGGCTGCTTTATTATTTTCAAAATTTGATGGACCTTCAAAAATACAGTCATCAGAGTGTTGACTACTAATATTGTTGTCCATTATCGTATCTTGTGTTTCAATATATTGAGTAATAGGTTATTTACTATTAATACTGTTGTTTATTATCATTTCCTGTACTTCAATATACGGAGTAAAATGCTGATTGCGAAAATGGAGGTGAATGAAGTTTTGTGTATCATTCACAATAAAATAACAGAACCACACTTTTTCTTGACGTGTGTTGGTATCGAAGAAATGAAAACCGCACACAAATATTTTGATTGTATTCTCTCGAAATTATCGATAAACAATCTAAATATCCATATTCGGACTCACTAACAAGTATAAATCTTGCATTATTTGAGTTTTGGCAGGTATGAAAATATCGAGATTCCAGTAATTGTTTTCTGAGTTCTGATGGTGTTATTCTGAGCCTTGGGACTTCAATGAGAGAATAAAATAAACAATTGCCGTCTCCAGGAATGTTTATTAAACGCTGTAAAATGGCGTTCGGCCGAAGATTTATGACTGATTTTTAAGAATATGCCTGCGTTTGTGTTGGTAAATTATCAGTATCATGCGACCTAAGACAAAAAGTAGGCTTTAAAGAAAATTTTTAAAAAATCATAAAAAAGTTGGATACAAATTTTGAAATACTTACAGCTCTTTAGACGATTCAATGTGATCAGTCAAAATTTCGTTGTGTCTCATAATAAATTTTTGTTTGTTACATTCTGTGTATCAATCAACTTGATTTTTTTTCTGAAATTAAAATATTAAACATTTAAATAGGTTTCTTTACGTAGTAAATGTGAATTACAAAAATGAATATCTTACGATTGTGGAACTTCACTCTTTTCAAATAGTAAAGCATCAAGTCGAACACGCTGCTTTTTCAATCTAGATTTCTGCTGATACTCTTTACAGTGTTCAGATTGAGTTTTTTTAGTTTTAGATGGCGCATTTAATGCAGCGTTACTAAAAAATATATATCTAAATTGAAAAAAAAAAATGTATATATATATTTAAGTGCTTCTTTTCTTTGAATTTATATATTTTCACTCCACACACGAATTATTAGTATTCTAAACTCATAAAGTAATTTTTTTTTTCTAATTTACAATAATACTTTTTCGTAGATGAGGCCAAAAACAAAATTCGAAAAAAAGCGAGCACCCTCGTATGTATATATGGGCGCAAACGCCACCATTGGCAATAATTAACATAATAATATATAGTTTAGTTTATTCTATGTTAATATTTATTTATTATTAGCAAGATGAAACTGTTATTCTACCATATTTAATAATTAGCAGACACTGTTTTGATGTGAAAATGTTCAGAATATGTTTAATGTTTATATTATTGTTTAAAAGCACAAATGACTCTATAAATGATTAAATATTAATAAAGCATAAATATTAATAATAATTTATATTATAATTAACAGTACTAATAATTTAATTAAGTATTGTAATTGTTATGCAATGATGTTGTTGGCGCCATCTATGATTAGGCTGGATAATAACAATTACTTAATAGTAATTCATGTAAAATAAATTAAATGTCAGTCATGTAAAAATCACTAAAATACGTATTGTGAATATTAAGCTATATTTTGTGAATTGTTTCGCAGTAATTGCATTTTTTGTATAAAAGAAGTTGTAGTTGTTATAACCAACACAAAATGGCTAATTGTGTAAAAACCACTGAATAACACAGGCGTGGCTTTTTGTTGTAAACAAGTGATGTTAAAGTTTTATAGAATTGTATTGTATTTTCATTGCAAAAGAACTTATGTGTGAAAACCCTGGCTTAACGCCGACATATACATACACATCGATATTTTTGTATTGTACCTTTCTCGTTTATTTTTAATTTTTTTCATTTTTTGACGTTCCCTGAATGCCTTTTGATGCTCTGCATTTGTTTTTGGTGGTTTTGCGGTCCTGAAAATGATTAAAAATAAATTTTTTGTTTAACTTAAAACTTAAAAAAAATAATTCAATAAATTTTTAAATATTTTCATTAGTTTACTAGATATTTTTGCTTTATATTGTACCTTTCTTGCTTATTCTCATTTTTTTTAGCTTTTTGGCGTTCCCTATACTCCTTTTGATACTCTGCTTTGGTTTTTGGTAGTTTTGCAGTACTAAAAATGATTAATAAAAATAGAATTATCAAAATATATATATATTTAAATGTTTGGAAATAAAGGGAGATTTTTTTTTAATTATTTAAATAAATAATCAATAAACTTTTTAAATATTTTCATTACTTTAGAGGATATCTTTGCTTTATATCATACCTTTCTTGCTTATTTTCATTTTTTTTAGCTTTTTCGCGTTCCCTATACTCCTTTTGATACTCTGCTTTGGTTTTTGGTGGTTTTGCAATACTAAAAATGATTAATAAAAATAGAATTATCAAAATATATATATATTGAAATGTTTGGAATTGAAGGGAGATTTTTTTTAATTATTTAAAAAAATAATCAATAAACTTTTTAAATATTTTCATTAGTTTAGAGGATATCTTTGCTTTATATCGTACCTTTCTTGCTTATTTTCATTTTTTTTAGCTTTTTCGCGTTCCCTATACGCTTTTTGATACTCTGCTTTGGTTTTTGGTGGTTTTGCAGTACTAAAAATGATTAAATATAAATAGAATTATTAATAACATGATTCATATTTAGGACAGAATTAACTTTTAAAAAGACATATTCACACACACGCACACACACACACGCACACACACACACACACACACACACACACACACACACACACACGCACACGCACACACAAACACACACTACACATATATTATTATAATCTCTATGAAGTTTCGTAGTTTTTTTCTCAATTTTTCCATATGACCCTCAAAACAGCAAGAAAGATAACCTAGAAAACCTTACAAACATTTTAGTATGTACACACAATATTAACCAATGTAAAATATTTTATATTTATAAATAAACTAATACTTACGTATTTAATTCTTTTATAATGAATAATTTCCCACTATTATCACTGTCAATTGCATTCAAGTCACTTGTTAGTTCACTTGCCATTGTTACTATATTTATTATTGTTTTGACGATTTGAAATTATATGAAAATAAAGGTGGCTACTCACGAGTAAAATGTATCTATAATGTGAGTTTTCGCCACGTGCTTGTCCATGAATTCATGAGTATATACTATGCATTGGCGGGGTGGAGTGGTAATAGAGAGAGAAGGGATGAGAGAACGAAAAGAAAGATAAAGGTATTATACACTACTCGCTTGTGTATACGACTGTCGCGCCTGCGCACGTCTCATTTAACGGTTTTATTCCACGGACTTTTTCTTACGGTTTTACTATCACATTTTTTTCAGTTCGGTCGCGCAGCAAAATCCCTATCTCCTCCAAGCCTGCCGTAAGGAACTTCGTTCCAAAAGGTTAATTACTTGATTAATGTATGTTGTGGAACGGCTACTGCTATTATATAAGTATAGTCTCACATAATTACCTCTTAACATCCTCCAAAGTCTTCGGCTGTTGCTGTTTTTTGGATTGGACGGCTGTACATGTCTTGGTGTGGTTTGATAGCTGTTCGAATGTATCATATTTGTTCCGACATCCGTAACAAGCGTACTTGTCGTGACATGTTTCATGCACCATAAGATCCGTTGACGTTACGAAACCTGTAATATAATAAATGAGTATGATCATAATATTGGATAATTTATTATAAATAAACAGAATGGACAACATTAATGGGATTGAAGATATATCAGCATCTATCCTTCTTGCTGTATGAGTTAACTTATCGTAAAACAAATAAATGACAGGTACTATGGTGCCAACCTGTCTTCAGACGTTAAGTCAATGATCACATTAGAAAATAATATTTTTACAATGTATGAATAATAAGGAAAACACTATCACCCAAGTATTTCCGTATTGTCAAAGTTCAATATTGTAACATCAGTGATTTGTGAGGAGACATGAAGAGTTTTTTTTTTAATTTTTAAGAACATTCACAAATACAATCTTCAATGTTGTTGTACTGTGGTGTGCGCCAGTCTGTCCACCTCACCTATTTCTATTCTTCACGCTTCTCACAGTTTCCCACATTAATAATTATCACTTACTCCGTTTACATAATGTACAGACATATTTTGAATTGTTGCGAGCAATTCTAGTTGTACAGTCAGATCTCCTCTTGACCGAGACGTAGGAATGCTGAGCAACGACGTGTCCCTGAAAGCAAAATAAGGACTTTTAGGCCTTTATATTTTTGAGCATCCGAGTCGTCATGGCCTAAAGAATCATGACAAGACATCTGAAGTTCTCGTTTCCAACCAAACAACTGTTAAACTTAAGCACCCGTACAAAACCTCAATTTTTCTAATGAAATACAGTATGAATGAACTAAGAATACAGTCTTTATTTCATTAGAAACATGTTAACTGTGACTGTGTGAGGTGGGCTGTGAGCTCGTCCACACATCTTGGCAATAAATAAAAAAAAAAAAAAAGATTTACCTGATTACTATACAGTTCAGATAATATACTGCAAGTCTGAAGGTGGGTGACGACATTTATGTTGTAAAGTCTATGGATTCCGGTAATCACTTAACACCAGGTCAGACGGTGTACCGTCACGTACACACGTACGTACCAAGCACTGCGTAAATGCCGCCACCTACCTTGAGATATGAATTCTAAGGTCTCAGTTTTTACAGAACAACGGCTGCTTCCACCCTTCAATCCGAAACGCATACCTACCCGTACGGACTCACAAGACGTCCTACCACCAGTATTTACACAAATTATAATTTTGCAGGTTTGATTTTTATTACCCGATGTTATTCCTTCACCTTGTAGGTCAATCGTGAAATTTTGTTAAGTAACGTTTCCTAAAAAAATTCCTCCCTGCGTGTTTCCAACACCAGTGCATCGCTAGATATGAATGCATTCGACGTCTAATCCCTTAGACCACGACGACTTCAATTCGTAGATATTGAGAGTTGGCCTTGGTTTAAATCTCTATTAACTCAGTTTGTAATTGGGAATGGTATGCTAAAATTAGAATTACTCCTTGTTTAAAACATACATACCTTGAGCTCAGAAACACTGCTAAATAATTTCATACAGAGCATGCATTCCAAAGGCATCTCATTCATGAATTCAGTGTCGTCATTGTCACTATCTGGTTCATGTTTAACACACACTTCGGGACTCTGAAACGTAACAAGACACAATATCATTCTCACAGTGTCTCTTGCTCTCCCTTTCTCAAGAACTATTAGATCGCTTTTTTTTTATTGCTTAGATGGGTGGACGAGCTCACAGCCCACCTGATGTTAAGTGGTTACTGGAGCCCATAGACATCCACAACGTAAATGCGCCACCCACCTTCAGACTTGCTTATAATCAAAGTATACTCACAACTTCGTCACCATTTAGTACATGTCTGTCTATGCTCATATCAGGGATTTTCTCAAATTGATCTGCAGGTATTGAACCTGTAAATCATTTTTTAATATTAAATTTCAGATAAGACTAATCAATATTCAATATTCAACAGCATATTTATTATTATACGTAAGGTGGTTAGTAATTTCCATAGACAATCATAATGATTGCTGACAGAAAGATCCTTTACAGTCATAGATAAAGGTACACAAACAAACAAAAAAAACTCACCGTTCACAGTTATTTTGATAGGCAATAAATCCCGAGAGACCTTCATTACTGGGCTGTGGTTCAACGAATCTGTATTATCAAAATTAAATTCATTTTTCGAATCTTCTCCAACATTCAATTGATTTTTTTGAGTCTCTGCAGTCTCACAATCAATTTCAGATTCTAAAGGCTCCACTGACTCCTCAGGCTCTACTTTAATTTCCATCAAGTCAGATATTCTGTCAGGCAATGAATTCTGAGGCATTGGCAATACTGGATTTGTAAATTCTATACTATTATGCTTGAATTCATTCTTTAAAGCTTTTTCCTCATTTTTTGGCTTTTTTGTTTTATTTTCAACATCATCAGATTCAATTTCAGGTTCCTCAAACTCTTCAGGCTCAATTTTAATTTCCATCAATTGATCAGCATTATCACAATTCAAAACAAAGTCTGTAGCCTCATCTTCGGAAATAACTTCTTGTTTGATTTCTACTGTTGTACTCTCTCCCAAGACAGTACTGTCGATGTTCTTTTGTACTTCTATAGGTTTAGGCCAGTTGTTTTTGTTAGACATTGCATTGTACCTATCATTTAAGATTTGTTGACTCTTTTGAACTTTTGCAATAAATATACATGAATCTAATAATTTTTGATGACATGGCATACATATAAAGTTGGAATGTGGATCTGTGATGGATATCTGAAACAAAGCAATACATTTTGATAAAAACTATGTGGGCTGAACTCTTCTCCTATTGTGCTATATAAAAATACTAAACCTACAACCTATACAAAAGCAATGCCAGAAAATACCACAAATAGCATTTTTTTAGATGCTAACGTTAAGTTTATATTTTGGCATATTTGAGAATTCTTCCAATGACTGTGCCCATGGGCTATAGCAATGACTCATAAACTATTCCACAGAGTAGTCTAAAAATAACTTAAATTTTGTAGAGACTCAGATAAAATTATAAAGAACGAGAAATAAATTAAATTATTTCACTTTAATATAAAAATCAATCAATCATGGAACAACTAAGAATCGACTTCCGATTTACAGACTTCTTCACAGCATCACAATCTGAATACAATTTAAATCTATAGCACTTCTAAGCAAAAACAATAATATACAAATCACAGAATCTCACCTGTACTTGAGTTAATTTACACAGATCATCAGCAAGAGTGACTCCCATACTAAACTGTTCTGTTGACCATGATTGGAAAATGTCTATTAAATTTGCTTTCTCAACATTTTCAAGGCACGCACGACATTCCAATTTGCCACACGAATTATCCAAAGATTCTGCATTTTCTTTCACATTCAACAGCATCGTATCTGTAATAAATAATTAATTCATCTAACTGTAATTATTTTTTTAAAGGTTTTTAGGAGTCTGTAGTTTCTCAAAGTAAATTAAAAAAATATGTAAATTCATCGTAATAAAAAACTACAACTTATATATTTTTTTCAGTTTTCACAAATCATGAAGGTAATTTATAGCTACTTTATGACTTAATCACTTATGGTTCTCTTATATTAGTCCTGACTTTTACAGTACACCCCAGTTGTCCGTGAAAATAAAAATTGTTAAAAGATTGGAAAAATACAACAACCATAATGTAGTTTTAATCAAATTATATGAAATTCATTTTCAAACAAGGAATGGCAATCTTCAATCTTGTGAAATAAAAGCAATTAATAATGTTTTTTTTTTTGTAAAAACAATGCTATGTATTCTACATGTATACAATCACGCTAGCAGGCAACAGCCTAAGGACAAGGAATCTCTCACTGAAGTTTTGGGGTACAAAGCCTTTTTTTTTTAACAGTAAAAATTTAATTAAGATACACATTAATATTCAAATTCAAATTCAAAATTCAAAATGAATGAAAATGAGATGAATGATTATTACATTCTGACAGATGTAACAATTGCTTTCTTGTGTAACACTTGATTTATTATCTTGCTATTTAAATTTCAAGGTATTCAAGTAATTACCTAATATCAGTTAGGCTTTTCACTTATACGAATGGTCTCCAGCAATCATTGAAGTCAGCTATGCCAGTGATACAGACATGTTGCTGCCTTCCTCTACTTAGCTTTATATTTCTATTAAGTGACAGACATTAAGTGTGATTTATTGAGATAAATTTTTATGAGTACTCATGTTTGTTATTTGCGAATGTACTCTACAAATTACATTAATTTACAAAAAGTTCCAAATATGCTCATATACATTGGCAATTTTTAAACAACATTAATTTTGGTATTGATCATACTTAACTAGCTTATACAAGGTTGCACTCACTTTGTGGCTATGGTGACTTGTTTTCCTTTGCTCATTTTATCAAAGCAAAACAATATAACATCTTTAAAATTTAATAACTAAAGTATGTAATCAAAACATTTATTTAATAACAAAAATTTTTGTGATCAAATTTAAACCAAATTTTTTTGTCATAATTAAAGCACACATTATTTATGCTTAGTATGTCTCATTAAGTGTTTGATTTATTTAAAATGTATTTTTAAACTTTAAAGTTATTTTTAAACTCATATAACAATGAACCTTAAATATTTGAATCACAGTAACTTAACTGATTACTATGAATTAAATATTTAAGATCAAAGGATCTCCATGACAATGTAAAAAAAAAGGATCTGATGAATATCTAACTATTAATCAGGCAGGAAATGTGACCAATATTGACAAGTTAGGTTTTTTTATACTTTACATAATGTGAATGAAAGAGGTCAGATACATGAGGTCAGTCTCATTTGTATTGTATTAGGGCTACGCCCTCATTTAAACTGTATATACAAAAAGCTGTAAATTTCTTAGTTGTGTAAGGTACTAAAGCACTAGTGCTGGAATAGCTTACAGGCCTGCAAAGCTGACTACTGACTGACACAAACTTATTTTTGCTGTAAAGCAATTGTATGGTCCAGTTTGAAGAAAATTACAGTCATTTTATTAACAGAGTCGAAACTTTGATCTCATGCCTCAAGTTGGGTAATCAAATTAAATCTATCAATCGGTTCCTGTAACCTCTTAAAATTAGGGCTCCTGCCCCTGTCAGATATCTTTTTTTTTCTAGGATTAAATAACTTCACTTTTTTTTGTTTTAAAACGACATACAAAATGGAAAAAACTTCAAAAAATTAACCGAGAGGCGCACTTCGAGTTCGCACCGTTGATTTTTCATGACATAATCTGGATGATTCGCTTTCTTTTCGACGCTGCCGTAGCTCTCGCATTCGTTCTGTACCGGACTTAGGCTTCTTACATTCTTTTCGACGCGAGCTTTCCTCTGACTTGCGTTTTCTATAATTCCGAGCATATTTACGATTCATATAAGACGACATCTTTGTTTACTATTAATTCAAGAGTAATTTTCATATGTATTGCTGCGAATATTTTGATAGTTTCATTGCCAGCTACAGAAGTATTCTATTCGTCAAAATAAATAAAAAATCCTAGCTGTGCCCATTTTCATGCTACACACAACTATACTGATTAGCACAGATTGAAAACTAACAAAGCTACTATCGAAATCGTTTGGCTCCCTATTTAGAGGATGGCTCTGAAACCACGATCTAGGAAAGCACTGATGTACGTTCACGGTTTAGTTTAAATAGAATCCGTACTCTAATGTTGAAATGCATTAATCTTACGCTAATTTGCTTCACCTGTGCATTTGTGTACTTCGGTAAAACTTGCGTGACAGCGTTGTCTGACACTAATGAGTAATGACGGTTATGACATTCGCGGCAAGCCTGTGTTTTTGTCTATGGATATGGACTTTTTGGGGACGTGAGAAGTCGTATGAATTTCATTTGGTCTCACTTTAAATATTAATGTACAACTCGACCAAGCTAAGTACACCTCGCTGGAATGCGGTGCCCCGCCCGCTTCCCCGCTCACCTTCCCGCGTCAATACGGTTAGCATATTTTTCGCCGATACACGTCATACGATTTTTCGTCTTCCTATCAGTTGAATTTTAATTTTTTAACTGTTCTTGTTATGTTTTTTATTGAAGTTTTGTTATATTATTGGACTGTTTTTAAGTTTAGTTATTAAGTTTTTGTTGAACTGTTGTTACTGAACGATTAACGTTCATTTTTTTTTTTATTTTGATTGGATTGTTGTGGGCAACAAAAATGAAAGGAAAGGTGATACAAATTTTTGTAATGAAATAAGTCTTACAAAATTTATGAATGACTTCAACTTTGCTGAATGTCTTGGGAACCTACACGGTAGGTAGGACACGGTACCACTACCTAGCCTATTGTCTATGGGGTCCGGCGGGAACTTAACATCAGATAAACCCTGAGTTCATTTCACTTTTAAATTAAAAACTTTCACTTCCGCTTTACTATATTGTATCAACACGTGCGTTTTAAATTATGAAGGATTTTTGCAGAATAACTTCTTTAGATGCCATTATCGCTAGTACCGTCAAAAATCTTCAATTACAAAAAGAAACTTATATGAGGAATGATATGAATCAAAATGAGATGAAACTGATTGATTTCAGATTATAAAATGTATATTGGCATGAAACGAGACCAAATATCAGTAATCAGTAATATTATAATTATATTTATTATTAGGTAATTTTTTTATACTTGTGGTTACATTATTGGAGTTTTAGTAAGAAACCTTTTTTTTTAAAAAAAAGATTATAGCCTATGTCACTCGGGAATAGTGTAACTTCCAAACAGTGAAAGAATTTTTCAAATCGGTTCAGTAGTTTCGGAGCCTATTCAATACAAAAAACCACCCCCGATTACTCTCTTTAGACAACCCATACCCTGGACTAGGAAGGTCAAGTACCTGGGCGTTACCCTGGATGCATCGATGACATTCCGCCCGCATATAAAATCAGTCCGTGACCGTGCCGCGTTTATTCTCGGTAGACTCTACCCCATGATCTGTAAGCGGAGTAAAATGTCCCTTCGGAACAAGGTGACACTTTACAAAACTTGCATAAGGCCCGTCATGACTTACGCGAGTGTGGTGTTCGCTCACGCGGCCCGCACACACATAGACACCCTTCAATCTCTACAATCCCGCTTTTGCAGGTTAGCCGTCGGAGCTCCGTGGTTCGTGAGGAACGTTGACCTACACGACGACCTGGGCCTCGAATCTATACAGAAATACATGAAGTCAGCGTCGGAACGGTACTTCGATAAGGCTATGCGTCATGATAATCGCCTTATCGTAGCCGCCGCTGACTACTCCCCGAATCCTGATCATGCAGGAGCCAGTCACCGTCGACGCCCTAGACACGTCCTTACGGATCCATCAGATCCAATAACCTTTGCACTAGACGCCTTCAGCTCTAGGAGCAGGCTTAGGGACCTCGGTAACCGTACTCGTCGAACTCGACAAAGAGTTCGCCGTGCAACCTAACCCATGAATCAGCTCGCTGAGTTTCTCGCCGGATCTTCTCAGCGGGTCGCGATTCCGATCCGGTAGTAGATTCATTCGCGAAGCAGCTACTCTTGAGTTGTTAGGTCTCCTTTGGAGGCGCTCGGGCAGCTGTTAGCAAATCCCACCCCTCCTGGCTGAGCCTTTGCTCGCCCACCTGTCCTGGTGAAACTGGAAAGGCCTCCGGGCCACCAGTAATCCTTCAATCATAAAAAAAAAAAAACCTTTCGACCTTTTGACCTTATGCACTTAAACCGTTTACAATCCACCATTATTACCAAATCTAAGCCTGAAGAAACACTAAATTATCCTAATAAAACAATTCACAGAATTTGGCTCCTCGCATTTCTGGCGAGCAATCTTTACAAGAGTACTTGGACATAAGGAAAGGCTTTGGTTAAGTCCAAGTGTAAGGCCCTTATTATTAACGCAGTTTAATCTAAAATCGACAGCTTAAGCGGTCACTAATAATCAACTAGTAATTTCAATCATTATTCATATTATATTCAATCATTATTCATTATTATATTGGAAGGAGTTTAATTATTAAATTATTAATTTAATTATTAATTATTAAACTCCTTCGCAGCTGAAACTATCTCCAAAATTACGTTCGCAGCCACGATGGAGACATTAAACTATGAGGTTGGGTCTGAAATGTTCTTTGAAATGGCCAATCGAAATCAGCACCTTGTAAATTATCATGTTTTACGTTAAACTCTTAAAAAGAGATATCTATAAACTCATGTTCAAAACTGCATTGTGAAAGGTTCAAGTAAATAAAAGTAAAAAAAGTACACTTAATTGTATAAAATGGACTAGTGAATTGAGGAGACTGGTTCTGATACAGGAGATAATATAGAAATTCTTAATGATTTCATGTCGTACAAGTACAGTAGACAAAACGAGCACAAAATATAGCGTGACATCGGATCACAAAATAGTCCAGAGCATTCTTGAAAAAAAAAAAAAATTATCTATGGGACACGGATTCGTGGTGATCCTTCGGTTAACGATGACTTTAAAGTACCTATTTCACACCCACATTTCTTTATATTGTTATTGACATAATTAAAAAAAAAATTTAATCACTGAAATTAAAACTGTATTGAGAATGTTTTTGAAAATTAGGTTTTCTATAATTTTCAGAGACAAATCATTTTAATCACTGAAAGGATTTCATGTTTACAAGTAGTAGTTGTAGTTTTCAAGTGATGATCTAACTTGATAGGTATTTTTAATGGCCGCCATTTATTGACCGATTAACAGAAAACACATCTTTGTTATCGTACTTTACGCTCCAAAACGCTTTTCCATACGTAATAAATGTAATACAACAAAACATACTAATTTTACCCGTTTTTTTTACTAAGAGTAGAAATGCGAATGTACATTTTACGGCATCGTCGCCGCGTCGTACGGAGTTGTTGTTTTTTCCTACCTATGCGATGGCCTTGGGAGGCTATTTCAGCTTCTCCTTGACGTGTAAGGTGAGCTTATGGGGCTCTAACCGGGGGCGTTGCTAACACTGGCCCTAGCAAGAGCAGTGCTTCGCAGAATCTATCACCGCATCAGAAAACGACCCACTGAGAAGATCCGGCGGGAAACTCAGTGGGCTGTGTCTATCTATGGGTTATTTCACTCGTCGAGCCCTTCGTCGCAAGCGACAGGTTCGACCAGGACGGTAACCGGTGCTTGTGGTACCTAAAAGCACCGTTAATGGATCGAGGGGAGCCGTAGTGACGTGTTTAAGGCGACGTCGACTGTGTACTATAGTATGTAACCATTCGATCTACAGTACTCTACAGGTTCGGGTATGAGCTGTTGTAACGCGTCTTTCTCTATTCTATAATAGTACACGTCTTACCTCTTTGTCCTTATTCATATTTGAGTCGTCTATTATCAAAGGTGGCAATCTGTGCATTTGGACAAAAAAATGTTATTGATATGTCAATACAGATTGATTTGAATATAATCGTCTCCTTCAAACAATACGGTTCAAAACCTGCATTAAATAAAGGTTAATACTTAATACTTAACCTGTTATTTATCTAAGAGGTCGTTCAGAAGAGTTTTGTGACTGCCAATGGAATACAAAGTCAATAATTCGTTTTTCTGATTTACCAATAATTGTCCAAAAGTCACATTGCCGGCTTTGATAATAGTAGACTCATTTACTTGCTTCACGTTTTTAATTTAAGAACGGATTTGTGCAAGCAGCTCTATTTTACTTTATTCGCGATAGATTTTCTTACATTTTAATATATTTCAAGTGGTAAGATGAGTACAATCACCAATTACTTATTTAACGTATTTGTACATGGCAAGGGCAACAATGTAATGTAAATGCAACAATGTATGTAGGTACATAATGGAAAAAGGTAGACAACCTAGCGGCAACATATTAGTCTATGTTGTAGGTAGGTACTAGGTACGAGTATACGGAGTTGTAGGTACCTGCCACATGCCATTAAAATTAAAATCTAGTTCATTTGGCAAGTCAATAAAATTAAAACTTATTTAATTGGTCATTATCATATGTTTCAGGATACTTTAGGATATTATTGTGTTCAGAGACACATTTTATTTGATATTTGAAATGTTATTTACATCCGGCATACGAGCAGTTGAGCGAGGGCCGATCTTACTTCGGATCTTAGAGTAATACCTGCCTGCAAGATTTGAAGACTGGTTTAGTGGTATTTTTATCCTTTCAATAGCGTTTACTGCCGTGTTTTGTTTTGTCGACATGAGGGCTCTCTTAGTACGTTTGCGTCGTGCCTCACGGCTACGGGCGCTGAGGTTGGCTTTTTTTGGTGGCATTTTACTGTAAACCACAATTGAATGATACAGTAAGTATAAATGAAATAAAATCGGCAATTTATAATAAATTCCTTGAAAAAAGTGATAATAAAATAAATATGCAAAAAATAATATAATATTATACACTATTACCAGTTTTACAATCCATAAAAATATATCTATTTATAAAATGTGATCAAACTGATCAATGATCATAAACGACTGCCCGTAATTTAAAATTACATGCTGCAATGTATGTTTTATTAGGCAAACAACTGTTTAATGATTTAACGGTTTATTTACTGTCTATTCCCCCAATGATTCGTAGATTTTACTAGATGTGATAAAAGAGTAAGCAACTGCTTGTTTGCAATAGCTTAACATGTTTCTTCACATCATATTCAGCTGTGTATGGATTCTGAATGTTATCAATTTCGTATAGACCCATAATTTTTTCCTGATATATATGTCATAAAAAAGTTAAAATTTTATGCACATTCCAGCCATACAAAACGCACATTCGCTTTCAATAATTATTTAATTACCTGTGACAAAACTTCCCAGATATAATCTAATTTTTATATAGGTATTGCAAATATCAACAAAAGTGTTTAGAAGGCAAACATGTTTTTAATAAAACTTATATGCTGTTATATGCATATAAGTCCTGTCTGACTCGGTGGTGCAGTCGTTGGAGGCACTAACTGTTGCACTGAGGGTTGTGGGTTCAATTTCAACAATTCAGGAACATTGTGATGAAGTATTGTTTAATCTTGATCTGGGTGTTTATTATCTATATATATAAACGTATATAAGCATGTATGTCAATCTCTGGTACCCACAAGACAGAAAATCCTAATTTGGGGCCGGATGACAGTGTGTGATTTGTTCCCAGTGATTTATTATGTGGGATTGAGTAAAAAATATTTAAACAAAACAAATTTGAATTCTTTTGAATACCTGTTATTTCTAGAATTAGGTTTTATATTGACCTGAGCTTTAACAATTTTATTTAAGTTTGGCGTTAAGAGCTGTTCACATCCTCGTAATAATTGTTGACGGGTGACATCCGCCTCCATCAAGTTTTTGGCACATTTATTGAGTCCTTTTTGAAGTTTTATTTTTCTTGGTGTATAATCTGTCATTGTTTTTTTAGTCTGCGATGTATGGCCACTAGTAGATGTCATAAGAGATACATCTACTGAAGTTACTGCAATATGGTCTCGACCACCCCTGCTGTGCAAATCTCTTAAAATCGGTTTTTGGAGCTTCTCTTTGTGTACTCCTGGGGTTTATTAAAGTACATGGTAAGTTTAACATGGGAATAGCAGCATTTTTTTACTTTTTTTTCATATACTTGTGTACATATTTTTTTCATATCTTTCAAAATGTAAGCTGCATATATACATATCATATAATTGTTCAATGTTTTTTTCTCTCAAGTCAGGTCTTCGACAAGCGTCTATCCATAACTGGCACCTGTAAAAAAGCATCCAGTAACATAATTAGTGAGGGTATACATTATGACACAAAATTGCTTTTAATTTAAAAAATAAAATCAAAATGTGTGTTTGTTTCACAGAAAAATTGTACTCAATTATACACTTTTATATAAATAAATAATCAAAAATTGCATGATCATGCATTGCATGTTTATATGCCTATATCCCATAAAGGTGGGAATCATAACATATAATAAAGTTAATAAGCTGTTTTATTATATATATTAACTTTATATCAAATTATACCAGAACAACCTATACAATTGCTTTTTTTTATCCTGACGTTAAATTATGAAACAAATAACATAGTGGCTATAGAGATGACCTGGTTTGTGAACTTTTTACATACTATCTTCATACTTCCAAATATTGCTCATCCATCATATTATTATTCTTATTCATGATTATTATCTTTTGAAATTATTTTTAGCCTCTACTTAATAAGGTATAACTAACAGAGACTATTAAGTACTTATGACTGTATGGTTTGTCCACATAACCCTCTGTTGTGATAATTATAACAACTCCAATATTGAGTAATTGTTTATTGATATGCTTACACTGATTGGTTACTGTTTATATGATAAAAATGTCATTATGCGAGTACGCGACGTCTTGCTCATTGTGGTACACGAACTGACACGAAAATAAATGACTTTGATGTAACATGCATCGGTATGCAATATGATGTGCGCGCTGGCCCGTACAATGACAGATATTACTAATAGATACAAAATAAATTAACATACTACACTATCTTTCAATAGAACTTAATAAATACGTAAACAAATCTAGATTGATTTTTCGTAAAGTGTGGCAATTCTTTCATTTAATGTTGTCTGTATTTTATTATTATTGATTTCTAACCAACTTGTCACTATTGGTGTATTAAACCATTCAAAATAATGTTTATTTTGGCTGTTTCAATGTTAAAGTTTGTTTACATTTTTCGTAACTTCTATTGAAAGATGCTAAAGACGATATTTGGTTAGCTAAAATGAATTAATGGAAATAAACTTACCTCGCATCACGGGGAAATTATGAAATCTTAAATCCTTGTTGTATTTTGCTGTTGAACCACGTCCGTACACAGAACAAATGTGCACCATTATAATGAACGCAAATAACGATTTTCACAAAATTTTAATTTGTTAAACACGGCAACGTCTGTCGTTAGTGTTTAAGAGCGCAAAGTAAGTGCGATCATGCGATGGAGGGCCGCATCCGTATTCCGTATCGCCCGCCGCCCTGCCAGATCCCCACCGTTCCTCTACGCAAGTACATCCGTTTCCTAACTGTATGGATTGTAAAACTGTGCTATTACATGAATTTGCTGACGTTATTGGGCATTCATTATTTTGAATGAAAAATATATTGGCTTCAAAATGAAATTACTGTCTTTCATGATAAAAACGAATCTGATAATCAAATCAAGTAATAAATTTAATTTGTTTTTGCTAAAATGCACATTATAAATTTCATACATCTCGTGGATCTCCAGCTAATTGGTAATTTGTCTGCTTTGTATCGCCCATAGATAAGGTATTAAGATAGTCGTAAATTCTTGCTAGAATGGAAATAATGGATGCTTACTTTGAATACAGCGCCACCTATTATATATCTATAACTAAGCCCATCCCGGACACTTTAACATCATGCCAATAAACTAACTCACTCCGCCATCTGTTACTTATGGAGTTCAGATTGAGCTCATAAAAAACAAATAATTTGCCATAAATATTTCCATAAATTAATAGACAAGCTTAATTTATCTGATCTCTCAAGTCGGAACAAAGCACACAGCTCGAAAATTAAAAACGTTAAAATTGGATAGTTAGTTTCGGCGTTCATCCCGGACAAACATCGTGACACGTGAGTTATTATACCTATTTAATATAAGACCTTCATTTGTCACCTGGATTATCAACCATGAAGTCCAGAAGAAATTTTCCTATCGTGTTGACGGAACTGAATTGTCAGATTGTCAAACAACTCAAAACAAGATTTATTCACCGAAAATAATTTCAAAGACTTTAAAACCACCACAGTTTAAATTGAACGAACTATACAATAATAAGAAAGCATTACTTTACTATTTTATTTTTATCACCATATTCTACACTATTTTGGATAAACCATAAAAAATGTTATAACAGTAGAAACTTGACCATTAAGTAGATAGTACGGTACCTTTCCTCCAAAAAAACCCTATTTTGACACCATAGTTTAACTGAAGTTGACGTACCAAACGCGTTTTTTATTAGTTCATTGGAGGACAGGCAAAAGAATAAAATGCCTTGTTTTATAGACTATGGAAAGTAAAGTTACATTAAATTACTATTTTCAAAATTATTACGGCAGTTTTCACGGTGACGATTTCGGTGAACACTGTTCGTACAGTGTGCTGCTTCATACAATAAATGAACAAAAAAAAATGAATGACGTCACGAACAAATGAGGTCAGTCGATTAAAGCTTTTGTCAAATTTTAATGTCGCTAGCGTAGCTAGTTCCGTTGTCAAAGAGAGCCGCCATTTTGTGTTTTGCATTGTGAAATTTTGGCATTTTGTAATTTTGATACGGTTTGTAATACTTTCTACTCTATTGTAGGAAACGATATAAAACATGCAGTATGAAGTTAATGTCGAGCTTAATAAGGATGGGAATGGTGTAAAATCCCAATGTGATTGTCCTGCGGGAAGTGATATGAATACCGTTTGTAAATAATATGTTAAAAATAAAAAATATCTTAAATAAATTAGATACCTTTTATAATATTGTTTTCAAAAAAGCATACTTTATCTTCACAGTGCTGGGAAGTGCTTGGCAGGCTAAAAAGCTGTTTTTTTAGGTTACGAATTTGTAATCTTTGTTCTCTACTTTTTGCCTTTTCAGAAGCTGGTTTCATATTCCATGAAAATATAGATGGTACAACACCTTTCTTCAGATATTTATGTTGATGTTTGACACCTACAACACAAATAAAAACATTTAAATATATTATCACAAGGAAACCTAACCATAGTTTCAAAATCTTTTTATTATAATGTATGCCCAGATTTAGACAGGATAGTAACAGCTTATATGAGGAATGAGTTTCTGCCAGTCTGTTTTTACTTTTGTTATTAAATGTTCCTTACAGCATAAATCTTCTTGCGAAATATGTTACTATTATTGTGCATAAATAAACATTTTTGAGAAAAAAAATTATAAGAGTACAAAGATGTGTGCTATGCCTAGTCATGCATAAGAAATATTTGACAGAAAGAAGCATACCCGTATATTTACTAATGTTTTCATAGTCCGATTCCATAAAGTGTTTACGACATAACCTCGAACTGTTTGTGGGAATACTTTTTTCGCGTCGAATAGCCTTTAACCATTTTCTTCCAATTTTCTTGTCCTTCGGAAAGTGATGTACTCCAGTTTCTGAGCATTTTGGCACAAAACAACGTGTCATTGTCTATAAAATAATTTTTAATGAATAACGCCCATACGAATATTGAATGTTATGGGAACCATGCACACTAGCGCTACTTTGACAGCTGCCAACCTCATTAGGTAGGCATAAACACTAATATTTTAATCTATGGGCACAAGCTTACACTTGGAAGACTTTTTGGCGGGAATACGAGGAGTGAAGTTGTGTGATTTGTTTTATTTTGTCTATTTAGTGTTTCTTCGGGTTTAAATGTGTAATAACGGTGATTTATTAACTGTTTAATATCTGTGAAAGTGCACAAATGTTGGAAAACGTAACAAAGCCGCTGGACGTAACTTCTCGGGATCCTCCAAAAAGTCCACTGAAAAAATCCAGGTAAATGAGCACCATTTTACTGAGATTCTATTTCATCCCATATCATCTCATCTCATTACATTTAATTTTATCCCAGTTGATTAATGTCTCAAATTAATCATATTCATTTCAATTCATTTAATTTCACTCCATATTATCATTTTTCATAACAATAAGAGTATAAATTAAAATAAGACATGACCTAAAGGTCTTAGTTACCAGGTCATAAACTCCCTACAAAAAATACACTTGGGACTTGCAATAAACCGCAATGCAATGTCTATCCAATGATTTGCAAGCGAAGTAAATTGTCCCTTTGCAATAAGGGCCGTTTTCCAATTACAGCACAAGATCGCATTATGCGGCATAATGCTCAACTAAGCTTATGGTTAATGGTTAATTTATATTTACTTGGGAAATGATCCGCGACAGATTTTTCCTGTAAGTTGTGAGACAATTAAAAAAAACATCTATTTCATCACTTAAAATTAGTTCAGCGCAATCGGACAGCTCCGAATGAACATTGACGGAGACCACGCTACCGTGGACATTACTGTTGTCCCAAAGGATTCTGTATATGGGAGAGTAAGCACCTAAATTCGAACGAGTGGGATTATCTAAAAATAGAAAACAATACGTAACTGATAATATAAATATTTACCAAACAATAAAATAACACATTGATAATTTTAAATAAAAGTTCTAGACAAAAACATCATGAATAAGCCAAATTTTTACCAACAAATTTAAAAAATATTGTTATAACTACATAGATAACCCTACAAACCTGTACCTATTTATACTTAGGTCGTTTCCATTTCACGTATTCTCATCCCAATTGACCCTTTTTTCGTTGTTATTTGTACCTAAGACGTCCCTAATATCCCCCAAAACAACAGATTTTTACATGTATTTTTATTTTATCAAATACATTAAAACCAATAACAACTGAGACTTACCTTTAATATATATGATGGTTCAAACACTAAATAACGTTTATAAATCACAGTCATCTTCTATTATTATCAAATAAATAAAAGAGAGCAAAGTTTCTAGCACTAAAATAATTACCACCACAGAAAGTTAATTTGAAACGCGGTTTTTTATAAGTTAGCAGCTATTATCATGCATATTCAGAGTTGTTTTGTGAACTTTCAACATTCTACTATTAAACTACAAAAATGGAAGATTTTGCAACGAATATAAAAATAATATTGAGCGTCGAAAGATTTTCCCGGTTTTTTCCCGATTCGCCTCTCAATCCCTAATCGCCCCATTTTACGGTACCTATAAAAATACACTTGACAAGAGCCATAGATAATAAATACACTTGCACTTACATAGATAATACATAGATTTAATATATATCAAGCACGTGTTGGATACAAAAACATTGCATTGATGCATTCTAAAACGTGTAAAATATTATTTGAGAAATTGTTGACTTCAAAATTTGTTTAATTTAATAAAAAGTATGGATTACCATGTAGTTTAATGTAAAATGAACATCTGAAAATTTAACAAGTGTGAATGTTGTGTATTTTCCAGAAAAACTTCTATGAAGCTAATAAATTATACTTAAAAAGTAAATAGTACAACGACATAGGTACGATGGAGGAAGAAAATACACCTAATGTTAGCCTTATATCGTGCATGCACTTTGTGCAAAGAGGCGTGGCGAAAGCAGTTCCTGAAAAAGTAAAAAAAAAACTTGAAAAACGTTTAGAAAACATCCTTTTTACAAAAAAAACCCCTATAAATTACTGCTTTGTTTTTTCTAGATTGAATTAACCCAAGGGGAACTAGAGAACATAATCAGACAGACAGCTAATGACCTGAGGTACGTACATACGAAAGGTAGGTTGGGTTTCATTCATGTTGTAATTCTTACTCACAAGTCATTTTATGTCAAATGCTTACTGCTACTGTAGATACCTGAATGTGAAACACCTCGAAACATGAGATTTAAGTCTCAATTGTGTAGTGTAACGGTTATTCCACCCTACAAACTGGAATGCAATACTGGTTGGCGGCAGCAATAGCCAGGGTAGTGCAACCTTCCTGTGCAAGCTCACAAGACACTTTACCACAAACAAAGACAAAAAACCCGCACATCTGTAAGACTGTGATACCTTTTTAAATAGGTAAATATTTGGATGCACAAAATGTAAATAACGAAATCCTCAGATTATATTCAGATTTTGTTTTGACTGTTTAAAATACATATTTGGCTTCGGTACTATTGTTACCATATCAACAATATTTATAATTATTATTGAATGTTGACTTCTATTATTGGAGATCCATACAGTTTTAATGTCTTTGACAAACATCTCATGAAAATTTGTAATAATAAATTATTAATGTAATTTTGAGGATGAAATAAATAAATTTTAACATAAAATTATCCAAAATCTTAGGATTGCAGAGCAAGGAGATGACGAGACTGATGATGAAGGTACAGGCTCCGCCCCAGAGATACCAGCCAATCCGAATGATGAATTCAACTTTGATAACTATGATAATGAAGACCTAAGTGAGTTTCACACTTGCACAATATATTTCTACTGGTGAAGTTAATTGACAAAAAGCACATGTGTGTTAAAGCACACAGTGATGTGTGTATATATATTAGATGCTTTGCACAGTTAGTAATCCTTTTTATGAAAGAGAGAATTAAGTACCCCCATTAGGACACAACACAGGATGTACACTTCAATTTCACAGTTGAATTTTACATTACAATTACATTCCTAAAGGCAAAAATATAGATTAAAAGTATATTGTCGGTTAGATTTGCGGGTATGTCCCAAATAACAATGTTAGGTTTTATATTTTGTAATAGTCGTGTTTCTTTTATATTTGCTGAATTCTATAATGCCACCCAGGCTCACTGATAAATTGACACGTCAAAGCAAAATATCTGCTTTAAATAATTACCACACCCTCATCAACTCAATAAAATCAATTTCTTCAGTTGCTAGTCTTTTTTTTTATTGCTTAGATAGGCGGACTAACTCACAGCCCATCTGGCGTTATGTGGTTACTAAAGCCCATAGACATCTACGGCGTAAATGCGCCACCCACCTTCAGATTTAAGTTCTAAGGTCTCAAGTATAGTTACAGCGGCTGCTACCCTTCAAACCGAAACGCATTACTGCTTCACTGCAGAAATAGGCAGAGTGGTGGTACCTATCCGCGTGGACTCACAAGAGGTCCTAAATTCAGTCTTATTTATAATTGTTTATTCCATAAAGAGCCTGAAGAATATGTTTTTTTTTTTTTTTTTATTGCCCTTGTAGGCAGACGAGCATACGGCCCACCTGATGGTGAGTGGTTACCGTCGCCCATGGACTTCAGCAATGCCAGGGGCAGAGCCAAGCCGCTGCCTACCGTAATATGTACTTTAATTTGGCTTGTGCTCTTGAGCAGCCATCTGTCACAGATATATGGATATATATAATACACTTCCTTTCAGATTTGAATCCAGTTGGTATAGGAACAGTAGCAACAATACCTAATCTGGGGGATTTAAGTGAGAATGTGCAAATAAGAGTAAGTTATCTATTAAAATCTCAACCCATTACATTAGTTTCTATATGGGATACAGTAGTATAAGATAGGTGTAATGATTAGCAATATTCAATCAAACATAATGACTTATTAGAATTTATTTTTTTGTTGCCTTAGAAAGCAAATGAGCAAATGGGTTAACAACGGTAGTTTCGGATGGTGGAACTGCTGGGAGCTTTTGTTATTGTTGAAGAGTTTTTCCTTGTTCATAAGCATTCTGGTGAAATATATCAAATGTCAAAACTTTAAAAATGTTCCCATACATGTATTTTTCTATTACTTGCTTATATTTATATAATTTACTAATCTATCTGTTTCATAAATCTGTCTATTTTAGATATTGCATATAAAATATTACAATTTAGTAACAAACTATAAATATTATTTTAATTCTATTGATTTAGTCCACACTGACTTATCGATAACACCTACAGTGCTTATCGTCAGACTGTTTGCTTAGATCATTTAGAATACTCTAGTGTGGTGCTGTGTTACTGTTAATTTCAAATGTTTTGAGAACGAAGTAATAACTTCTATATTGGAAAATATACAGACTGAAGGGCCAGACAGTGATGAGGAGGATGATATAATTAAGCCCGAGGACAATTTGCTGCTTGTGGGACACGTAGAGAGTGATGCCAGCGTGTTAGAAGTTCACAGTAAGTTCTAATTTTAATGAGCTTGTTGTATGTAATATTCTACATTATACATTTTTAATGGCAAATGTAGGTGATCCAAACTAGCAAATTAACAAAGTTCATTTATTTAGTTACTTCCTACTTTAAAAATAGAACTAATTGCTTAATATCTATGTTAGAGGTAAGTCGGACTATACTGCTGTATGATTTGTATGGCCCATAGACATCACCATGCAAATGCAAGGCGTGAGACGTGAGATCGAAATCTCACTTATTTTTGAATGATATCATCTCATCTCAGATTACAGCATCGATTCCCTGCTCAAGTACCCCTCATGTGTTAAGTGCTACCAGTCATTCCCATAGATTTTTAAAAAAAAAATCTGAAAAAAATTTATAAAAATACAAATTAAAATCCATAATAACTAGAAATTTCTGTTTTCAGTATTTAATAAGGAGGAAGGCTCTTTCTACGTGCATCATGATATAATACTGCCGTGGTTCCCTCTGTGCATCGAGTGGCTCAGCCATGATCCAACAGATCCAAACCCTGGTATGCTTTCTCCAACTAGTTTGTCCCGCTACTTATTCCCGCGATTAAGGAGATAATTAAAATCAGACAACACTTTGTTAATGCGACTGCCAAGATTGAACTTCATAATTGTGCTGATACAACAGTTGTCTCTCTCAATCTGATTGCATATTGCTTCACAAGGTGTATTCGGGTCAGCCGTACCCACGTGGCTGTGTAAGACACTCAATAAAAAAATAAACAATTACAATAAACAATTTTAAAATGAAATGAAGACATAGTACTTACTACTTGTAGTTATTAATTAAAATGAACTTAAAATAAATCTTATTTTGAATTATAATTATTATAGATAGATTCTTATATGTAATAATGTATTATTCGCAGAGTTTGTTGAATTGCTTTAGATTATGTAGAGCTGATTTTCAGTGATTTATATAATTCTCAGGTAATCTGTGCGCTCTCGGTGGTATGGACCCGGTGATTCAAGTTTGGGACCTGGATATTGAAAATTGCCTCGAACCAGCATTTAAATTGGGAAAGAAACCGAATAAAAAGAAGAAAACAAAACGCATAGGCCACAAGGAAGCTGTACTGGATCTCTCTTGGAATAGGAATTTTACGTAAGTCACATTAAGTTTCTATTTGAGAATATTTCTACGATGTTATAAAACTAAAATTGTACAAATTATAACAAAGTGAGTTCATACACTGAAAGAATCTGCTTACTTTATTGTCCAAAAGCACAATATATTACATTGAAAGCTCCTTCATTTGCTTGTTGACTATTCGCGGATTAAAAAAATACCCGATTTCTATATTCTATTTGGTATATCGGCACATACACATTGATAAAAAGAATTCCACTATGTAAGCATCCAACCGAATATCCTTTTTACAATGTAAAATGGACTAATAAAAAAGTAAAATAGACCTATAACAACTATTCCTAAACGATGTTGTCCTCTATTGTTTCCGGCAACCATTACCGCGTTACCTTTCATTTTCAGGATTTCTGTATTCGCGGCATATTTCCAGAACATGTACCCCACGAATAAAGAGCTTTTACTGTATCAGAATATTGGTTTTTTAAACGGTAAATTTATGTTATTGTAGTGACTAGGGTAGTAAAAAATATTCTTACGAAAATTAGTCTCGTGATGTAGATTAAATTTCTATAGACACTGTACTTTAGATATGAAATTTTAAACAATAGTATGCCTCAGTACATTGCTAGGGTAAGCCATCAAGGTTTTTCCAGTATTTCATTATCAGTCACCATATTGTTTTATATAGTTAATATGTCTATTCCAGGCATGTATTGGCGAGTGGTTCAGCTGACAACACAGTTCTACTCTGGGACATGGATCAGGGCACTCCTCACACTAAACTGGACTACTTTGCTGATAAGGTATTTTTTATTAACCATTTTCCATTGAAATCTGTTTTTGTCTGTAAGTACGGAACTCCTACTTTGTAGCATTGGAACTGTTCAATCAAAATATGAGCATTAGAATTGTAATTTTGTAATGGTAACACTTAAGTTGTAACTTAATTGCTCATTTTAAGATTAGCTCATGGCAAGCTCTTCCGGTCCAGCTTTTTAGCTCCATGCATGGCAAATTGTAATTAAATTACAATAAAATTAGAATAAACGCGAATGTTCATTTACAAGCCTGTATTTTATTAATACAGGAACGTTTACACAGTTGAGACTAAGGTTTCTTGCGTCGAAGTGCCATTCATAAATAAAAAAAATAAAAATCATTTAATTCAGACCATCATAAGTCCATATGTTGTTAGTAGAGTAATACATACTTATAATTATGTTAGTAAAATTAAAATTAGCAAAATTATTAAAACATTTAATTCATAAATCATAAACCTTGCTCTTTGTGAGTTTCGGTGAGCGCTTAACGAAGCTCGACTAACGTATTGCAGGTCCAGAGTGTGAGCTTCCACCCGCTGGAGGCGCAGACGCTGGCGGCGGGCGCGTGCGACGGCAGCGTGTGCGTGGCGGACTGCCGCACGCCTTCCGCGCACCGCGCCTGGCATCTGCCGCCGGAGATAGAGCGAGTCGCCTGGGACCAGCTCAACCCCTTCTGCTTTGCTGTGAGTACTCTTATAACAATACTCTAAACTATTGGCGTTGATAATCATCTTGTAGGGTAGTACATATAAGTCATGTAATATATAATAATAGAGGAGTGTTAAACCAACACTCGGACAAGACAGTTGTTTTCATTCGAACTGGTGGTAGGACCTCTTATGAGTCCGCACGGGTAGGTACCACCACCCCGCCTATTTCTGCCGTGAAGCAGTAATGCGTTTCGGCTTGAAGGGTGGGACAGCCGTTGTAACTATACTGAGACCTTAGAACTTATATCTCAAGGTGGGTAATGTATTTACGTTGTAGATGTTTATGTGCTCCAGTAACCAATTAACTCCAGGTGGACTGTGAGCTCGTCCACCCATCTAAGCAATAAAAAAAAGGCTTTTTTTTCTGCCTTGAAAGGCTATGTCAGGGTTTACCCTAGCGTGTAGGGGAGCTCTCTGGGCTCAAACCAGAGGTGTCGCTAACACTGGCCCTAGCAAGGCAGTGCTTCACAGACTACCACCGGATCAGAAACACGACCCACTGAGAAGATCCAGCAAGAAACTCAGTGGGCTGTGTCTTTGGAATACTTTTGCAGTGAGCAAACAAATGAATTATATAGAATGACGGATATTTTACTAGAAAACGTATCGCGCAAGGAATAACCGTACGATTCAATTTAAAGATAAGAATGAAACAAAGTGACTCACAGCCCACCTTGTGTTAAGTGGTTATCGAAGCTTATCGACATCACCAACGTAAACGCCGCCACCCACAGAGACATGAGTTCTAAACGTCAGTTTTCTGGATTTAAACTTGAACTTTCTGTGAATAAAAAGCCCCATAAGAACAGTAAATAAAATGAGCAATGAAATTTTCAGATGAGCAACAATGAAGGAAAAGTAGCCTATATTGATTGCAGACAAGATGAACCGCTCTGGACCGTACAAGCTCATGAAAAAGAAGTCACAGGTATACAAATAATGTTTAAAACCATTGATTTCAAAATACCATCTATTTAGTAAGCATGCTTTAAGACGATATTATTTTTTAGGTTTAATACTGAGCAATAAAGTGCCTGGTTTGATGATCACAGTCAGCACAGATGGTTTCATGAAGACCTGGGATATTACAAGGTATGTTAATGTACAGACAGCTGAGTTAAAATAACTGATATATTTTTATAACTTAGATGGGTGGACGAGCTCACAGGCCACCTCATCTTAAGTGGTTACCGGGGCTTGTACACATCAGTAACGCACCACCCACGTTTGATATATACATCTGCGATATATGTTTTATTATGAACAAGAACATAAAAGAACGACTCTATTTTTAAATATAATAACTGTTCACGTTGTTTACAAGATCTAATTTTCCCAGATTTAAGAAACCTGGAAGAGAGTATTATAGCCAGATAAAATATATATTTGATTGATAAAAATATATATTTTACTGTTTTTTTTCCTACCGATTCTAGTGACCTCGAGGGGTCCTACTAGATTCACCGAACGAGTAGGTGAGCTCATGGGGTTCTAACCTGAGGACGTTGCTAACACTAACCCCAGCAAGAGTAGTGCTTTGCTGAATTTACTACCAGACTGGAAACGCGACCCACTAAGATCCGGCGAGAAACTCAGTGGGCTGTGCCTGAGGGTTAATTTGCACGTCGAACCCTTCGTCGGAAGCGACGGTCTCGACGAGAACGGTGACCGATGTTTGAGGTTATATTTGACAATTTTGACATTGACAGGTCCGGGGCGGTGACAGCCAGCGGCCGCGCCGTCCGCGTGGGTCAGGCCCTTTGCGCCGCGCTGTGTCCCGACGCGCCTTACAGCGTAGCGGTGGGCGGAGACAACAAGGAAAACTATATGGAGATGGTCGATCTCTCCCTTAGTGACGACTGTGAGTTGTTATACTGTTTTGTTCAGCGCCGGGGGTCATTGACCTATACGAAATTTTGCTGAAACGTAATGTCAAACGCGTTTCGTATTGTATCAGTAAAACCACGCTACATATACAATAAAGGTCAAAATCTTTATCGTACTTTTAAGTGTGCTCACGGGTGCTCATTAGAATCAATGAAATAAAAAATTTAATTCTTTAACGGAAATTAGATTATTATATTCTTAATTATTTTCGAAGTTGATATTGTTTTTTTTTATTTTTTATTACGGAAGTTATTTGTGTACGAGAGTTAGACACCGGCCTTATCTTTGTAGTCACGAAAACTTCAAACTTTGAATTCGACCCTCATAGGACTTGGTAATGACAAATGACATGAATAATTTCTTTTTTTTTTTGCAGTTTTAAACCGTTTTGGGTCACGGCCCCTTGTGTCAGCGAGAACAGAAGAGAGTAGTGCCAGTATGGAAACTTGAGCTTAAACTATATTTTTACAATATAAGTAATAAATATATATTTATGAAAGTAAAAACAAGTCTAGTTTTGTTATAATATTTAAAAAAATACGTTTTAAGGCATTTAAGCCTGCAAGGTACTGATCCTGTATGTGTCTGCTATGCATTTTGGTTTGAAAGGTGGGACACGGCCGGTCTATCATATAACGGTATCTAAGATTAAAATTATAATATTCATCACCTCTCACAACTTTCGTGAAATTTAAATGGATAAATTATCAAATAGTTTTTTTTTTTTACCGGAGCCCATCTACAACGTAAATTCCGCCACCCACCTTGACACATGAGTTCTAAGATCTCAGCTTTTACAGTACAACGGCTACCCCACCCTTCAAACCGAAACGCATTATTGCTTCACGGCGGAAATGGGCGGGGTGGTGGTACCTACCCATGCGAACTCACAAGAGATCCTATTTTAAAAATTTTAAAAATCATATTAAAATCAATATCACTTTTATTGAAATTTTTTACTTGCCTGTTATTTTGGTTTTTTCTTATTGCTCTGATGGGTGGACGAGCTCACAGCCCACCTTGTGTTAAGTGGCTACTGCAGCCCATAGACATCTACAACGTAAATGCGTCACTCACGTTGAAATATATGTTCTAAGGTCTCAGTATAGTTACAACGGTTCCCTGACCCTTCAAACCGAAACGCATTACCACATTACTGCTTCACGGCAGAAATAGGCGGGGTGGTGGTGGTACCTACCAGAGTAAACCCGCAAAATTATAATTTGCGTAATTACTGGTGCTAGGACCCACCAGTATTTACGCAAATTATAATTTTACGGGTTTGATTTTTATTGCACGATGTTATTTCTTCACTGTGGAAGTCAATCGTGAATATTTGTGAAGTGCGTATTTCATTAGAAAAATTTATACCCGCCTGCGGGATTCGAACACCGGTGCATCGCTAGATACGAATGCACCGAAAGTCTTATACTTTAGGCCAAGACGACTCATTCATCATCATCATCAGCCTGCGGCAGTCCACTGCTGAACATGGGCTTCCCCCAAAGCTCGTCACTGAACCGATCTTCGGTTCTACGCATCCAGTTACTGCCAGCTGCCTTGCGCAGGTCGTCGCTCCATCTAGCAGGGTTTCGACTTTCATTGTAACCTATATATTAATATGATTTTTTTTAAGATCTATACAATTATTTTTTATACAACAGATATGTTATCTTCATAGTAACTGACTCTTCAAATCTGATCGCGCCATATATATCTACATACCTACCGATATAGTGCACACACATGTTGACAAGTAGCATTAATGAAAAGTACAAATATGGGATAAGCGCTTGAGTAAACAATATAGCTATAATTGGAACGATTGCACTTGTTATATTATTATTGTATTTGTTTAGACGCGACTAAAGACGAAACGTCCCAATTGGCCTGTTTTCGAGTCTTCACTTGACGTGCGCTTGAAACATATCTGCTTCTTTTTACATATAAAATATCATTGGATCTATGTATTTCCTGATTTCTTAGTATAGGCATAGTTTTGTATTTCTATGAACGACGAGTCTACCTCGACCGCAACATTTGTTTCAAACACGACGTTGCCTTGTTCAGAGATCCACGTGTTGGGTTGTAACCAAACAGCTGACGGACCATATCAGTACAATAAACATAAGCCGCCCGGTTTTCAACCAACACGACTGTATTTCTAGCCATCTATTAAATTAACAAAAGGAAAAAAAATACAATGCATGTGGTGATATTATTGGTGTATTGTAACAAAGTGTATTTACAAAACGAACAATTTTAATGTTTCCCATCACCATTAATACCATCACATACCGGACACACCGCTGCCGATCAAGTTATCATAACTTCGCTCGATTGTCGCTGAAAAAACCAAAAATAACCTTTTTTTTAAATTCCGTTTATTTAACAAAATGTTATTAGTATTGAATCAACTAGATACTACAATTTTTTTTGTTGAAAAAATAAAGAGCCCGTTTTATTTTTTAATATAATCTAAAAGCATTTTTCATTAGAAAAATTATAAATAATTATATATGAAAATATTACATTGGTCTTCGTTAAAAATAAATATATTGTTCTTGAGCTTTTGTGTAACAAAAGATAATCTTATTAGCTTGATAAAAGACTTTTTTAGTTCAGAATTAACAATATTTCATTCGATGAATCTGAAAATTTCTTTGAATACAAATTGTAACTTTTTAATTTTCTACTTCACAGCCAGAATATTTTTAATAATTATTTACAAAAATATTAATTGAACTTTCGATACATTGCTTCTGTAATGCATAAAATTTAAAAAAATATAAATACATAATTATTTATGCAGTCATGTCATATGAGATTTAGTTGCTTACAAAAATAAAGATATACGTTTTTAACGATATATTTTTACTAAAAATATTATAAATGCGATCTACAAAATGTAAGCTGCTACTTATTAAAAATAAATAATTTGGTTCGTTTCATTATATGCGTGTCGTATTTGTTGGCAACCCCTGACGTCATTTATATGTTCTCTTGGCCTAAAGGTCTAGATACCAGGCCATAAACTTAAAAAAAAAAAGTTCTCTGATTGCTTCGACGTCTTGCTTTTAGACATCTTGATTTGATTCTCATATATTTTTTCCGAAACAGCATCTAATTTCTGATCTCTTAAATATATTCGATACCATGATACTATCTAAAACGAAAATCCAATTTTATCTTTAATAGTCATTATAATATATTGAAGAGTGATAGGCTATTTGAGTTTAAGGGACATTTTTGCAACATTACGTAGGGCCATTTAAAGTTTAAAAATTTGAATAAATATCATAACAAAAAACTTGTAGAAACTAGCTGAAGATGTTTTTTTTTGTTTGCTCCATTCTTGGAGTATAACTTTAGTATCAAGCGAAATGTCGCTTAAACTATATAACCTTTCATGCCTCAATATATGTTATATATACATATATATGACATCAGGTGTTACAAATATATATCAGTGAGCTACCGAAAAAAAAAAAAAACATTTACTGATCGTCAGGGAACTTGGTGACCGCGTCGTTGATGGCTTTAGCCACGTACTGCACGTTCCCAGGGTTCAGCCCGCAGATGTTGATGCGACCGGACTTCAGCAGATAGATGTGGTACTCCTGTATCAAGTACTCGCACTGGCGCTGGTTGAGACCCGTGTACGAGAACAGCCCAATCTGCTTCACTATGTGGTCCCAGTTGCCGGGAGTTCCCAGTCTGTGGATCGATAGAATTTATGTAACTAGCAAACTAGACGTGACCCGCGGTTTTGTCAATCAAACAATTAAATCCGCGCAATCAGACAATTAAAATAAACACGTGTGGCACTCGGGGACTGCCGCGATAAAGCTATTGCATGGCATTTTTTATCAACTTATGCAATTGCAATCAGACAATAATAATTTAATATTAAAACAATAGTAAAATATGACCACGCTATATTTATAAACATTAACAAAAGCAAAACATGAACTGCCCCTTCACACTCATAAGCTAGACCGCGCGAGAGAGAGATGGGCAGACTTTTCGTGATGCGCATGCAGTGCGACGTCACGCCGCGCGCTTATTCACAAACACTACACAAGCGCAACGTGTAAATATGCGAGCTACATAGTAGGCCGAGTGGGGGTGTTAGGTTTTATTTTCGTTACGGAATTTCTTGATTCGGTCGCCGCGCTCAAAGCCCGCGATAAAAGCTATGCAAAAGCTTAAGAAAACTAATTTTGTTTCCCCCACCAGTCGCAGTCATTGAAGCCGTTTAGTCATTTGTGAGCGATCAAACGAACGTTAAACTTTTAATGTTAACTTTAGGTAGCCTTGCGAGTCCGCGCGGGTAGGTACCACCGCCCCGCCTATTACTGCCGTGAAGCAGTAATTCGTTCCGGTTTGAAGGGCAAGGTAGCCGATATACTACACAATTGTGACTTAGGCCCCGTGTATCGAGATGGGCAACAGCGTATTATCGATTTACGAATGCTGTAAGTCTGTTTAAAGATAATGATCTTTTTTTTTAAAAAAAAGAACTTTCAAAATGTTGCTATTTTCTTTTTTTTATCATATCTTCCAAGAAAAACGGATAAGTTTGATTGACTTACTTCACGAGCTCAGACCTCAGAGCTTCTCTCATCTGCATGACCCTCGTAGACATGAGTTTGATGTGGTCCCTCCTGTAATTAAACAAAAACATTAGAGGTTCAGTTGCATCAGATAATTGTTCTCAAGTATGCATACATTAGCGACCATTAGCGCTAATTATTTAGCACATCTCTCTAATGGAAATTTGTTTAATTTTATATGTTTATAAATCAAATCAAGATATCTGATTAACTTAAAAAAAAAACGAGTTTCAAGTACCGATGACTATACAATAATTTTATTACTGGCATGACTGACATATTTACATCCGTAAATGAATGCTGGACTGTTGTTATTTGAATGCAGGACCGTTGTTATTTAAATGCTAGACTGTTGTTGTTTAAATGTTGGTTGCCGAATTATTTTTAATATAAGTTATTTTTTTATAATGAATGTAAACGTATGTAGTCCAGAGGTTGAGACTAGAAAAAAATCACACAAGTACGGAATGAAAGAGATTTTTAGCAAAACTATTGACGTGCTTTTGAGATGGAAAAATAATAATATTTATGTATAACTAGCGACCCGCCCTCGCTTCGCTTCGGGAACTGTAATTTATTATTGATTATAAGAATGCGATGGTGAGAGAGATTTTTTCCTACTCACTTGACCGTTATCGTAATATTTTGGGTAATTCACATTATATTTGACACTATAAATTATAGTCTATGTGTTATTCTGATATGTAAAGTTTCATCAAAATCCATCCTTATTACATGCATACATTCTTACAAATTTTCGCGTTTATAATAATCACTAACCGTACTCGCCCGCTTCGCTGGGGATTTAAAATTAACATTATTATTTATTGTCATGGATACCAAGTTTCAAGTCAATCGGATGCACGGTTCAGTAGTTATAACGGAACATCCGTTAAAACCCCCGTAGATTTATATATATATATTAGTATAGATATAGATGTCACTCAGAAATAGTGTAGTTTCCAAACAGTGAAAGAAATTTTCAAATCGATTCAGTAATTTCGGAGTCTATTCAATACAAACAAACAAATCTTTCCTCTTTATAATATTAGTATAGATAGTAGTTTCGAGATATACGTCAGAGGGAAGATCTTCCACCGAGCGGCTGATGTAGACCGACGGTCCGAACGTTGTTGTTCGGAACTTGTATACATATATGCAAACTTATCTTTATGTTGTCGTAAGCGAGATTCAGGCATCTGTCAAATATCTTGTGTTTTTTATGGCTGCCGCCACAGTGGGGTTATAGTGTTAGATCTCTGTAGTACTGACCACTCATCGAAGAGCTGCTTGTTAGTGAGCACGGTGGCCACGACGTGAGCCCCGTGCGCTGGCGGGTTGGAGTACATCCCTCGCACGATCCACGTCATCTGGGACTTTATACGAGCAACGTGCGCAGACTCGTTCAATACCACCGCTAGGTTGCCAACGCGTTCATCTATCGACAATATGATTCATACTGTTTTAAAACTAGTTAGACTGGTAATTGTTTACCGAAACTATAACATCATAAGGTGAATGTCGCTGGCCCCCTCAAGACATGAGGTCGAGGTCTCGTGGACCGGGACGGCCACCGGCGGGCTTACTATGCCGTACCGTGCTATATACAGGAATGTACTATATATCGGACTCTACACCGGACTGTACTAGACACCGGACTGTACTATACACCGGACTGTACTATACACCGGACTGTACTATACACCGGACTGTACTATACACCGGACTGTACTATACACCGGACTGTACTATAATATACCGCACTGTACTATACACCGGACTGTACTAGACACCGGACATTGTTAATAACACAGTTGAATTCATGAGAATGCTTCCTCTTTTTATTTATTGCCGCTGTAGGCAGACGAGCATATGGCCCACATGATGGTGAATGGTTACCGTCGCCCATGGACTTCAGCAATGCCACGGGCAGAGCCAAGCTGCTGCCTCCGGTTCAATACTCTCCACAAATATCGTTTGAAGAAGAACATGTCATAGCGCTTGGGAAACACCGTGGAGAGCTTCGATCAACAATAGTAACTAGATTTCGGGTCGGTGCATAAAATCCGTCTCGTCAAATAACAGCGCACTTGAAATGTGAGCTCTTATTTTGTTTAGTTCACTTCAAACACAGCCAATGTCAACCCGTCTCACAATACCGCAGTGTGTATTCAAAAGTTGCAAAAATAAGGCCCGAAAAAGCAATTTAACGGCCGGAGTATCTTACTTTCGGTAAGTACATGAAGTATAAACTATATTGTAAGCTTTAAACTTATAAATAATATTAAATTTTGAACAAAATTACCGATTTTTAACCACCGCTACAAATGTTGGCCAAGGCTCGGCCAACACATGGACAAACTTTTGCTTAACAGAACAGTAAATGCATGGAGTAGATTTGTGTTGTAATAATTTTTTAAAATTTGTTAGCAGCACTTCAAAATTAGTTGGTTAAAATTGGTTAATGCTGCTTTTGTGTCTGTTTGTTGGACTCTCATTAGATACTTAGCTTTCCATTTTTATTTTAGCTTTCCTAGCAATCACGTGTGCAGAATGGATCTCGATTGTCGCCAGAGAAACAAGAGATGACTTTTATAAGCCAGCTAAGAACTCCGCTTATTGACACTGGACATCTTTGCCTTCCGTGCTCACGGCTACTGAAATGTGGCCGAAACATTGTAATAAAAATACCACGCTTGAAACCGTTTAAACGTTGTTTTATTATGTGCACTGGTCGCGAAAACTTAAAAATATATATTACACAAAAACGTAACGCTAATAAAATAATAAGTAATGTATAGATACTAACAAACATACATTTCCAAAACATAAAAAGTAAACAACTAAACTTTTACTTTAATTCATTAATAAATTATTTTAGTGTTAAGCGCGACTCCCTTACCTCCTGTAGTAAATAGAAATCGGCATTTCAAGAAGCAAAAATAAATAAAGCAAAACGATGTTAGTTCTCAGAGCAATTAAGGGAAAAGTTACTTTATTTGTTGCACCTTAAGATTGATTTAACATTAAAAGTTGTTTAAAATATGTCTTTTTATTGGTAAGTGACAGGAGTAATTTATTGCTTTGCTCGTTTTATGTGACGAATGATCGTAAGTATTAGATAATGTTTTGGAGATTTGTGACTTTATTACTAGGTGCCATAGTTGTTATTAGTTTGAAAGTAAAAGTGTTTCAAAACTTTTTTCTCCGTTTGTTAGTAAACGAATGTAGCTATATAAGTATATATTCACGCGGACAGTTTTTGCTTTAATTTTGTACGTATCCCTTTATCTAGTTACTATTGTTGATCGAAGGTGGAGAGGAGCTCATTTCAAAGCCGGATGGTACGTGGAAATAAGTACTCTGGAAACGCACTGTGGATGAACGCAGTGGCTCTAGGTACTCTACTCCGATGGCGAGCGTTGCTATGGTAAACCTTAGTATACACTCAATAAAAACTCACTGTAAAGTCCGAAATTCTTGGCATAGGACTGGGCGCAGAGGAGTTCGAAGCCTCGACTGACGAAGTACCGCACCGCCCACGCGTCTCCGTCCAGGTCGCCCGACGCGAACCCTTGGTACGCGCTGTCGAAGAACGGGAACAACTTGCGCTCCTGCACACAAATAATTCACCACACTATACTATATATCGTCATTTCGCATTAAAAGTGTACAATTTCCAAAAATATTCGAACTTTAGTTAATATGCGGAATCATTTGATATCACCAGTATTTTTCTCATAAATACTGTCAAAAGAGCGTAGTTTAGTTTTATTTTTTTAGTTTACCTATGTTTTGTCTACTATTAACAAAATGAATACATAATTTTATCTTACTTTAAAAGACAGATAATGTAACTGTTAAAAAATGAAAAGAAAATGTTGCAAAGAACATTAATATTAAAAATATCACATGTTAAACCTTTAAAACACTCTCCTGTAAAATTAGTAAGTTTTGAAATTATACAGTTTTAATGCGAGAAGACGATATATCAAATGGTGAAAGGTTTATTGAAGTGAAACTTCTAATGCGACTTCCAACAAGGTTGCGTTTTTTTTTAATTGTTTAGATGGGTGGACGAGCTCACCGCCCACCTGGTGTTAAGTGGTTACTGGAGCCCATAGACATCCACAACGTAAATGCGCCACCCACCTTAAGATACAAGTTCTAAAGTCTCATGTATAGTTACAACGGCTGCTCCACCTTTCAAACCGAAACGCATTACTGCTTCACGGCAGAAATAGGTAGGGTGGTGCCCACCCGCGCGGACTCACAAGAGGTCCTACCACCAGTAATTACGCAAATTATAATTTTGCGGGTTTCATTTTTATTACACGATGTTATTCCTTCACCGTGGAAGTCAATCGTGAACATTTGTTGAGTACGTATTTCAATAGAAAAATTGGTACCCGCCTGCGGGATTCGAACACCGTTGCATCGCTTCAACACGAATGCACCGGACGTCTTATCCGTTAGGCTACGATGACTTCAAATGCGTTAAACGTTTAACGCTACCATACTAGATAGAGACAGAGCGATAGTGAATGCGTGGCACTCGGATGCATGCGCGTAGTATACCTGTAACAGGCCAGCGCGAGTGTTAGCAACGAGTAGCGTCCAATATCTTAATGAAGTACTTAATATATTTAAAATATATATATTTTCTATCTATAATTTAAAAGATATATAACATAAATGTTGAAGATATCGCATCTCTTATACACAGCATTCCCTATTACAAGAGCAATCTGATTTAAAGATCAAAAATGAAGAAAACCACAATACTACACATCGAAAAAGAAGTTTAGCTTCATTCACGTGCATCAAGTTGCCCGTGCACCGTTTTTTTTTGTTTATCTCGCTCACCTCCATGACATCAGCTATTTTCACCCACTGTTCCCTGGTGGGGTCTATGCCTGTGGGATTGTGGGCGCATGCGTGCAGCAGTATGACGGCATTCTCCGGAGCGCTCTTGAGGTCTTCGATGAAACCGTCGAAGTCTATGCCCCTGGTCTTCGGGTCCCAGTAGCGGTACGAACGGGGCTTCGTGAAACCAGAGTTCACGAATACTAGGTGATGATTCTCTGTGGGTCGGTGGTTCCATATTATCTTCTCAATTATCTACTAGCGACCCGCCCTCGTTTCACTTCGGAAACTGTAATTTATTATTGATTTCCCCACTATTTAATGGATGTTATTATACATATAAACCTTCCTCTTCAATCACTCTATCTAATAAATAAAAACGCATCAAAATGCGTTGCGTAGTTTTAAAGATTTAAGCATACATAGGGACAGAGAAAGTGACTTTGTTTTATACTATATAGTGATACTACATTTTTTTTATCTTTTCCTACATTAATGACATGCAATATCATAGTTGTTAACAACTTATCTGAAAAATAGTTTATCTAAAAATGTTCATATGAAAAAAATGGGTTATTATTTGAATTCTGAGTGAAATTTTGATACCAAGATCTCATTTTCGTGTATTTCGTCAATTTTGTCTACTAATCCCAAATTGTTAAACATTTATCCATCTACGAAAGATAATTTAAGCTTTGACCCGGGCTGTACAGTGTAAGACGTGTTCGGAATGAAGATGATGAACTATCTATCAAGTTTCCACCAGTCTGGTATACCTAATACATTTTCAGTGCCAGAACATTTACCGGCAGAAAGTTTATCTATGTGCGTGGTAAAAGTGTACATACCCCATGTAGGTGTGGAGTAGTAGAATGTATCATATTTAAGATGCTTGTTGAGGAACTCGGCGCCGACGCGCAGACCACCAGTCCCGGACAAGACTTGCACACCGAAAGCCTGCGATAGGAATGTCTCAATCTAGATTTCTTTTAAAACACCATTTCTTTACTACCAAAACGAACCATTTTTTTTTTTTTCTTACATGTGTGGACGAGCTCACAGCCTACCTGGTGTTAAGAGGTTACTGGAGCCCATAGACATACTACAGACTATAACGTAAATGAGCCACCCACCTTGAGATATAAGTTCTAAGGTCTCGAGTATAATTACAACGGCTGCCCCGCCCTTCAAGCCGAAACGCATTACTGCTTCACAACAGAAATAGGCAGGGTGGTAGTGCCTACCCGTGCGGCCTTACAAGAGGTCTACTACTTGTCTCAAGGAAGGAGCGATCACTCGTAACATCAATAGAATGATATAGAATATTCAAGGCGACGTCGGGTTACACGCACCATATAGTACACGCTACAGTAAAAACGACAGTCTCTAGGCTGCAACAGACCAAAGGATTAACTTATCAACTGGTAAATTATGGATCAAAGAGCGACACTTTATTCCGGGAAAATATAATATAATTCGGAAACGTGTTGCAAAAAAGTAATTTTAATTTTCACTCAGATAGACTTTTAGGGCTAACCCACGTCTGACGTAAGCAAATATCAAAGATGGCACAGTGCGTTTCCAGAGACACAGTGCGTTTCCAGAGATCTTTTTTGCCACGTACCATCCGGCGTTGGAATGAGCTCCCCTCCACGGTGTTTCCCGAGCGCTATGACATGTCCTTCTTCAAACGAGGCTTGTGGAGAGTATTAAGCGATAGGCAGCGGCTTGGCTCTACCCTCGGCATTGCTGATCTCCATGAGCGACGGTAACCACTTATCATCAGGTGGGCCGTATGCTCGTCTGCCTACGCGGGCAATAAAATAAAAAGATGAAGAGGTCATTTAAAATGGCGCACGTATCTCTCTATATCTCAGTGTTTGATAATTTGTAAGCAAAAAAACTAGGAGCAGGAGATTTGTTGTGGTTAAAATATATTCTACAGTGTGAATGACTGTTATAACTTACTTTTCCAGCGGCGATGGCAGGACTATCCTCACCAAGGAGCATAGCCACAGACGCATTACAAAACTGCTCCAGACCTAAGGACAAGCAATATGGCCTACTTAAAACTTGACATATTCTTTTTTTTTATAGCTTTTATTATAAGCTCCTTAAGGTCAAAATTGCAAGTTAAATTAGAACTACTTCTTACATTTTTTTTTGCGCTGAACCATCTTGGTTAAATTTTTTTATTATTTAGATGGGTGGACGAGCTTACAGCCCACCTGGTGTTAAGTAGTTACTGGAGCCCATAGACATCTACAACGTAAATGCGCCAGCCATCTTGAGATATGGGTTATAAGGCCTTAATTATAGTTACAACGGCTGCCCCACCCTTCAAACCGAAACGCAATACTGCTACCTGCGCGGACTCACAAGAGATCCTACCACCAGTAATTACGCAAATTATAATTTTGGGGGTTTGATTTTTATTACACGATATTAATTCCTTCACCGTGGAAGTCAATCGTGAACATTTTCGATGATAATGCATTTTTATGGTATACGTAACTTGGATCGTTATTCTGAATTAGCAACAGCAAAATGATTCTCAACGCTCTATTCAAAAAGGTCAAGCATAGACACGAAATTTCGTGTACGCCATTATGATAGCCGGCTTTCAGTTTTACCATAGTACTGCACTCAAGGCTGGGTTATGATTAGGGAACTCCTTGCTGGTTATCAGCACAAATATGAATTAACCTAATACGGATTCAATTGTGACAACACATTCATCATGACAAGCTTGTTTTTTTTACTAATTTTATTCGACACACAGTAAATTGAGGCCATGTTAATTTTTTTCCTAAGCGCTACTATAGTAACCGGCAAACTTCTTGAGCAAATGACCTTGACTGCGCAGAACCGAATTTTAGATCACTTTGGTGGTGAGGGTGAGGCGCGACGGCAGGGGAAATCGTATCGAGCGCGTTATTGGTAGATCAGTCGAACCTTGCGTCCCGCACCGCGCCCGCGTTCCGCTTGCTCCCAAAAGTACGCTTGCGTACAGTGAAAAGTCTATCGTTATTAATCGTTAAGTTATTTGTTATAATTGCTTGTTGACTTTGTTGCCATTGCTATTTGTTGAATGTTTGTTGATTTTTTATAAAAAATACACTATGCCGCGACAAACTGGTGTAGTATTCAAAAGAAAGGGGAGAAAAATTGTGTACGACGTATATTGCTTTATTATAAAACAGGGGAAGAATGATATGGAAAAAGTAAAACAGACTTCGGAAGCAACAAAAACATCCGTGAGTACTGTTAGGTGCATTATTAACGAAGCTAAAGGCTCTGGCTTGCTCGCCGTGTTTCGGACTCCGGGTAAGAAAAGATCAGGGAAGAAGAAGAAAGTTANATTAACGAAGCTAAAGGCTCTGGCTTGCTCGCCGTGTTTCGGACTCCGGGTAAGAAAAGATCAGGGAAGAAGAAGAAAGTTACCGGAATGGATAGTTTCGTTCAATCTGTAATAAAAAGATGTAATCATAATAACTACATAACAAGCAGCGAAACTCCGTACCGTAGAAAGGCTTCGAAAAATTTAAAGAAGATATAAATTTTAATGGCGCGGTATGAAGTTTACGACGAATTATGAAAGAGCTAGGCTTCAGATGGAAAAAAAACAGAAAATAATCGGAAGCTGGTAATTGAAAAAAAGTTACATTCGATTACTACGAATCGAATATCTTCAAAAAATAATTAATTATAGACAAAAAAGTAGACCGAACCGACCGAGTTGTAAATTACACCGATGATCCTATGTCGACTCATCACGATGATAGCTACTCGGGTGATAAAAACAGTGATGATGATGGTCAAGATTATGATAACGAAAAAAAAATTTACAAATACCAGCTTCGCTTCAATAAATACATATGTTGATTTTAATAATTTAATTGCATTATGACGCAGAGTAAATAATGTTTTTGCACGTGAGTGTACCATGCGCAAACTTACCCCCACTACGTCAACAAATGCTCAAGAAGTTTGCCGGCTATTATACCATCATTATTTTTTTTGCCTCAGTGATGAAAACTTGTTTTATGGAAAAATTCTCAAATTTATATATGTGTATATATTTTTTTCTTTTCATATTGATTTATATTATTATATAATTATAATATATATATTTTTTTAATATATTTATTACGAATTCAGCTATAAATCTCACAGTGAATTCGGGTGTTCGAATTAAGTGAGATTTCTGAAAATTTTATCATAGCTTTATCCTTACAAAATAATTCTTCAATCCGACTGCACGTTTGCAACCTTTCACTTCTGGTTTTGGTAAAACACAATGCGTGATGAGAAATTTAATTCATTATCGCAAATAAAACGCGAAACGATTATACTTGAAGAATCTCTCTTATTTTTATCGAAGCGCTACCTTGAAATTGTTAGTTACGTCAATCTCACTTTTATCAGTTGTTTTGTTTGTTTGAATGATACATATTTGATATTTGAGAATACAAGTTGCTTTCAATGATGTTTAATTTAAATCTAAATTGTTATAGTAAAAAAATTTAAAAAAAAATTATGTATAATAATATTGTTTATTACTATTTCTGGCCAACGTTGATAATTTTTTTGTTGTTGTTTTTAACAGAGCTGAGAAATCGAACAATCTATACTAATATATAAATCTACAGTGGTTTTTACGGATGTACCGTTATAAATTACTGAACCATGAATCCAATTGACTTGAAACTTGGTATCCATGTACAAAATACGTGTACTTTATGGATAGGCTAATATTTATATGAGTGTTGGACTAACTAATAATAATGACAATAAATAATAATGTTAATTTTAAATGCGCGGCGAAGCGGGCGAGTACGGCTAGTATTATTATAATACACTACTTTTTAAAGTGGTATCGAGTTATCGACTAAATTAACGCGCCAATGGAGGCTGTATTGACAGTTTATGTGTCAATGAGATGTATGCGTATCGTTGCACTAATTATTTTAAAAATACCAACAAAAACTAGCAGACATATTTCTATATAAATTTAGGAATTCAGTTCTGAAAAGCAATCTTATTTACTCTTTATCGACCATTGAACGTAAAATATTGATTGCAATTATTTGATAAAATTTATTATCAGTATTACATCATTACAGATAAAACTAAACATAAACAGTTAACATTACTTCAAATGTACATTTTCATTACTTCGTCAGCGATATTTAGAGATTATTTATTCAGGATCATTTTTGTATTCTATCTAGATTTTATTTTACTGTGCAGGTATCAGGCAAGTTATGCATTTTTATTGGATCTCCAATGATCACTTAAAACTGGTGATTGATAACGCAATCTATCATAATCATGTCGAAATCACCATGATCATCGAATGTTAACATCTAGTAAGCGAACACCGGTATCATCCGCGTAATCTGACCGCCTCAGATACAAAGCCCTCTCTTATCAATTTAAGTATAACAAAATTCCTATAGTAATAACAACAGTACCCATTATAAAGATTACCGTAACGAAAAAGCCATACTACTTTAATTGGCCAAGTTAGGCTTTAATTTGTATAGAATCATTAAATATTTCACATTTTAAATATATATTTTTTTTCCTGTCTATTTACTGGTAGCCTGAAACTGCTTTCAGGTTACGCTATAATATAATAGAATATAGTATATACCTAGCTCATAGCACAACAATATCGATAAAGCGATAAAGCACGACACGAGAACCCTCTCATCGTGGCCGCCGGTAACTACATTCCCGATACTGCGGACAGAATGGAAAGCAGTCGACGTCGCCCAAAACACGTCATCTCGGATCCTCCCGATCCACTAACGGTGCTTCTAGGGACTTCAAGCACCGGTCACCGTCCTCGTCGAACCCGTCGCTTGCGACGAAGGGCTCGACGAGTAAATTAACTCTCAGACACAGCCCACTGAGTTTCTCGCCGGATATTCTCAGTGGGTCGCGTTTCCGATCCGGTGGTAGATTCTGCGAAGCACGGCTCTTGCTAGGGTTCGTGTTAGCATTGTCGTCAGGTTTGAGCCCGTGAGCTCACCTACTAGTTACGCTGGAATAGCCGCTCCAGGCTACCAGCTAAGGTAGGAAAAAACACTATATGTACATTGTTATGGACACATTCAGACTGTACTGTACTATATATTATTGGCTAAGTGTAGGCTAAACGTCAAGACCCGTCTATCTATGATCTGTATGCAGCGTCTCCTCAAGTACACCGGACACGCGGCCCGACGAAATCCTGACAACATGGAAAAACTAATAGTTGTAGGTCACGTGGAAGGAAAGAGAAGTCGAGGAAGATCGCCAACCAGGTGGACGGACATTGTCACGGAGGCCATAAACACCAACGTCCCGGGCGCCATTAAGCAGGCCGAATGCAGGCAACATTGGAGGAAGCTGGTGCAAAAACTAGACCAAGGTGATTACGACCCTCAGTAATGAGGAAGCGACGAAGAAGAAAAAGTATAGGCTGCTATACTATATGGCACTACAGTATAGCGTAGTCTGAAAGCAGCTTAAGGGGCTCTTCCAGCTTTACGCGGAAGGATACGTGAGCTTACGGACTCGAATCTGAGAGAATTTACTAACACTACCCCTAAGGAGAGCAGTGCTTCGCTGAATCTACCGCCGGATCAGAGTCGCGACCCACTGAGAAGATCCGGCGAGAAACTCAATGGGCGACAATAATCAGTAAAACGAATTGCTATACCCAGCTAACGCTTCAACGTTGATAACTAGATTAATCATAATGACATGACATAAGATAATGGATAACGCTAAGGAAACAAAAATAAATATCATATTATGTATCTTTGGAGATATCTATAGATAATGGTAGTTTGATGATATTACGGAAATAATCGTGCTGTTGATATTGGACACTACATTGAAAGTAAAAGAGTCCTTGATTTGTAATTGAACTATCTGAAACTGGTACCATAACAAAATATATTTCACTATTTCGCTTTTCAGCAATTGTTTCTGTACTGCTGCTGGTGGTAGCTGATGGTAGGGCGTTTTTTTGTGCCTTAGGAGTGTGTACGGGTAGGTACCACGACACCGCCTATTCTTTGATTACATATCCAGAAGAAAGGGCTCTACGGAGAGGGCTCTAACGCAGAAACTAGTGGTTCAAGGCAAGCGACCATGCAAGCGATCACCAAACCACTGAACAGTTCTGATACAGAATGCTACTGAATCCATCATGGAACTTTAAAACTGTACCATGGTGGATTCAGTTGGTTTTGTTCTGTACCAACCTGAGACTTAGATATCATGCGATAAAAGGGCGGCGGCATTAACGCGGTTGATGTCTATGGGCTCCGATGGCCACTCAACACCAGGTGGGCCGTGAGTTCATCCGGCCATTTTAGCAATAAATAAAAAATACAAAATGGTCCAGTGCACTCAAAGCGTTCCGAGTTGGAAGTTTATCTCCAGGAGAGCATTCCTTGCAAAAAAATGAGATTTAATGAATGCTTTTGACCGTACATGATCAGTGCAAACATTATGTCAAAATTGCTGACGAAAAAGAATCTATAAACTCCTATAACCACTTAACCGTTTTTAAATACAAGGTCAAACAATTCTATATCTCATCAACCGAATGATCATTGTTCTATACTCTTCATATATATTGTTACTTATAATATTTTGTATTCAAGTTTAACAATATTTGCTATGTATATGTGCATTACTATAATTATTATTCTCATGTTGTATTTGTTATTTTAGCTGTTCTACACACACTCATCACTTTTAATTATTATTCTCATAATCCGGTCGCAGATCTGCTGGAAGAGATTTCTAAAAGTAATAAGCAGTGCCTTTGTACATAATTTTCCTATTACTCTGTACTATGTCTTCTTTTTTGTGTGTACATAAATAAATAAATAACACCAGGGTGAGTCGTGAGAACTTTCACCCTTCCACAAAAAAATTAAATACAAATGCCAACTTACCTAACACGGGAAGGTATTCATGCAGTAAGGTTTCATCTGCTGCCAGCTGTTTTTCCATCTTACGAACGATGGGCAGTACCCATGGTTTGCCATTTTCATCTCTGTATGCTGAAATATGATTTCTATATGAAAGTTCTACCAATTACTCATTCTACGAATTAAGCTCCTGTTGTGAATTTTTATTAAATAAATTGTTGTAAGTATCCCCAATAAATTAATATTTTTTTTTTTTCTATAAACTTCACATATTTTTGTGAGTGTCCATTAAACAATTACCTGTAGCTACAAAGTTATAATAGAAATTGTGACTATGCATAAGTCTTGATAAAGGTTAAATTCACTTGGCTACTTCCCCATTGTTTGAAAGAGCTACCTTTTAAGTTTGAAGTAACTGGAGACTGCCAGTTCTATCAGTCTGGTATAGCACAATATATCTGGCACCTATTTGTAAAGCATTATAAAAATAAGTTGAGGGTCGATTTCTAAGATTAATGATATATTGTCTTTTGTGTCTTTGATCATTTGAAACATGCAATAATGGGTTTTATTTCAGATTTTTAAAATGTTGAGATATCACTCTATAGATCATCAAGTCAGTAAGAGTGAATGATTTTCATGCTTAATATGAAACAACCTCCTCCAAGGACAGGAGGAATAGGGAGTGAAAATAAATACACTACTTCTACTGCCAAAAAAAAAATTTATAAGACAAGTATATTACCAAAGTAATAAAAGGGGTCAGAGCAGATCCTAGACTGTGTTTCAAATAATAATATTAATTATTTACCAATTAAAACCAATTAGACAAACATGTATCATAGTGATATTTTTTTTCATTAATTTTATTGCTGTTTTTTTCATTCTTTAAAATAATTTTCTCTATATTAGTATGTTAAGCCAAATTTCTGATGTTGTTATTTATAAATATTATAGAAACAATTTACATATCTTGTAACACCCATACTTTACATAAAGCACAAAACTAAAAATGCCATAAAGTGCTAATTTTTCAAAATTCATATCCGACTAAACATACCTTGAACCTGAACTTTGTCTAGGTTTATTTTAAATATTTATTTTATTTTACAGATCTACCAACTTTTACTGGAGATATGACACCAACTATGAGGCAATTTCAGCTATCTTAAGGCACTTTTCACTTTTTAAAACATAAAGAAATATTTTCAATTCTACCTTTAATTTTCTAATTTTAATCCTTATTTTTCTAATTTTAATCCTATTTCGCGAAATTTTTACTTTGTTATTAGTGACTATAACATGTACACTGCATGATTTATGCACATTTATTGACAGATATTTGTAAAAAGCATTTATTTCTAAAATTATTACTGACCAAAAACATTATCTTTACATAGCAGCGGGCCTCTAGTTTAATCAGAGTACAAATTCTAATTAGGAACTTCCTCACATTTAGCAAAACATAATAATTAGTTTGGGCATAACATAAACACATTACATAACGTAGAACACTTAAATACCTATTAAATGCATGCAAGTATTTTACTGTGAGAATATAAATATAAGGCTCACCTCCAACTCCTAAATTAACTTTATTTTGAAAAGTATCCTCAGTAAAAAGTCTGTTTAACAAAAACACCTCTATCGGGGGGCCTTGTTCGACACCTTGGAATCGAGAAGCCATTTGTTTCTTTACAAAATTTTACACTGGATTAATTAAGCCGACCGACTGAAATGATTTAAAGATAATTATTATTTGCTAATAAATATTCACCAAAAAATCGCGTAATATCATGTACGAACCTCGGCCACCTAACCTAATGTGACCTTTGTCAATGACAATATTGTCGTAATATGTCATTGTCAATCTTTTTTTTTAATTTACCATTGGACTCACATTTTGCATATTTTTTTTTGGGATTTTATGACCTGGTATTTCGTTTAATGTATAAAATGCGGCATGAAACCGAATAAAAGGGTTATACATTAACATTTAATGATATTAAGGGAAATAATAAAAAAAATCCCAAACACTACAGGTGTTGTACAAGATGACTCAAAAAATACCATTCCCTGTACTACGAGATCTAGAGTAATAAACATACGCGTCGAGTCTTCGTAAACCCATGGCTGTGGGCTTTCTGTCTTGCTGGACAGAAATGAAGTAATATGGTAGCTATACACGTATCGATACTTGCGCAAGTTGACTTGTACAAGTTTATCATTACGTGTATGGCTACCTTTAGAGTTTTCTATATAAAGGATGTCCCACAAAAATTTCGATTCATTTCGATAAAAGAATGCGTCCTTTTTATATTGCTTAGATATGGGAAGCCGAGCTCACGGATCATCTGATATTAAACGGTTACCAAAGCCCATAAACATCAACACTGTAAATGCCGCCACCCATCTTGAGATATGAGTTCTAAGTCTCCGATTTTACAGTACAGCGGCGGCCTTACATTTCAAACCAAAATGCATTACTGCTTCACAGCAGAAATAGGCAGGGTGGTGATACATTACTGTACGGACTCATAGGCACACTACCACTACTAGTACACTACTAATACTACACACTAGCTTTAATCAGTACTACTGAGATGAAAACATATTAATTATGGTCGTACAAATTGAGTGCATATATTGTTTATGTTTTTCTCCGTCAAATAGGCCTTTTCCGTGTAATATCCCTCTCATTAAGCCCTCTTTGGTGCATGATCAACATTCTGTATCTTCTAAATCGAGGTTACTTAAGTTATACCTTAAATCACTTTTATGCTTTAAATAATTAAACAATATTTCTAACAACTTCGGACTGCTTTGGGAAGCCGACGTTATACGAAACACAGCAAACGCGATAACAAGACCGCCCTAAGACAGGTTATTTGTACTCATATACGTGCACTCATATATTGCACCTTCCAACTTGTCAGCTTATTGAAGTACACACACACACGCATAGCTCCGCGGGTGCCGCTAGCCGCTCCAACTGTGTCGGCACATCAAACAGCTTCTTTTGTCTTTGCTGTCTGTCTTAAAGGAGAAATTTAATTTTTATTCCAATTACCGCAATGAGTTTGAAATTTGGTTTGAGTTTTTGAGCCTTATTTACCTAGTGATTGTGTCGCATTTTTTGACGCATTAATTGTTTGAAATGAACGAACTTGTTATTGTCTATCTACGGTCTAAAGGTACGTTTGCTGTATAAATGGAATGTTATCGAACTGTTGAAATAGTTAATATTAGGTTGATGGTATACATAAAATGACATACATAAAATTGCGTTAATTTACCAAAAAGTCAATCGCAGCTTGTTTCTCTCTGAGACCAATAAGTTAAATCTGGAAGTCGTAGAGGATTTCATACATCTGGGGTCCATCATAGCTAATAACAGATCCTGTGAGAAGGACATCAGAAGGCGCACTGTTATGGCAAAGAGTGCTATATCCCCAATGGATAGTGTATAGGCTGACAGAATCATTACGATTAAAACCAAAAAGCAGTTCATATGCCTTGTCTTCGGCATTTTTCTTTTCAGTGCAGAAAGGGGATGGCCCATTTTAGGCCCAAAGCGGACAATAGATTATAGAAAAAATACTTAGTGCATTAATTTTGTCATAAATAAATATGCATTTACTTTCTTGCAAATAAGCGCCACTACAGTTTACAATAAGTAGTTTAAAAAAAGTAACTCTATTGAAAAAACAAGGATTTTTATTTTTGCGGAAAAAATATTGCCAGCTTCAAAACCTTTTACGTATGAAGTAAATATTTTGAGTATATAAATAAAACATATAAATAAATCATTTTAAGTATTTTCATTAATGAATCGATTTTAATGGATTTTATGCACATAAAATAACATCGAAGACATACCCATTGGACTTTAACTTGTAACTATACTTGAGACCTTAGAACTTTTATCTCAAGGTGGGTGGCGCATTTACGTTGTAGATGTATGTGGGCTCAAGTAACCACTTAGCAACACCAGGGTGGCTGTGAGCTCGTCCACCCATCTAAGCAATAAAAAAAACTTTACTAGTATTGTTATTTAAATATGTACAACTAAAAAAAAAACAAAAAATAATATGTACTCGTAAATAAAAGATTAAAATATAAATCAATTATCGGTTATCTAAAAAAAATTATCGATATATGAATTTCATGTAATTATTTTTCTTTATACTGACAACACTGAATTTAATCTGACTGACTGACACTTCGCTTGCTGCTTGTGGTGTTGTGCTTGCGTACAAAATGGATGTGTTTTGATTTTTCTTCGATTTATTTTACTTTTATCAATAACGTTTCATACTACGACTAAAAAACATTGTGTGAATTGTAGTTTTACCCTGACCGAGATTTAAAACCGTGTATATGCTCTCCTTTGCTATTTTTAGACGATACTAATTGTGTATGAAGATGAAGAAAATATAGATATTTAAAGAATTAAGTGTGTTTTTATACCCTATTGGATAAAAATACATTAGGAACATCTTAAACATTAAGAAAAGAAAAGTTCTTGAAGTATCTTACAATCCGACACTTATTTATATAGAAAATTAACCTCAAAACGAGTTTTTATTTTTATTATATTTTTTATAATAGTGGCGTCAATTTCAATATATTTTTTAGATATCCAATACATTTAAGAATTTGAATCAGTACATTTTTATAGTAATATTTGATGTCCATCTTGGGCCTAGCACACTATGGAGAGTGGGCAATCCCCTTTNCTTACAATCCGACACTTATTTATATAGAAAATTAACCTCAAAACGAGTTTTTATTTTTATTATATTTTTTATAATAGTGGCGTCAATTTCAATATATTTTTTAGATATCCAATACATTTAAGAATTTGAATCAGTACATTTTTATAGTAATATTTGATGTCCATCTTGGGCCTAGCACACTATGGAGAGTGGGCAATCCCCTTTGGACTCTTAAGAAAGTCGATCGCCAGGGCATCAATGCGTTTGAGACGTAGTATTGAGGCTTTTGAAGGAATTGCATGTTTTGATTAGCACATTAGCACATTATATAAAAGTAAAATAAAAAAAGTAATTTTGTCAAAGCTCCCTACAGAGCTCGTTTTTAATCAAACTAATAATACTAACCGAACATAATTAAACTTGCAATGCACTAAAGCATTAACAGCAAATAAACAGGCAATCAAATATTTTAATTTAATTTTGAATTGTTAACATTTGTATTCAGTATAAACAGGATTTTTTAATAATTTTGCTCTGGGATCTTCAGGTCTTACTATAAAATAAACTTTTTTGAATTCTGTATTTTCGCAATCATTTTTTACGTAGTTATACATTCCCATAATACCCAAACCTATTCCAACCAATGCCAATCCTGTAGAACCCATAATTTCAGGAATCTCCCACCAGCCTCTTTTAAATAATCCAATGAGGGTATTACCGAATTGTACTTTATGACCAATTATTTTTGGTTCAGGTGTCATGACTGGTTATTCTTCCCGCTTCTTAATTATGTTTTTTTCTTGTACTGTAAAAATTATTGTAGCTTTTATTTTTCTTGATTAAGCGAATATAGAGGGAGATCTGCTTTACTTTTATCTTCAAAGTACTTAATACAACTTATTTGGTGGATACTTTACTTTCTATGCACAAAAATGTTTTTTGAGTATTAAAACGTCAAAATTAATAACGATTAATTTATTAAAAGAGAATTTATTCCACTAATTATACTTCTTTTTCTGGAAATTTCTCTAACTGAAGTCTAATCAATGAGACTCAATCTTAATAGCCGCATTGCATCGGTACCAATTACTTTAGCTGAGGCCACCGTTGCTCTACATCCGCAGCTGAACATACTTTAAATGAACATACCTTCTTGGGGCACAGTGAAATTTTCGCCGCATTAGGTATATAAGTCTACAAGTGTGTGAAAAAGAAAGACACAAAGACATAAATTATCGGGTGTTTCCAAATAGTCCACTGAACTCTCAGTAATACCTATCATTAATAATGGCAAGTTATTTCAGCTATCAAACATTTATTCGGTGTTTCTAGTTTAAATGTGTGATAACGGTGATTTATTAACTGTTTAGTATCTGTGAAAGTGCACAAATGTGGGAAAATGAAACAAAGCCGCTGGACGTAACTTCTCGGGATCCTGCAAAAAGTCCACTGAGAAAATCTCAGTATTATATTTCATCTTATTTCATTTCATGCCATGTTCATTTCATGGCTAATGCACAAACCGAGCGAGCCACAATAAAAAAAAGGTCTGTGCCATAGGTCAAATACTGACGTTTGTGCAATTGTGCAACTATTATATTAATCTGTAGTATGTGCTGAGCTGAAAATATTGAGAAGTTCTATTGATTTAAAGTAGGGCCTACAAGCATATATAAATGGCTGCGGCTTCGAGAAAATCGCTTGGACAGCTAATTCAACAGGGATGGAACGAGATCCCTGAAATTTTTGCCTCAACAGGCTTAGGTCTTGTTGGTATTGGTCTGGGTGTTCTTGGAGCATACAATTACGTGAAGAACGATGGTGACAATAGAAGGTACAAGGGTACCTATGTGGTGATGAGGCCGGACGACCCAAGAGTGAAGCTTATACGCAAGGAGTAAACCTGAAACTAAATATATTGCCTGTGTTGTTTGTTCTTAGATCCAAATATTATGTAATATAGGTCTGTTTAATGAAAATTCTCTTGTTTTATTAGTTCTTTAGAGCAAATTCTTAAATATTAAATTTAACTAACTGGAAAAAAACCTAAGTGATTCACCTCTTTATATTCCTAGCAATCCACACAAGGGCGGATCCAGCTTTGGCGCCAGGAGGGGGTCAAATAGTCAAATTTAGATGCGTTCGTTCCCAAACGTTTGCCATTATACAAAGTTATTATGTTATATTAAATTAATTAAATATTGAAGGTATGTAGTTACATAAAATCTGTATGTTGACAAAATATATAAATAAAATCATTATATTCAATTAGTGGCCCACCTAAGTCCTGGAACCAGCTCAGGGGGTGGTCATGACCCCCATGACCCCCCCCCTGGATCCGCCATTGAATCCACATCACATTTCAACTCAAAAACATTCAATCTGCTGACATGGTATAAATTATGCAGACATAATGTGAAGCTGGAACCCCTTGAAGATGTCTGAAAAATAGTTATGAATGAAATGTTAATAAATTCCAAGGAATCATAGAAAGAGAAAAGGCAAGGCTTCCACCTTTATGGTTAGGAATGAGGTACTCGGAACACTCACTTATGTAGGCTGGAATAAAATACGAAATTTTCTACTTTATGAATCGTCCTTTAGCCAAATTAAGCTAGGAATTAAATTTTTGCTTATACTTCAGTGGTAAATTACGAAGATATGTCTCACCAAACAGTTGGTATTTCTTGGTAGCCTGCCAGTACAAACTTTACTTAGTGTACTTTTTTAAAGACCCGTAACTAGCAAATATCTGTAACGTTACATAAATTGAAAGTTGTAATGAACATATTTTGTTGTTGTAGACGAAATGTAATTACACTTGTGACGTAACATACACAAATTGCTATCTAACACAGTTAAGCGAGCATGATAAAAACTACTCAGACATGCATACATTGTCATCAACACATCTTGTGAAACTATAATCTAGTGTAAATATTCTGAACATATTTAAATGCAAATATCCTGAAAAAATGTATATATGCAAACTTTAAAAATGTCAGTGTAATTCAGGAACTGGTCAAATATTTTGTTATATAGTAGCTATAGCTACACTTCCTAAAATATCATGTGGCTGCACAGACACTAACACATTGAACGCCACATGAAAAATTAAGTATTTTCATTCCTGCCACCTGACTATCACCTGTATAAGCAATAAAAAGTTAATCAATAATATAATGCAACTTATTGTACAACAATGTGTGTGAATATGTAACAGAGAACTTTGAATTGTTTGAGATGATCCTGATGTCTCTCTTTTACCATCAACACCACTGTCACCATACCAGTCAGTCAATTTTTTCTGGAACCACTACATGTGCCCACAGTGTTTTCAGAATAAAACTTGGTGGCAACCAAACATTAAGGGAGGGTAGCACTGCGAGACGAATATAGAAGTCAAGTGAATTAAATAATACAACAGACACAAAATTGTTTCGATTCAAGAAATCCAGACAATGTAAAAGGTACCAATTTTCAATGTTCACGATTGACTTCCACGGTGAAGGAATAACACCGTGTTATAAAATCAAACCCGCAAAATTATAATTGGCGTAATTACTGGTGGGTCCTAGCACCAGTAATTACGCCAATTATAATTTTGCGGGTTTACTCGGGTAGGTACCACCACCACCCCGCCTATTTCTACTGTGAAGCAGTAATGCGGTAATGCGTTTCGGTTTGAAGGGTCAGGGAACCGTTGTAACTATACTGAGACCTTAGAACTTATATTTCAACGTGGGTGACGCATTTACGTTGTAGATGTCTATGGGCTGCAGTAGCCACTTAACACAAGATGGGCTGTGAGCTCGTCCAACCATCTGAGCAATAAGAAAAAATAAAAAAAACAGGCAAGTAAAAAATTTCAATAAAAGTGATATTGTTTTTAATATGATTTTTTAAATTTTCGAATTACAGAAATACAAATTATTTGTCTTTAAGTACGTCATAGTTGTGTAATCAAATTACTTTAATATAGAAATTTTACCTTCCAATAAAATTTGTATTATGTTTCCTAAGACGTCCGAAGTCCATTATGAGAGTACATCGTATGATTTCCACTGCAGGTCGCTAAATTTGACTACTTCCGTTTCCTAAGACCCATCTACAGCGCCCTCTATAACGTCTGGAACCGAACCAACAAGCAAAGACAAGCCGCCATATTTGTCATTGTTCGGCTCATAATGATGGATGTAGCCCCAGGAAGACATTATCTGGACTTCGGACGTCTTAGGAAACATAATACAAATTTTATTGGAAGGTAAAATTTCTATATTATGTGTTCCGTTTGACGTCCGAAGTCCATTATGAGAGACTGTTTGTTATCTCCTGGTGGCTTGTATTTGAAATAAAATAATATTTATTTAAAAAGCAACAATGTGACTTATTGTGTTTAATTAAGCAANCACATGACTCACCCATTATTGCGACAGTAAGTCAAACCTTTTTATTCAGATCTCGCGACCAGTCACTTTTTCGAAGTTTTCTTGCTGGTCCCTAGTCTTTATTTTCCAACGAACCCGAAGAAATATCCGAAGAAATCGAAGAACTATCCTCACTTAAATTTTACTTTGAAAGGCGCGATAACCTCGTCACTCATTGTAGAGCCTTGGAGGTTTCACGAAACGGAAGATAATCATAACACTTGTTTGAAACAAACTTTCTACTTCAAATCTCGAAAGTTGCTTATAACATTTTAAATTACTAACTTCTTAAAATATTAACGACTGCACGTGGGAAAAAACGACGCAACAATGACAAATATGGCGGCTTGTCTTTGCTTGTTGGTTCGGTTCCAGACGTTATAGAGGGCGCTGTAGATGGGTCTTAGGAAACGGAAGTAGTCAAATTTAGCGACCTGCAGTGGAAATCATACGATGTACTCTCATAATGGACTTCGGACGTCAAACGGAACACATAATAAAATATCTTTCATCTGCAGTCATTATTTTCAAAGATAAATCATATTGTGTTCAATTATAAAAGGTATTTTTGTAGTTTTATGAACTCTTTAATTTTATTTTATTTGAGATTTATGGCAATTTTTCATAATCATGAAGTGTTACATCAAATAATTTTCATGAAAATTTGGATTACTTCTTCTTCTTCTTTTCTTTGTTTGTTTTAGCTTTACTTGTGCTCGGTTTTTCTTTACTTAAATCCGATTTTTCACTGTCTTTTGTCTTTTTCTTCTGCCAAACAAAAACAATATAATGTTAAATACCTTGTATGCATTGCTAATTAGCATGAGTTATTTTTTTAAAACTTTATTTTCCACATCTTATAAATTGTTACAAATATAAAACTAATCATAATTATTTTTTTCTTTTTCATTTCTTTGTTATATGCCCCCCCTATGGGTAAGTTTCCTTTCCATTTTTCCATGTCTTGGCTAAAAACCTTCCCAAGAAAACCAGTAATTGCAATTTACTACATTTCAATTATGACAATAATGTAGCATCAATGCAGTTATCAAATTCATTGGATATACGGTTTCTCAGTAGTATATCGTTGGAGATTGGTATCTACCCACCATGCTCTAAGGAGCATGAGTAATGAAATACTTTACATTACGATGCTTGAAAGGCAAACGTGACTAAGCGACAATGCGTGAACTTTACAGTAGACTAATTTAAAGTTGTAATACATGAAAAAAATTCTATTTTAACGAATCTAGCTGTTGGATTGAAATGATTTTAATAGACGTAGAAATATTTTTTTTTTGCGCATCGAATATGTTTATTGCCTATCATTTATGTACAAAGCTGTTATTGTCGCTTAGTCACGTTTGCCTTTTAAGCGTCGATTAGTATAATCATTCGCGAAGCAGCTGCTCTTGAGTTGTTAGGTCTCCCTTGGAGGCGCTCGGGTAGCTGTTAGCAAATCCCGCCCCTTCTGGCTGAGCCCTTGCTCACCCACCTGTCCTGGTGAAACTGAAAAGGCCTCCAGGCCGCCAGTGACACTTCAATCATAAAAAATAATTTAGTATATCAATACTTTACCTTTATAAATGCGTCATTCTCTGCGTCGCTGTTCTCTTCCTCGGTCACATCACCTGCTTCATCACCGTCATCCATTTCGTCATCGTTTCTATTTCGACCTTTCTTCACGGCTCCCGGCGCGTATGGCAGAGCGCTAGCCGTCTTATTGTACGTTCGAGTCATAGCAGCTTTCACCTGAGTTTAATCAAATCATTCGTATTACTTTCACTGTCTAATTAAATCGATCTTCTGAATTTTGTTATTAATTTGAAACTATGCCTGTATATCATAACATAGGAGGTCGGATGTACTGTGATTTCAAAATTTCTATTTTTAATGCTTTCAAATATATGTTAATTACAATTTATTAGTTTATAAGTTCATAGTTAATTGTTTTTTTACAAATTAAATCATTTAGAATTTTAAATTGCAATTTATGCAAAAATTATTGTAATAATAATATTTTTTTTTGACAAATGATACACAATGCTCTGATCCGAAACTAGAATTTTTTGTACTATGGGAACTGGAGACCGCATACAATTTAAATGCATTAAATATCCAGATAAAAAAAAACGAATCCATTTGTCATAGAAATGATTGCACTAAGTGGAAATAGAACCTACGACCCTCTCTTTGCCCAGCATTCAGAGGCTAACTACTTCACCACTGAGTCCGTAGTATATAGTAGACGTTCCGTAATATATACATTATTGTATAATTAACGTCAAAACAAATTTCTGCCAGACCCAATAAGGGTGCAAGAGCGTGGATACCATAGTACGAATGGGGGTCGTTCGTGCGCAGTCGAAGTCTACCCCGAATATCATACATTTTCGAACAGAACATTCAACATAGATTTGCAATAAAATAAACAAGACAGCGGTACAAGTTTTGCAGGGTTCACAATACTCGTCCACATTGATACCTGTGTCTGCTGTGGCGGATATCTTTCCCCTAGAATATAGAGCCTTTTTTTTTGATTGCTTACATTGTGGACGAGCTCACAGCCCACCTGGTGTTAAGTGGTTACTGGGACCCATAGACATCTACGACGTAAATGCGCCACCCACCTTGAGATATAAGTTCTAAGGTATTAAGTATATGTAGTTACTTTATGATAAAATCTTCTTTATAAACTAGCTCATTGCTCTTCTGGTTTCAAATGGTTAGCTAGACATCACAAGGACAATACTGCAAACCAATCTGCCTGATGCTGGTACCTAACAGCGCTGGCTCAAATGGACCGCTAACAATATATAGATAACTTCATACCTTGGCTTCAATCAAAACTGTCGGATTTCTCTGTCCAGGCCACAAAGATAGCTCAATCAAAGAATCCAGATCTTCTCTCAGGAGATGATAGGATTCCAATATTTCTAAGGACTTTGTGATTCCATCTGTTTTTTCATTGATAAGTGGATTGACTATTGCGTCTCTTAGATGTGATGAGTAATCGAGGTATATTGAAGATTTCGACCCTGAGGTGCTAAAAATTAATAAAAACTAAGTCAATGAATAAGTTCATTGATGACATCATATTATTAAATTTGAATAATTTTAAGTCTTAATTGGAATTTTAAGTCTTTTAAGTTAAATAGACGTTAAAATTAGAAATTGTAGTCTTGTCCTCTGATACAAATGTCAGGGTCAACAAGGTGAGGTCAAGTTCATGCACAGAGACACCGAATCTCAAATAATCTTTAACAAAGATTGTATCCATGTGGTATTCAAACTGAAACCAATGTTTATTTGCTCATAAGAAATAAGTCAGCAAATAAGTTCCGTCCAATTGGAAACTCATAACTTAGTGAGATTACACGAGAGTAATGTTAAATGTGCTTAACAGTGACGTTATGAAAAGACGTATCAAAGAATCTCACGGCTGGCAGACTATTAGCCATTGTCAATGATAAGGACAATGGTAGTTCTATATTGTCAGGAGACATGATTGAACCAAATAAGTGGACATTGTTGAACACGACCACAGGGCGTACCTGAGTCTTGTGTGAGCGTGTATCTCCTGGGCGAGCCGGTGCATTTTGTTGGCGCGAGAGTTTTTCCCGAGCCAGCCCGGGAACTGGATTTGGCCGACCACGTGACCCGACACCACGTGTCCCGGGAGCACCGAGCTGTACATGGCCTGCGGAATGTTCTCGATATTAGACACGTCGGGAATAAAGAGATTTTATCATAAATAACATACCGGGAACAAAATAATGTTTTTTTTCCATTTCGATTACCTTAAATCCTATCTTATCAATAAAATTAAATAAATCAATTTAAAATAAAGGTCAAATTTTAAGTAACTGCTTTAACTAAGTGTGTTATGAAAATTCGTTTGTACATCTATAAATAAAAACGTTATCGGTTTATATACCTGAATAGGCAGAAGACTCCACGCCTGGCTGCCTCTGATTCTCGCAGAAACCATGTCGCCTATACTGATACTGTCGGCCGCTTTACTAAATCTCTCTAGAACCTCGTGTCTGCCAAATGAAATGATTAAATTAAATTAATTCTATATATCATTATTAAAAAACTTTTTTTTTTTCTTATTGCTTATTTGGATGGACGAGCTCACAGCCCACCTGGTGTTAAGTGGTTACTGGAGCCCATAGACATCCACAACGTAAATGCGTTATCCACCCTGAGACATAAGTTCTAAGGTCTCAAGTATATTTTTACAATGGTTACCCCACTTTTCAAACCGAAACGAATTACTGCTTCACGGCAGAAATAGGCAGGGCGGTGGTACCTACCCGTGCGGACTCACAAGAGGTTCTACCGCCAGTAAACTCACAAGAGGTCCTAAGAAGCGACAGGGAGAGGATTGTACACTCTTCTACAATTAAGAGCAAAGGAAAAACAGTCTATACTCACTTGGGACAGTGTGGTGCAACTTGCAAGTAATTCTCCTGCACGAACAGAGGAGCGAGGTTGTAGTCGTAAAAGAACAAATCGCTTTTATCGTGAATGCTCATAGTCTTATGTTCTTCTGCGGAGAACACTTTCCTTACTGCCTCCCATGGACCCTAGTAGACAGACAATCAGAGATGGAAATCATTTATAATATTATGTACTATTATTTTGGCAGCAAAACACATGTATATAGTTGTTCACACTAGAAAGTGGTTATTGTGAACTTTGAATCTAATATCTGCCTCAATTGAACATAAATACTGTTCAGGTAAAAGCGGAAAACGGTTCTTAACATCATAAATAAAGTTGATTTTCCATGATTTGAATAAATATCGTCGCTGTCAAAACAAAAATTGCCATATGCAAAAACTCTATTTAGAATTAACGAGTAAAAACATTTTCGTATAAAATTCTATATGAAAATGGATTTTTAACAACTATATCAAATGAAAGCTATAGATAAATATTAAAGCTATAGATATATTATTCTACTAAACATTACGAGAACTTCACTGTTTCTAATGCATAGTTATTTAAAAATATTAACGCAAACCACGTTAAATGTGAAATATTGTTAAATTTAGAAATTAGTTGTGCGCCTATACCAAAGGGGAGCGTTCCTCTGTCTCCCAAAAGACGCTCTAGGGATAAGTTCATGCTGGTTCTTCCGGGGCATTCACCTTTTTTTCCCTGCCTATGCTGATAGCCTTGGGGGGCTATTTCAACGATTTCTATTTAACGAACGTCATTGACCAGCGTGCTCGCCTTCATAATTTCAAATAATACGTCACCGCGCCCGCCACTAGCCCCGCCCACATATCGCCGGAAACCAGGATTAAGCTAGAAAACTACTAATTCGAATTTTACCAATTTGACATCCTTCTTCGTGGTGTTTGCGTCTCTTTTTAACTTGTCCGCACTGGCCAACGCCTCGTCGACCGCCCACATCGAGAGTAAGTTGAGGGTCTGCCGCACGTCTTGGTTAGAAGCGACGATCAGCTGCGTCAGCACGTCCGGGGCCACTTTGATTCCTTCTTTGAAACATATCGACATCATCGCGGCCTGAAAAAATCAGATTTAAATAGTACGGAGCGAACGAAAAATAATTTTCATTTACTTAGGCTATTTAGTTTTGTGTAGTTTTAGTAAGTTGACAGTTTATGATAGTGATACATATACAGACAGCCGCTCAAAGCGTTTCTCCGAAGCGGAATCTACTTTTGACTATTAAGATAATGCTAAAGATATGAGTAAATAAAAACCAGCTACATGTCTGTTTTGTACTTTTCGCGCCACAAGCACTTGATTAGAGGCGAAGGTGTACAAAATAGCTCCACGCTAAATAGAGTCATCAGGTTTGAGCCCCGTGAGCTCACCTACTTGTTACCTCTTGTCACCTCTTGGCCTCTCAAGGCCATTTCAGCGTAGCCCTAACGTACCTTAGGTAGGAGAAAAAAAATACAATAGACATGATTTTGATCTTTGTGACAAACGATTTGGCTGTATGGGAATCGTTTCCTTTATCATAATAGCTGTCGAACCGACAAATGAGGCTAAAGGATTCAGGTTAATTTTGAGACAAGTTTGATTGATTATACAAGTTTGATATGATTAATGTGCTTAATGATAATTGTTTTTTTTCCTAATTCTGTTTTATATTTTATACTGAATGTTAATGTTATTTGTCTCTTTTCGTTCTTTTAAAACCATAAGTTGATTACCCTGATCTGATCCACTCTTGGTCTGTTGAACCTCAAATCATAGCAGTAGTTGACCAGGGACCTCATCTTCGTACTGTTTCTGTCGTTACACATACATATCACTGGCACTGATGTTGATTTTATCAGATTTATCAACTCTTGCAGGCCGCCTGAAAATAATTTACGTTTTATAACTTCGAAAGATTAAACAAAGAACAGCTGTAATTTCGACCATACTAAAAATACATAATATACAGATAGAATTACTAATTGTTCACAAAACTATTTTAAGTATTTTAGTTTAAATAGAGAAAGACCTTTAATGTGTCGTTTTATTTTGTCTATAATCCGATTTTCTATTGACTTTTCTTTATTGCTTAGATGGGTGGACGAGCTCACACTGCCACCTGAGTGCCCACCTGATCTTAAGTGGTTACTGGAGCCCATAGACATCCACAACGTAAATGCGCCACCCACCTTGAGATATAAGTTCTAAGGTCTCAAGTTTAGTTACAACGGCTGCCCCGCCCTTCAAACCGAAACGCATTACTGCTTCACGGCAGAAATGGGCAGGGTGGTGGTACCCACCTGCGCGGACTCACAAGAGGTCCTACCACCAGACTTTCAGCCAGAGATTACATTAAATTTGGTTCGTAGTCCAGATGTTTTTTTTTTATAAATACTATTTCCAATTTACCTCTATCCTCATTTCCCGCCATGCCGTCGACTTCGTCCATTACTAAAACGTGTTTCTTGGAGACGGCCTGCTTGCTCGTGTCGCCTAAAAAAATTAGATTTTCCACATTGGAAACAAACTAGGGTTTTCTCTATTATTATAGTACCGCAAACAAAAACGAAACGAAACAAGAGCTAACAATAACAATTCGGATACCAAATATTGTTGACTTAAATACTGATTTTTATTTATTAATTACTTAAATCCACGTCGCCCAAAGCACGTCATTACGGATCCTCCTGATCCATTACGGTGCTTTTAGGCACCACAAGCACCGGTCACCGTCCTCGTCGAACCCATCGCTTACGACGAAGGGCTCGACGAGTAAATTAACCCACAGACACAGCCCACTGAGTTTTTCGCCGGATCTTCTCAGTGGGCCGCGTTTCCGATCCGGTGGTAGATTCTGCGATGCACTGCCTTTGCTAGGGCCAGTGTTAGCAACTCTCCGGTTTGAGCCCCGTGAGCTCACCTACAAACGTTAGGGCGAAGCTGAAATAGCCTCTCAAGGTTATCAGCATAGGTGAAAAAAAAAAGTCTAAATGCTTTCAGAAAATATGCTTTATTCGTGTTCAAAATCATACCTTTGGCATATCCGGACAGTGAAGTCGTGGACAGCAGCTCGCCGATTTGTTCTTTGAGCAAGGATTTATTTCTCGTGTCGGACGCGTTGAACTCGACCGCGTCGAAGCCTAGTTCTCTGCACACGAGCGACACTGTGGTTGTCTTACCTATCGCAGAGGAATATGCTTAAAGTGCCGTATTTAGATTTAAAAAAATCCTTTAGAATGTTAAGACGTTCGCGATTGTGAGTTTTGAATTTGCTTTGAAGTTACAAAATCAAAGAGTTTTTTAATCAAGGCTTGGTATTTCAAATCGTATATTGCTTATGTGGGCTGACGAGCTCACAGCCCACCTGGGTTAAGTGGTTACCGGAGCCCATAGACATCTACAACGTAAGTGCTGCCACCTACCTTGATATATAAGTTCTAAGGTCTCAAGTATAGTTACAACGGCTGCCCCGCCCTTCAAGCCGAAATGCATTACTACTTTGCGGCAGAAATAGGCAGGGTGGTGGTACCTGTGTGGACTCACAACAGGTCCTACCACTAGTAAGAATGTATTATGTGCCTCACCAACTCCTGGAGGTCCAGAGAGCAGGGCCGCCTTGAAGTAGCCTCCATCATCATTCTTCGCCCAAGGACTGGGCTTTGGCAGCTTGGCCTTTCTATTCACGTACCATTTTGTCAACCAATTGATTAATCTGTTATAAAATATAATACAATTTTAATCGTGATTAAAACTTATTAATTAGGTTCAGTGCATACTAATTTTAATGGCAAAGTTATCAGGGCATTAAGCTTGTAGTTTTGAATATAGCTAAGAAAATATGAATACAGTAAAAAAATTTAACTTTAAGGTTAATTTTAAAACCCAGCATCCCTTTACTATTAATGTGATTGTGGTAACTTACTTTTTAACATTACTAGAATCGCCGTGCTGCCCGATTATTTGTTTTACATTCTGCGGTTTGTATTTATCCACCCACATGTATTTATTACATTTGGTATCATGATTCTGTTCACATTTCAAACCTGAAAAATATAAAAAAGAACAACTAAAACATGTTTTTTTTTACTGTTAACTCGCACTAGGCGTCAACGCTCGTGGAAAATAAATTTGAATGTGAAATGTCTGTTTGTTTGTTTGTTTGGAAAACAATGCTTTTATGGAATAGCAATACATAAATTTAAATTTGAAAATGAGACTATTTCATTTGATTTCTGTAGAATCAATTTGATTAAGGAAACAATTCTAGATTTGCAAAAGCAACACCTTTTATTCTTAATAATAGATTATAAAAATTGAGTTAAAAAATCCACATACCTATTCCTAAACTAGACACCGATTCCCTTGAACTTGATTGTTTTTCTGAATTCAATGTTTTAACTTGATTTTGGACATTGTCATCCGAAGGCTTGGATGTAGAATTACGATTTTCCTCCTTAATCTTAATAGGACTCTTTGATTTATCTTTCTTCCTTTCTTTACTGCTAGATTTTTCACATTTCCTCTCTTTTTCATCCTTTGATTTAGATGCTATATTTTTTTCTTTTAGACCTTTATCTCTGGTAGTAAGTTTAGTATTGTTTACAGAATTGGAGATCAATTTTAGGAACTCGTCTTCGTTTAATATGGGGATGCCCAAGTCTGTCGCCTTAGCAATCTTTGCGGGTCCTGGGTCTTCACCAACCAGAACGTAGTTTACCTAAACGGCATAATATTGATAAAACGGAAATGTGGTGTGAAATACTGGTGGTAGGATCTCTTGTGAGTCCGCGCGGGTAGGTACCACCGCCCTGCCTGTTTCTGCCGTGAAGCAGTAATGCGTTTCGGTTTGAAGGGCGGGGCAGCCGTTGTAACTATACTGAGATCTTAGAACGTATATCTCAAGGTGGATGGCGTTACGTTGTAGATGTCTATGGGCTCCAGTAACCACTTAACACCAGGTGGGCTGTGAGCTCGTCGACCCATCTAAGCAATAAAAAGAAAAAAAATATAGAAAAATAATATTACTTTTTCCATTAAACAGTGGGTTGACAAATACATGCTGGATAGATCAATAGTATTGCGTAATTTTACCTTCCTGCTAACACCAGGTTTAACTGTTCCACCGTATCTTTTGATAGCCTCCTCGATTTCTTCCCTCTCAAATGAATCCAAAACTCCAGTCAGTAGGAATGCACAATCTTTAAGACAGTCCGGCGCACCCTGGAGTAGAAAATAAAATTGTTATTATTAGTGGGTGTCGTATAGTAATATTGTCACAGAATCAAGATTAACTGTAAAATGTTATTTTTCATCATGAAAATAGTTCTTAAAAATATGTTCGTTCCGAAAAATAAAAATAAATGAACAATGACTAAAAATTGTCAGTAAGCAATTCAAACCAAGTTTTGTAAAATATACAAATATAGGAATAGATAATTTCGAGAACAATACGTGTTTCAGTCACTCGTAAACATACCACAGGAATTTCTTTGGATCCTAAATGTTTAGGTGCTGATCTGTTGAGATATTTCTTATATAATGCAGCAGATTGTACTCTACGTTGATGCCTCTCTTCATCTGATAATACTGCAGATGGAAAGAAATAGTTAAGTTAGTTTTGTATGTTGCATCAACTTTACTAAGTATTTTCAATTCATATGATTTAATTTATTTTTAATATTATCTTCAAGTTCTATCTAACCTGATTCGTTTAAACTCTTATTTCCTCTATTTTTCGTTATCTTCTTGCCAGCTTCATCATCTATTGCTGAACAATTCATTTCTAAATCACTTTCTACTTTTGAACTGAAACTCTCATCTTTATGTTTTTTTTCTATTTTAATTTTTTTGCTAACAGCATTTTCGTCTTTAATGTTCGTCTCAATAAATTCAGAGAATTTTCTTTTATTACCTTCCTTAACTTCATCTATTATGCTTTTGTTTTTTAAATTATTAACATTGTAGCTATCTGTTTTCTTCTCTTTATCTTTCAAAGAAGGTAATAAATCTTTGTCTAATTTAATACTTTCTTTCTGTTTCATTTCTTTTTGCAGTTTTCTTTCGTGTGATTTATCATTGTTTCCATTTTCTAATGGCGTAAAATCAATATTTTTATTTTTTTCTAGATGATCAATCTCATCTATTTCAAGAAGACTCTTTTCGAATTCATCATCCGAATGTATTCCTAACTCTGTTTTGTTCTTTTCTTTTTTAACTATGGGCTCAGTTCTCACGATGGGTGCATTTCCAAATAAATCTATCGGTTTCACTTCTTTTAATTCTGCCGTAGATTTGTTTTTTTTATTTAAGTGTGTTTCAGATTTTTTTGGTTTTTTCGTTTGTATTTCATCATCTGAGTCATCTAATATAACTCTTTTCTTCCTTGCTTCTTTTTTCTGAAAGCACATAGCATTAATATTATTAAAAATCTTACAAAAATGTGGTGTCTTGAGAGTATTAAGCGGTAGGCAGCGGCTTGGCTCTGCCCCTGGCATTGCTGAAGTCCATGAGCGACGGTAACCACTCATCATCAGGTGGGCCGTATGCTCGTCTGCCTACAAGGGCAATAAAAAAAAAAAAAAAAGTTGGTAAAGGTCATCATCATCTTGCCTATTTTTATTGTGAAGCAGTCATTCTCAGTTACTCTAGTTGAATGGTAGAGCAACCCTTTAATCAGTATAATTGAGACTTTATCCTTGCATATCAAGGCAGACGGTGATAAATGTAGGACCTGAGGGCTCCTGTAAACACTTCACATTAGTTGGACCTTGATTGGTTGGTATTACTGGTGGTTGGACCTCTTGTGAGTCCGCGCGGATGGGTACCACCACCTATTTCTGCCGTGAAGCAGTAATGCGTTTCGGTTTGAAGGGTGGGGCAGCCGGTGTAACTATACTGGGGCCGTAGAACTTATATCTCAAGGTGGGTGGCGCACTTACGTTGTGGATGTCTATGGGCTCCAGTAACCACTTAACACCAGGTGGGCTGTGAGCTCGTCCACTTATATAAGCAATAAAAAAAAAAACTTTTTAATTCACATTTTTTTTTACTGTACTTCAGTTGTTATTTTATTAATTTGAAAATTTTATTTTTGTTTTTTGAAGAAAAAAGAAATCATCCGGTCAATAAATCTATTCATTAATATTGTGTATTATGAAATTACAAAACTTGTTATATTATTTCCCACATTATTTTTAAATTTCTAGTACTGATTGACTCCATAAATAGATCAAAAACTTCTATTCAGATGCTAGTTGTGAGATTGCTAACAAAAAATATTAGCTAATATATTTTCTATTTTTTATGTATTGCGTAAATTGGTGGACGAGATCACGGCCCACCTGGTGTTAAGTGGTTACCGGAACACATGGCAACTACAACAGAAATGCTGCCACTGACCTCGAGATATGAGTTCTAAGGTCTCAGTATAGTAGCTGCCCGATTCTTCAAGCCGAAACGCATTACTGCTTCATGGCAGAAATAGGCATGCTGGTAGTACCTAACCGTGCGGACACACAAGTCCTACCACCAGTGATTACGCAAATTATAATTTTGAAGGTTTAATTTTTATTCCAGTGTTATTCCTTCACTGTGGAAATCAATTGTGGACATTTGTCAAGTACATATTTCATTAGAAAAATTGGTACCGGCCTGCGGGATTCGAACACCGTTGCATCGCTCAACATGAATGTACCAGATGTCTTATCCTTTAGGCCAAGACGACTACTACAAACAAAACACTCATTTTAGTTTTAGATTATTACCTTCTTTTTAATTTGTACATCAGGAGATTCAGGAATAATATCATCATCATCAGGAACTGCTTCTTTGGACTTTACAGGTTTCTTCGTTGTGATAAAAAATGATCTTATATCCTATGATTAAATGCTTATTTAGAATGTACCATTTATTCTGAGCCCACTCAGATATGTACTATGTATGAGCTGGTAATTAGTCATCTATTTGATATGTGAAGTGTGGGATAGCTGTTACACAATAAAATGTGGGTATCGGCATTCATGTTGTGATGTCTGTACCCCTCGGTAACTACTCAACGGCAGATTCGCCTTGAGCAATCAAACCTATGTTAGTCTGGGTATTTAGAGCAGTGAAAAAATTAATATACGACAATATTTTGGAAAATCTGTTATCGTGACACAATCTGATAATTATATTCATATGAATCGTAATATCTAATCCCAAGTTAATACATTTTTTCAAAACTTCAGATGATTGAAGCAATTTAAATTAATCGTAAGTAAATGCGTATTAGCGTAGAGAATATAATGTAGCGAATATAATGTAGAAAATATATTCTTAAAATAAAACTATATTTGGCCACTACAGTTCTTCAAGGTCCTCAAATGCTGAAGAGCATCTTTTAGTTTTAATACCATTTTATTTCTTATTAATATATTCTTACTTCACCTTAGACATTTTCTTATTTAATATAGTCTTCTAATTTAATGAATTGTCAGCTTTATCATGTTCATTTGAAATCTGATTTTTTAAATAAATTTATAAGTGTATTTTCGCGGAAAATACCGTTTGCGTTGGATTCAATTTCAATGAAGAGTTGACAGCTGTTGAACTGAGTTTGACAGTTAGCTTGAAGCAGCCTCAGTGACAATCAAATAATTTCCTATATTTTAAAATTGAACCGAAAATTAAATTAATATAAAATTTATCTTTCATGAAAATCCTATGACTTAATAAAATTAATACCTCTACCTGGTTTAAGTCATAAAATTGAACTAAATAAATAAATAATTTCAGAAAAAAGTCAATTACTTATTTAGGACTTCTGCACTTATGGTTGATTAAATTATTACACCATACATACATAATGATTAAGATTTATATTTTTGTTTATAAAAGTAAATCCATAGAATGCTCTCAAAGTATTCAAAGGAAAAACCAAAGTTAAATATCTATCTATCTATCTCTTAGGTTTATGGAAAGTTAAATAGGTACCTATTGACTTTGTTAAACATGCTTGAAATGACAGTTAGTCGAAGCTTTTATATTGATTGACATGATCTAACATAAATAATGATTTTTGATAAATTTTAGATTCAATGATAATTTTCATGGTTTTATTAATATTTATAAAAGTAATAGATGGCAATGTTGGTAGTATATTATTTTATAATCGAGGCACAAGAGATGAATGTTGGAGTAAAGAGGATCTTGCGAAACTCGAAGCTAGGAAAACATTTGAAGACCTCATGCCGCTAGTAGTACAACCAGTTGAAATAAACTCCAAGTACATTAATGATAATCTTCGTTATTTTCGCAAAGCAATAAAATATGTAGACAATGAAGTCGAACCCTACAGAGCGCGCATACTGAAACAGTCATTATTTGATACAATAGGAGCGCATTTGAGGAGTGAAATTTTACCATCGATTCGATTTGCTTATTACGCTGGATACATCCCGTACAGAAAAGCGAGGCAGATGGAAGAGTTTTTTAAGGAAATGAAATCATACTTAAATACTGGAGGCTTAGGGTGGAAAGAACCAGAACGTAATATTCCTTGGACTAATTTCACTGTGTCTAAGCTCATCGTAGGACCAGGAAAATTTTCCGATTCATGTTCAAGTCTAGTAACGAAACGTGATACTAACTCTTGTATACATCTACCGAATCCAAAATTTGATAATTCTATATCTCCTACAACGATAGCTTTACCTTTTAAGTCTGGTGGTCTATTGAATTTGGCATCACCGAATTCCGAAAACGCTCTTTTAAAATATTATGCCACAGCATCAAGATGTATTTTGAAGAAATCGCCGAGAAAATGCCGTCATTCTGATTTTGTGGCTTTCAATAACGAAATGTGGCATTGGATGAAACGCAATGTAGCTCCGCATTTAGTTGACGAGACATTGTACGCGGCCTATGGCGGAGTTTTGAGAATAGCAGCTGCGGTTCAAAGTTACGGTAAAGGTTTATCCCGCCGTAATTTATTTAATACCAGAGAGCATAGCTTAATCAAATGGCATCCGTGGAAGGCGCTCACACAATCCTGCAAACGTGCAAACTCGAATTGGACTCCGAGTTTCTATATTGGAATAGTATTAATGATAGCTTTTGGAATATGTGTACTGCAAATATGCTATACCTATATTTTAGGACACAAAAGCGCTTGTCGTTGTAGAAGTAGCCCGGTCGGACATTCGTCTAAAGATCTTGCATACACGAACATCGAATCGAGCATTCCGGCAATATTGCCTGATGTAAATCCAGTGTTCTATAATGAACAGAAACGTATGAAACGTTCCAATTCGGGAACCAAAAGTGGAAACGGAAGTATTAACGTACAGAAAGTTTACGATTTAAACGAAAATACTGAAAGACTCATGAATGTCGAAGTGAGTGATACCGAAAGCGAAGTTTCGTCATCTAGTCACGATGAGGATGCAACGAATAGGAGTAAAAAAAAAGTTATTACTCCAATAAGTCCACCGAAATTAGACACTACGGTATCTGAAGTTAGGATAGGGAAAACACGTTCAGATCCTAAAGATTATAACTTTAAGTATTCAACAAGTACCCTGTCGCGATCGGACACATATTTTCAAGGTTGCGATGACGGCGTAGAATCCTGTTCGGATTCGGAGAGCTCAGATTCGAGTGATTCCGGCACTTCGATTTTATCGCAGTCCAGATCCCGAAGGATGAGTTGGTCTCGCGACCCGATGTCCCTTCGAGGGACCTCCACTGATTCATATCATGGTTCGTCATCGCTGACGCTAAACGCTAACTCGTATATAAGACCGAGTCCTCAAAAACAATAATGAGAAGTTGATCGTTTCAAATATTGTTTAGTCCATATACTTTTGTTTTAATATTTTGTTTAAGGTATGTTGAATTTTAAGATTTTGTTCATAAGAATATATATTTTGTTAGTGGCAACTGAGATTTCCTTTTTTTTTGTTTGGCTTCAGCAGTCTCTTATGAGTTAGCAAAACCAAATCAAACTTATGAATTTGAAATGAAGAAAACCATACACACATTTTTGTCGAAACATTTTATTGAATACAACACATTACATTTACATGGGATAACGTTATGATAAACATGAAACAATCAACATTCCAAAATAAAATATTTAGTTTAAACTTTATAATTTAAATAAACATAATATATAAGTATATATCACAAGTGAAAAATATTTGTACATTTTCTTTAACATACAATGGTAGATATAATATTTTTAAATTTATTATAAAATTTATTTTCAAAGTAGACAATTTAACAGTTACAAACGCAATCGTTGCCTGTCAATATCAATGTCCACATACGGCTACACTCTGCCGACTGTGAGCATCCGCGGAGGGACTTCATTTCAAACACAGTACTGACTATTGGAAACATTATAGTAAATGTTTGCTACCTTTTGGTATGGTCAGTCATATTTGATATTTTAATTGATTATTTATGTTATAGTCAAAAATGGGTTTTATTTTTAGGTTATCTTTCAGCGTTTGATGTTTAGTTTCAAACAAAACTGGCGTTAATGGCCTTCTGTGGCCGCAAACAAACCAAAACCGGACTGACTTTATCCTCGAGAATCGAGGGAATAACAGATCGAGCGGGAATAGTAAATATCACTAGACACCCAAAGCCGACAGTGTTACTACTATTTGAACCGTAAAAAGAAATATTAAATAAAAATAAGCGTCCAATATTTTTTCTTTTCTTTTAACGCAATTAAATTTAATTTAATTCGAAAACTATGCGTTTGAGTCTAAAAGTCATTTTATGTTTCCATAAAACTTTAATTTCCCTTACCATCATAATAATGTAAGCCTATTAATTAGGTTCTGTACATATTATAATATAAAATACATATGCATATTAATTTCATTAATAATTGAAATCACAGTTACACTCAATTTTTATATCTAAAATATTTTTCTAGCGGAACATTAATAATTATTTTTAACCCGTGCATTAAAACCTTTTTATGTGATAAATAGTAACAGTTCAGTATAGGGTTTACATACTAGAGTACGAAATACTATTATACAATACTATAAAAAATCTGGTAACACCATTATGATAATGTTGCGATAATTCAAAAGTATATTAGTTAATTTGTTTAAAAATCAGATGATTTTACTAGACACGTCACCGTCAGGTCGATCAAGGTTCATGTGTCTTGATTCGCATTTGTTTAACTAACCATACAACATGCAGTATACAGATTTGTACACATATAATGGTGGGGTGTATTGGAATCGTTCCCAAAAACAAGGACAGTGCTGGAGATTATTACGACAATAACAAAAAAAAACACATTTGAAAAACAATTATTTGATGTTTTCCAGTGCGACCGATGCGTGAGTTTTAAATTTTTGAGGGAACTTAAATAAAACGCATCGACGTTATTACCGATTCACGTAATATGAATTTTAACAAATTTTTACATGACAAGTATTATTACTAAGTTAATTATAGGAAAAGTATTTTGTCAAAGCTTAGTTAAGTAGTTTATTGACCTTTCGGTTTGGGAAAAAAACCTCCTTAGGTCCTAGCCTGTTTGTAGTGGGAGACGTTTGCATAGGAACATGTTTACTTTAGTGATGATACCGGCATCGATAATACTCCCTTTGATTAATACAACAAATCAATGACACATTGAATAACTCTTAGCTCCATGTTTTATTAGCTGTCCTCCCTCCCGCACCGCTCAGCTACTTCGGAACCGCCCCGGCTTAGAATATCTAAGATAAACTAAACCCTCTTAATAAAAAATAATTTTTTTTTTTCATTAGCAGTGTTCAAATGTCGCGAAATAATACGAAAACGTAAAGTTTTTGAAACTTCTGTAATAAATCATTATTAAATTAATTATAATAATTTCTACGAAAATACTGTCTCGTGAAAATCGAAGAAAACACTAAATAGAATAAATACACTCTTGTGTATTTTATAAGAAAAAAATATCACATAATATGCGTTTTAGCCTTTGAAATAATTGTGATGTTTAAAATTCGTTAGTAATCTTGGGTTCGTTATATCTGTGATCTGGTGCTAATAAGGCCAATGTCAGTAATAATTATTTTTAGTATTAAGCATCAGAACAATGAGCCATCAGTGCAAAAAAAAAGTGATTAAATTAACACCTATTTAGCACAAAATAATGTCGTACTTTAAAAAAAAAAAAACTGATAGTGCAATCTCATTTCAAACAACATCGTAACTTTTTTATTGCTGAGGTGGGTGGACGAGCTCACAGCCCACCTGGTGTTAAGCGGTTACTGGAGCCCATAGACATATACAACGTTAATGCGCCACCCACCTTGAGATATAAGTTCTAAGGTCTCAGTAACTTTTAGCTTCAGGCCACTAATTATATACATTTACACTCGTCATTGAGCCGAATCAACTTTATGGAACGTGAAACCCGTAACCCTTATTAATTAAACTTATCTAATGTTTTAAAGGGGTTCTTGCTAACTAAATTTTACTGATTTATTACAAAACTCTTTTACATCCTAAATACCTATACATACATTTATATTTATTATATATTTTTTTTAAACTTTGTAAAGCAAGAAATAAAGGGCTTATTATAATGTTTTAAAAAGCTTTTAAAGATCAAAATGTTGTCGCGGAAGTTACAACGCGGGCAGGCCTCCCACGAGGTGTCCGATGACCTGATGGAGGTCGCGGGGATCCGTTGGAGGCGGACCGACCTGGGGGAGGTCAGTGTGCTTAGTGCGAGCTTTTTAACGTTCTCGATAGCGTAAAAGTCAACCCAATTTTGTATGCCGTTGAAACAGTGCCCCTAGCGGAAAACGTAGGCAAACGATCTTATTCGTTACAAATCTGAGTTAACTTTTACGCTATCGAGAACGTTAAAAAACTCGCACTAAGCACACTGTGCCCAGCAGTGAACGACCGTGGGCTGACTGATTATTATAAATGTTTAACTAAATATAATTGTCAATTAATTGATAATGAAAATTAAATCTATTATTTTAAATGTATACCGTATTTTAAATTGAGACAATATTTTTTTATGATATATAATTGATCGAAAACTCTATTCTGGTTCCCTAACTGTTGAGGTCTATGATCAGAGGAGATGCCTTTTTTTAACAATTGTATTATGTTTCTGTGAATTGCCAAACATTCTTAATATCGATTTATTCTTATCGAGTATGTACGTATATTAACTAGTATAATTAAGTATGCAATATAAAATTATACAACACTAGACACTTATCGTAATATTTTGGGTACTTCACACTATATATTAATAAATGATAGCTTATGTGTTATTCTGAGGTGTAAGCTATATTATTGTGAATTTTCATCAAAATTAATCCACTAGTTTTTGCGTGTAAAAGTAACAAACACATATCCATACATCGTTAAAATCTTTCGTGTTTACAATATGAGTAAGATTAACTGTTCAGGAATGACTAATTAGAGAAGACCAGGTCGACTAATAAGCGCAAGTTTGAATGAAACACAAATCGTTTTAATGTGATCTTACGCTCTATACGCTTAAGGATCACGTTCGAATGTTCTTGTACTGGCGGTTGCTCCATTTCCTGTGCATGTATTTGACGATGTACAGCGGTAGACACGACACTAGAGTTATCGTGATCACCTTCCACCAGAAGTCCCAATGTCTAATAAAATCAGCGTCTGTACGAATAGAAATTAATCATTTTAGTAGATACAATAATTTCCTGGCAACATTTACGATTGAGGACCCTATAATATACTAGTTGTTACTCCATACAGAACACTTTGCTTCCCTTGACTCATTCGAAGCAAGAAGCTTCTCGTCAATTATCTTCTCCCTCCAAAATAATTCCAAGCGTCCACCCCCAATTTTCGATTAGTGGATCATTCTAGAACGACATATGAGTCAGCAATGGATTCGAGCTAGTGTCTCAGGGTGGTACGGCTATCACATTGGGACGTCTATGGGATCTCACTTCTCAACACCTATGCTGTGCCACACTACAGTGCCACCTTGAGAACCTAGCTAAATAACCAGAACGCGATTGTAGACGCCATCTATCGAGTACTACTGTGACTGCGCGAGGTATTTTGAAAACCAACAATTATTGAATGAAGATTGTTTTTAGGCAGACACGAAGGTAAAAGTAAAACAAACAAACAAATGTACCGCAATCTATGCATTATTTATTGGGAGACCTTAATCAATACAATTATACAATTACTAGTGGTAGGACATCTTGTGAGTCCGCACGAGTAGGTACCACCGCCCCGCCTATTTCTGCCGTGAAGCAGTAATGCGTTTCGGTTTGAAGGGTGAAGCAGCCGTTGTAACTATACTTGAGATCTTAGAACTTATATCTCAAGGTGGGTAGCGCGTTTAAGTTGTAGATGTTTATGGGCCCAGTAACCAGTCGCTCGTCCATCAATCTAAGCAATAAAAAAAAGAAATAATATTATAGTAAGACTTACCAAAGTACGTGGTGAATATCAGCAAGGTTATTATGTACATGAGGAGGCTGACCAGCTCGGCTCCGACCATGAGCCAGTGCCACGTGACCACCGTGAGGGCCACCATGATGAGCTCGGTCAGTATCAGAGCGGTGTAGCTGATCTCGACTATGTGGATCAGCTGGTCCTCGAACAGGACTAGCGCTCCGTACATGATGACGCCACCTGCGGGGTTAGTGTTATTCAATTGACCTCTTCAGTGAAACAAACAATGGGAACTGAGCTTATATAACAGTTCTGTTCTACTGATGTAATCACTTCAGGAATACAACAGCAGAAATATCGACATTGTTGATTTTTTTATTGATCTTCTAGGCAGACGAGCATACAGGCCACCTGATGGTGAGCGGTTACAGTCGCCCATGGACGTCAGTAATGCTAGACTTGCAGCCTACCGTAAATCTATCGATAAAACTAGTTCGATAAAGTAGTATTTACAATATACCCTAGTGATGTGACGTCTAGTAACGAATCGATACCTTGATATATAGATATTCCGGTCCAAATATAAAACGTTTTGTAGGATAGCTGGCGTCCTCTCGTCAGTTGTTTGTAGAGCTGCGGGTAGCGGAGCACCGTCGAACTGGATATATCTTTATCGAGCACCTGGGACATATTTGGTGTTTTGATTTAAAAAAAATTAAAACTAATTTATATTTGACTAGCGATGTGTTATATTAATAATTTTATAATAAAACTAGCTGTACCCGTCCGCTTCGCTGGGCATTTAAAATTTACATTATTATTTCTCACTCTCACAAAGATTCTCATCATTAACGCTCCCGCAACTGGTGTAGGGAGTCCAACACTCATATAAATATTAGCCTATCCATTAAGTACATGTATTGTCTAGATGGATACCAAGTTTCAAGTCAATCGGATGCATGGTTCGGTAGTTATAACGGAACATCCGTAAAACCACTGTAAATTTATATATTAGTATAGATGCTGCATTGAAAAGTAATAATTTAGTAACGATATCATTTGTTTGATCGATTTTATTTACGCGTTAAGTATTCGGCAGATAAAGTGGTAAAACTACTAGAGGGCCACAGAAGTCGTGGCTGGCCTAAGCTCCGATGGTTAGATAGCGTAGAGCACGACCTTAAAGTTATCGGTGTCAAGAATTGGAAGAAGAAATCCCTGAACAGAGCAGTCTGGAGAGACATACTGGACCAGGCAAAGGCTCACCCTGGGCTGTAAGGGCTAAGATGATGATGATTATGAGATAAAATGGTAAAATACTTTAGAAAGCGGCAACGTCGATGTTGCTATATTCCCTTTGCCGTTCACATCTATCACAAAGTTTACAACACATCTTATAAAAATGAAGACAGATCCTTGTCTAGTGCTCCGTAACCCAAACTAGTTTCTCATAGTTCAAGTTCAATATTTATTCAATGAATATATTTTTTATACATTTTGTGTGATGTTCATTTTATATGGTGTTCACATCGACGCTTGAAAGGCAAACGTGACTAAGCGACAATAACTGCTTTGTACATAAATGATAGGCAATAACCATATTCGATGCGCAGTAAAAATATATTTCTAGGTCTATTAAAATCATTTCAATCCTACAGCTACTAGCTAGATTCTACTACTGCTGGATTCGTTAAAATAAATTTTCTTTTTAGGTATTTCAACTTTAAATTTGTCTACTGTAAAGTTCACGCATTGTCGCTTAGTCATGTTTGCCTTTCAAGCGTCGACATGTTTAGAATATAGTTAATCCTGAGTGTTTTGCATATTTTTAGTGGTACTTAGTAATAGTCAGTTATTTTTTACTGGTGGCAGGACCTTTTGTGAATCCGCGCGGGTAGGTCCCACTACCCCGCCTACTTCTGTCGTGAAGCAGTAATGCGTTTCGGTTTGAAGGGTGGGGCAGCCGTTGTAACTATACTAGAGACCTTAGAACTTATATCTCAGGGTGGGTGGTGCATTTACATCGTAGATATCTATGGGCTACAGTAATCACTGAACTGTGGGCTGTGGGATCGTCCACCCATCTAAGCAATAAAAAAAATTATATTGAAAAGCGTCTGTGAGGCCTAGTAGAACAAAAAAAAAAACAATGTGATACAGAAAGGCCTCGACATCGACTCACCAAGGAAAAGACAGGCAGCATCGTGAATAGAGTACCGTAACCGACCATCAGGAAGCCGGGGTACAGCGAAACTGACGAGAAGTAGAACACCACTGAGAACACCGCCTGTTGGACGATTCGAGAATTATTATTTTTTCATCTAAATGGGCAAACGAGTAATGGATTTATACAGTGTAGGGGGTAGCTATGTCAGACCACAAGATAGATTTGATAGATGCCTGAATCTGGCTACCTGGTTAAGGACATATTTGGGGGTAAACGACAAAGGGAAGATCCTCCATCGAGCGAGTGTAATTGCTCGGTAGATCGACGGTCTGAACGTTATTGTTTGGAACTTGTATATATCCAAATGTATCTTCAAAATGTCGTTAGCCCGATTCTAACATGTGCCAAACATCCTTTGTCCAATGATAATCTACCTTGGGAAACGAGGTCGAATGTATGCCTCGATTGTGTTGTTTAACGAAGAGTCGTAATCGATATCTTATAGATATAAGCCCTATTTCTATAAGATATCGATAATCTACTAACTACCAATGAGACAAACAAATCTATATATATAAAAAATTAATTGCTGTTCGTTACTCTCGCTAAAACTCGAGAACGGCTGGACCGATTTGGATAATTTTGGTCTTGAATTATTTGTGGAAGTTCAGAGAAGGTTTAAAAGGTAGATAAATATGAAAATGCTCGGAATTAAATAATAATAACAATTTTGTTTTTCCTTTGATGTGTCGCCCGTCGGACGGATTCCTTTTGTTTGTTTTAAGTTTATTTTTTATAATACAAAAGCTTAGGTCTTTTATTTATCGATTGAGGCACTGCGAAGTCTGCCGGGTCAGCTAGTATGGAATAATTTTCGAATAACGGACCTGCATAGTGGAAACGATGAGTCCCCGATGCACTATGAAGAGGCAGAGCGCCGCCGAGCGCATGACGGAGCGGCGGCCGTGCACGAGGAACAGGCGCGCCAGGTTCGAGAGCTGGCGGACGCTGACGTCACCGGCCAGCGACGCCGCGCGACCCTCCGCTCCTTCTATACCGACGCCTGGTACAAAAGTTATAAGTCTTAGATTATTAACAACTGCCACTGTCTTGTCAGCTATGACATCAAGCAGAAACTATGATATTCCTGTACTTAAACAAAAGTGCACGATTTATTAGAGCAGTTCTCTAAAGGTTATTTTTGTAAATATTTGTGATCTAGATTTCCACAACCCTAACAAAATAATGTTCAAAATTGTATTAATGATGTTTATCGAGCACGCGTTGTAATATATATAATCATCAGCTGATCCTCGGAAACCAAATTCCCGAGAATTATGACGATGAGCGATGATGACATCTATCGCAAATGATATAAACACGGAATATGCCTGAGTCTCAATAAATATAACATTTAGTAGAATTTCTTTACAAATAGAAAGCATTCTAGTAGCATTTAGAACGCCCGAGAAGTACAACGCCATCTTTTGTCGGATAGCGGAAATACAATAATCGACTTGTGAGGAATGTTCTCGATGAGTCTAGAGATTTCGTCTCAACTATAAAAGCATTGCAGAGATGGCACGCAGTCACTTAGTAATTGGAACTACTTGAAGCGAAACAGCGAACGGACCACCTGAAGCGAAGCGAAAATATTATAGTGTTTGTTAAGTATTTTCAGTGTTATAAGTGCTAATACAGTGTTAACTTGTAATTCTATAGAATTTTATTTATCCCGAACCCCAGTGCGTAACAGTATTTACCAATATCGGCTTCCTGTATCATGGCGACGTCGTTTCCTCCGTCCCCGACGGCGGCGACCACGTGTCCGCGGGCGCGCAGCAGTCGCGCGACCGTCGCCTTCTGCGTGGGCGAGCAGCGCGCGACCACCACGCCGCTGCAGCCGCACAGCAGCTTCACGAACTCCTCCTCGTACGACTGCAGACACACCTGGACCGAACGACGACGTGTATAAAGACTTGTAATTTGCGACAATCATCTAGTATTTATGTATTTTTTCTATTGTATATATCGACGCTTAAAAGGCAAACATGACTAAGCAACAATGCGTAAACTTTACAGTAGACTAATTTAAAGTTGAAGTACATGAAAAAAAAAATATTTTAACGAATCTAACTGTAGGATTGAAATGATTTTAATAGACCTAGAAATATATATTTTTTTGCGCATCGAATATGTTTATTGCCTATCGTTTATGTACAAAGCAGTTACTGTCGCTTGGTCACGTTTGCCTTTCAAGCGTCGATATATAGATTAGTGATATTGCGTATATTTACTTCGAGCGTTTCTCCTTCGATGATGAGGTCCATGTTGGGCTGGTCGGCCAGCGCCAGCAGCAGCGTGTGCGCGTGGAGGCGCGAGCTACAGTCGCGCGCCACCCGCCACTCCGCGCCGCCGCCCAGCTGCAGCGAGCGCGCGATGCACAGCGCCGTCTCCAGCTTGTCGCCAGTCAGCATCCACGTCTGCCGGCATGGCAGCGCCAATAAAGAAACCAATCGAAAATTGCGTCTAGCTTGTCACCAGTCAGCATCAACGTTTTTTTTTTTATGATTGAAAGATTACTGGTGGCCCGGAGGTCTTTCCAGTTTCACCAGGACATGTGGGCGAGCAAAGGCTCAGCCAGGTGGGGTGGGATTTGCTAACAACTGCCCGAGCGCCTCCGAAGGAGACCTGACAACTCAAGAGCAATTGCTTCGCGAATGAATCTACTACCGGATCGGAATCGCGACCCACTGAGAAGATCCGGCGAGAAACTCAGCGGGCTGATGCATGGGTTAGCATCCACGTCTGCCGGCACGGTGTTATTAGGCCGCGCCAATAAAGAAACGAATCGAAAATTGCGTCTATGTACCCGCACTGACAGATGGTAGGGTCAACAAATAAAAAAGATAGAAAGAAAAAGTTGTTTATTGTAAAAAAAATATAAAAAAACAAATGAGAATGTACTTTACTATACTTTGGTGCCCTGGTAGAGGGGGTTTGGGCGTTGTAAAATAAATAATAAAATAACGAACAAATGCAACAAATACCAACAGGATTTGAGAGAAAACAGAGCGCGTCTGAGAACAAAGTCAGAACTGATATTTTTCTTGCATGCAGTACGCGCCGTGTGCGATTAAAGGCAGCAATAGTTTAGAGTGAGAGCGCATGATCGCCGCCGCCATTTTAGATTCGTCTCTTTATTGGCGCGGCTTATATAATCAAATCGAATGTTCACACGCAGTCGCCCATGTATAAAGCGTAGCACAGCCGTAACGTAACAGAACTGAACCTTCGACTTCGTTTTTTTTTTTTGAGATTGTTTTACGGCCCTGGATGCGAGTTCTTATGAGCCCGTAGTAAGGTCACAATTTCACTTCATTATATAACTTTAAAGTTCACATATGGTATTTGATATATACAGTGAATTTCGGTTATAACGACGGCGGAGGGGGCACTTTAATGTCGTCACTATATCCGAAATAATAAAAATTCATATCATTTATTTAATTATGGTATACACGGGTGTTATTGAAAAAACGTGTTATAGGGCACTGTTTAAGTTTAGTTGTTTCTGCACGCTGTAAGGTGTATTCCATTTTTATAATTTCTTCAACATCTAAATTATTTTGATCTTCACCAAATAAACAGTACTTGAGCGTTGTTTATAACACATAATGCATCAGTAGTTGTTGGAATTTCATTTAGATTTCAATCTTCTTCCTCCTCTTTTTCTTGTGTTTGAAGCACAGACTCAACAATTTCATCATCAATCATTGTCAATATTCACATTAGTTTCCCGTGCTGAATAGAGGACTACTTAGCACAGATGGTCAAGCAAATGCTTCGTTTGTATTTTTCAACATACAAACAAAGCACTTGTTTGATCATCTGTAAATGTAAACAAAGGATAAGAAAGCTTAATAGTTTTATGAATGAGTCTTTGTGCCTTTGCCGACTCAATAGCAATATCCGTAAGAGATTCCTGGGAATCTGTCATAAATGGTTCATAAAAACAAGTCGCTATACCCGAAATTGACGCTACGAGTATATGCAAAGTCGCTATAACCGAATGAATTTCTTAGGAAAGTATCTTTTAAATTCAAGGAACGTAAGTTTGACGTCGCTATAACAAAAAAGTCGTTATAACCGAGGCCGTTATTAATGAAGTCTACTGTATTTAAGAAGAGGCTTGTAGAAGAACGAGTTTGCTAAAATATCTGGAACGACTTCGTAACTCAAAATGAGTGACAAGATTAAAACTATAAAAATCGAAAGTTAGACATTTTATTGAAGAGCATGAGTTCGTTACCTTGATACCGGCAGCGCGCAGCATGCCGAGCGTGGCGGGCACGCGGTCGGCGAGGCGGTCCTCCACGCCCGTGAGCCCCAGCAGCTCCAGCCCGCGGTGCAGCTTGCACAGCGCGGCCGCCGTGCGCTCGCCGCGCCCGCTCGTGCACAGCCGCGCCTCCTTGTACTCCGCCTGCGACACCACGACCCACCGTCACAATTACTCGCTCAACATTGTCATACGACGAACTTGGAACCGTTAGAACATGCGATCATATGCCTCACGACCGAAGCGGGCAGGAAGTTAATCCGTCTTGGCCAGAATCATCATATCGATAGAAATGCATAAAAACAAAAAAAAAGGTGCATGTACTTACGCACGCGCGTAAGAAGTTATAGTTTATTTTTATTAATATCATTTCTTTTTTTTTTTTATTAAATTTTAATCAATTTGAAAAAAAATCGATTAAACAACATCCTCAAACACGCATATTGGACATCCCTTTTCTTGACATCGTGTAAATTCGGTAATTCTCGGTACGGTTCGGAAAGTTCACCTGCGGCTATATTCAGACTCGCCAAGTTACGTCGGTCGTATTGTAATGAGCGATTTAGTGGGCAACTTCATTCTGTTAATGTTGTGTCACGGTGCGCGCGCATCGTAAAATTTCACTCTCATCAATTTTTCATAACGCGCCTAAAGAAGTAAAACTTCAAAAAGAAAAAATTATTAAACAGTCAGCGTGCGTGCCTCGAACTCAAGGTACTCTTGTCGTGCGAGCGTGCGGTGCGCCAACACGAGCGTGCGCAGCCCGTCGGCCGCCAGCCGCCCGCACTGCGCGCCCAGCCAGCCCGAGCGCACCAGCCGCGCCAGCGCCACGTCCGCGCCCTTCACGTAGTACCGTATCTCCTCAGAGTTCTCCTCCTGCCACCATTTATTTTTATAGCTTAGAAGGATACACACATACGCTCGCACACAGAGACACACACACACACACAACCGCACTCACACACATATGTAAATTACTATCTAATTAAATTAAATCTAATGTATCATATGTATGTAACTGGACTGTAATCTAATGTATGTAACTGGACAATATTTATTATTATTATTATTTTTTTATTGCGTAGTTGGGTGGATGAACTCACGGCCCACCTGGTGTTAAATGGTTACCGGAGCCCATAGACATCTACAAAGTAAATGCCACCTCGAGACATGAGTTCTAAGGTCTCAGTATAGTTACAACTACTGCCTCACCCTTCAAACTGAAACGCATTACTGCTTCACGGCAGAAATAGGCAGCGTGGTGGTACCTAGACGTGCGGACTCACAAGAGGTCCTACCACCAGTAATTACGCGAATTATAATTTTGCGAGTTTGCTTTTTATTACACGATATTATTCCTTCACCGTATTTCATTAGGAAAATTGGTACCAGCCTGCGGGATTCGAACACCAGTGCATCGCTAGATACGAATGCACCGGACGTCTTATCCTTTAGGCCACCTACCTCGAGACATGAGTTCTAAGGTCTCAGTTTTAATAGTACAACTGCTGCCCCAGCCTTCAAACCGAGACGCATTACTGCTTCACGGCAGAAATAGGCGGGGCGGTGGTACCTACCCGTGCGGACTCACAAGAGGTCCTACCACCAGTAAAATATTACGTTCAATGTTTAATGGCACGTCCGACAGTAGCACAGGCGAAAACACCACAGTAGAGCTACCCTATCACATACAACACAGCGGTACGGTGCACCGATTGTAGTCTCCATGGTACCTGAACGATGATCCCCATCATTTTGCTTTCGCTCGTAAACGGGAATATCTGCAGTATGCTGAACTGTATAATTTCATTGGTCGCCCTCAGTTTTAAAGAGATGTTGTGCAAGTCTCTTCTATACAGGGACACGCCCATCTGAAAATTAAGAAGAAGAATCATCACTTTTAATTATTATTCTCATAATCCTCTCGCAGGTCTGCTGGAAGAGATTTTTTAAAGAAATAAGCAGTGTCTTTGTACATAATTTTCCTATTACTCTGTACTATGTCTTCTTTTTTGTATGTACATAAAAAAAAAAATATAAATAAGATATTGGAATGAGCCTTGGATATATGAGACGGGTGACGCGGTCAAGGGTTCCGTGGTCGCGATGTCGCAGGTATGACGAAGTAAGAACGAAGCCTTCAGAGAAACAAGACCCTTAAACACACTTTATCATCTTCTAAGATAACCGAAAATTATCTTATTTACTTCTTTAGCGATTGTATCTCTTCATTATTAATTTTGGATTATTTTGAAAGTTCGACTAGACCATAGGCAGACGAGCATACGGCCCACATAATGGTAAGTGGTTACCGTCGCTCATAGACTTCAGCAATGCCAGGAGCAGAGCCAAGCCGCTGTCTACCGTTAAGTACTCTCCACAAGCCTCGTTTGAAGAAGTATATGTCATCAATCTCATCTCTATGACAGTCGATATTTACCATATCGGTCCACTTGACCAAGGCGACCTCGTCCGGACTCGAGGCCTGGTAGTCGCAGAGCTCCTGCTGCGGCACCGCACCCCCGCAGCTCTCCGAGACCACTGAACTCGCCATATCTGTGTGAGGCGAACGAAACAGGCTCAGTGATGGATTATGAAATAAAATAAATGTTTTTTTTTGTTTATGTATTATAAGTGTAATCTATATCTATATATATAAAAATGAATTGCTGTTCGTTAGTCTCGCCAAAACTCGAGAGCGGCTGGACCGATTTGGCTAATTTTGGTCTTGAATTATTTGTGGAAGTCCAGAGAAGGTTTAAAGGGTAAATAAATATGAAAATGCTCGGAATTATAAAAATAACAATTTTGTTTTCCCTTTGTGTCCCCCGTCGGACGGATTCCTTTTGTTTGTTTTAAGTTTCTTTTATACAAAAGTTTAGGTCTTTTACTTATCGACTGAGGCACTACGAAGTCTGCCGGGTCAGCTAGTTATAAAATAAAATACTTTTTTTTTTTTTTTGGTTATGAATAATATGTTTAGTCCCTTGAGTAGCTTTAAGGGTTTCAGTCGACATTAGTCCAACAGGTCAGGTTAGCGCCTGGCTCCGACGATAGGTGACGTACCAGTGGCCATGGAAACAGTAGGAATGTACGTTAAGCTCGCGTCACTGTCGCCATCGACCCCAAGGTCTGCCATGCTTTATCAGTGGCATAGCGAGGGGAGGGGCAAGAGGGGGGCATCATGCCCCGGACGATGCTCAATATGGGGCGTCAAATCGTTCGCAAAACCAAAAAATGCTGGATAATTTTTATATTATTTATATTTGGTTTATGGAAAATATATTATAAAAATTAGTGCCAGTGTAATATATTAAATGTTATTATAATTCGCGAATAAAAAGGAAAAGAGGGGAGGGAGTAAAAAGGGGCTAAAAAGGTGTTGTACCAGGGGCGCGAGTTTAGATCGCTGCGCCACTGTGCGTTATGCGGGGGAACGCGAGGAGTGAAATTGTGTGATTTGTTTTATTTTGTCTATTTAGTGTTTCTTCAGGTTTAAATGTGTAATAACGGTGGTTTATTAACTATATAATATCTGTTAAAGTGCACAAATGTGGGAAAATGAAACAAAGTCGCTGGACGTAGCTTCTCGGAATCCTCCAAAAAGTCCACTGAAAAAATCTCAGTAAATAACCATCATTTTACTGAGATTATATTTCATCCCATATCATCTCATTTCATTTCACTCCATATTATCATTTTTCATAAAAAATAAGAATATAAATTAAAATAAGACATCACCTTTTTTTTTTTTTTTATTGCTCTGATGGGTGGACGAGCTCACAGCCCACCTGGTGTTAAGTGGTTACTGGAGCCCATAGACATCCACAACGTAAATGCGCCACCCACCTTGAGATATAAGTTCTAAGGTCTCAAGAATAGTTACAACGGCTGCCCCACCCTTCGAACCGAAACGCATTACTGCTTCACGGCAGAAATTGGCAGGGTGGTGGTACCCACCCGCGCGGACTCACAAGAGGTCCTACCACCAGTAATTACGCAAATTATAATTTTGCGGGTTTCATTTTTATTACACGATGTTATTCCTTCACCGTGGAAATCAATCTTGAACATTTGATTAGTACGTATTTCATTAGAAAAATTGGTACCCGCCTGAGATTCGAACACCGGTGCATCGCTCAACACGAATGCATCGGACGTCTTATCCGTTAGGCCACGAGGACTTCAAAAACCTAAAGGTCTTAGTTAGGTCTGTCTTAGTTACCAGGTCATAAAATCCCTATTAAAAAGTGCATTATGCGGATCGGTGGTCGTATTGCTGAGTTTCAGTCGCTTGTACTGACCGGACTGCGCGTCGTCGTCCCCGGCGGGCGCGTCGTACACCGGGGTGACGTTGTGGCACAGCGCGATGGCCAGCACGGCCTGCCACACCTGGCGCGGGGTGGGGGCGGCGAGGTCGGGCGCGTCCACCGGCGACGCCGCCAGCGACGGGCCGTCGTTCGTGATGTGCTGCGTCAGGAGGGCTTCCACCTGGAAAAATGGGTCGTGTGTTTACGCTATTTTGGGCTGACTCCCCGGGTTTGACGAGTAAATTAACCCACAGACACAGCCCACTGAGTTTCCGATCCGGTGGTAGATTCTGCGAAGCACAGCTCTTGCTAGGGTTCGTGTTAGCAAGAACATCAGGTTTGACCCACGTGAGCTCACTTACTCGCCCGGTTACACTGACATAACCTCTCAAGGCCATCAGCTTAGGTAGGAAAAGAAGGGCTGACACTCAGACCGGTATCTGTCTCGTGGGCACCCCTACAGCACCCAGGGAACGAGATCGATCTCTTTGGGAATTCTAGCGTGGGTTAAGGTTGATACTACTTAAAGGACAAGAAGAGCTTGAGAAAACATTCCCTAAAATTACTAATAAGTTTATTACATATTTAGTTTATAAAAATAATGGTGAAAATTGGAAAACAATGACATTTGTTAGACTAACTTACTAATTGTACAGTAGAGTAGAGTGGCTCATTCTGGGTACTAGCTAGAAATTCTACTAACTATGTTGATCTAGTACGGTAATTCACATTCTAATATTCGCTAAGGACGGACAAAGTCAATTTTTTTTTGTCTTTGTCATATCGACTTTTTAAATTGTTTATTAAATTTTAAAAATTAATAAAGGCACAATTTAATTTTATATTTAAAAATGAATTTTTGATCGTGTCTCTCCTTATTTTTCGGTTATAATATGTTCACGAACTATTTATCCAATTGAGTTGAATTTTCAGTTATTGTTCAAACTTCAGGACAGGTTTCCGGTATAGTATTAGTAAAGTACGAGAGGAGACGTAGTAGCCGCTTCAATAAGTGGACATTACTTTTATATTTATTGGGCATTAATTAGGCTTCGACTGAGGAGTACCTCATTAAATCTTTCTCTGTCAAACAAAGCGTTTCCTAAGTGCAGCTTCTGGAAGACCATCTCGTTCTTGGTGAGAGTGCCGGTCTTGTCCGCCAGCAGGTACTGGATGCGACCCAACTCCTCGGGTATGGTCGTGGACCTCATCACGGTACCTTCGATCTCTTTGTCGCGTTGTATTGTCCATGAATAGAACGCTTTGCCCATGTCAAGGTTTACTCTTAAGCTGTGTTAATAAGAAAAAAAGTATATTTAGAATATTCTTTCGGATCGCTTGGAACGTCTGGGTCTGTGGAGGGACTTCGGTTCTCACTGTATTCTGTACCGTATGTTCCATGGGGAGTGCTCTGAGCAATTGTTTGAGATGATTCCATCATCTCATTTTTACGATCGCACCGCTCGCCACCGGCGTAAAGTTCATCCATATTACCTGGGGCCACTGCGTTCAACCACAGTACGTTCCCAGAGATATTTTTTGCCACGTACCATCCCGCTTTGTAATGAGCTCCCCTCCACGGTGTTTGCATTCCAATGAAGTCCATGGGTGACGGTAACCACTCACCATTAGGTGGGCCCTATGATCTGCCTGCCTACAAGGCCAATCAAAAATAAAAAAATCGAGTCAGAGGTCCGAGTAAGCACCCACCAAATCTACCGCAGAACTAGTCACGTGTTCCGGTTTGTAGCTATAGTCGGTATTCCAATGCCATTGATATTTCGCTCGTCCAATCCAGACCCCGTGTCTTATGATGACAGCATTGAGGTGTCTATGGTTTCGGAAAGCGATTAGCAACAAGCCTCCTGTGAACTTGTCTACCCAGCTATGCCAATAAAAAATACATTTAAATGTTTTCATAATGATTTTTCGTAGTTATTCACAGACGTTTATCCAAATGATGTTTAGGGCCTTTTATTTTCTTCAAATAAATTCTTACTATCTGTCTCCATATATCTTAACAAAAAAGTAGGTATGTTTTTATTCTTAATATGAATTTGATTATAATTCATTGCAATAAAATCATCACTGTAATGACGCAATGAGTAATTTATAACAGAACAACTTCATTTAATCATAGTGTAATGTAAGCATTAAGTGAATATTGTTTTAAATGGTTACCTTATAGGAATGATGTAGGAGAACAGTAAGATGAATCTAAAGAAGAATCCGAACCAGGGCCCCGTGAACCCCTTGAGTATGATCAGCAGCAGTGACACGAATAGCGTTGCGAAGAAGAGCACTTTGGTGAGGTCGTTGACCTGCAGGTCCAGGCGGCCGACCTTAGACCGCGGCACGGCGTTGTTCATTACACTCCGAGTTTCGCTTCCTGGTTGGACGATATCGTGATTTTATTTATTGCTTAAGTTAGGAAGGACGAGCTCACGGCCCACTTGACGTTAAGTGGTCACCAGAGTCCATAGACATCTACAACTTAACCGCCACTCACCTTGAGATATGAGTTCTTAGTTTTTACACTACAACGGCTGCCCCGCCCTTCAAACCGAAATGCAATACTGCTTCACGGGCTGAAATAGGCAGGGAGGTGGTACCTACCCGTGCGGACTCACAAGAGGTCCTACTAGGGTGTGGGCATGTAGTGTGGGGGTAGGGCTTGGGTTCGAACAGTTGGGTAACGACCTTCCTGTTTGTATAGCAAGAAAACCTCGTCGAAGTATCGGCTAGCTATTTTATGTTACAGTTGAGACCGTTTACTCTAGTGTTTGGAACCAACTAATACCAGACCTCCTCCTCGCATTTAGAGAAATTAAATTGGTTGTTTGAGGTCTGTGCATTGGTATATCGCTTTTCTGATAAGGTATATATAAGCTTTGTTTACTTGTCTGCACATCAGAATAGGTTGGTAGCACAGGGAGGTGCAAAAAGAAAGTATCGCTTGAATAAAAGAATATATAGCCATTGTTAATAAACGATCATACAGCCTAGTGGAAATAATCGTGAAGATTAACAATGTCAAGGGCACAGACAAGCCACTGCTTACTGAGAGTATCTAATATGTCCAGATATGTGGCTGATATATTATATATATGTATATATATCCACAAACTTATACCATATTGAGAAGAGTTAGACGATGGAATACTTCTCTGTTACTATTTCATTCAAACGACTTAACATTTTTATGTAATTTGTAATAGCAATGCAACAAACATTTAATTTCTTTAAATATTATATCGAATTCTCTTATCGCTGGTGGCACTTACAGCTTCTTTGTTCACATTTAATAGAATAGAAATAGCCATCTCACCCGTGTATATAACGAGGCCTGTGGCTTGACCTGACGCCACGACGCAGCCACTCCACAACGTGTTCTCAATGTCCAAAGAGTCGCGTTCCTCCTCGTCCAATCGAATACAAGTCCCTATGAACGAGTGTATGTCCTTCTCGGGTTTCTCAACAAATATCTGAGCGTTTATATCCAGGAGATGGGCGTCGGTCGGCAGCTTTTGCGTTGATGAAAGAGGTATCCTGTGTTGAAATATAAGTATCGTTTATTAGGTCGACGGTCACTGGTAGACTACACACTATGAGATGACAGCATATTACATTTTCCTGCCAATGATTCTTTTTAAATGATACTAAAGATTTTCGATTTCGAAAAAATTCGTGATCTTACTAGAGAATAAGATGCTAGGTGTTGACGTCTTTTTATTGCATAGATGGGTGGACGAGCTCACAGTCCACCCGGTTGTAAGTGGTTACCGGAGCCCATAGACATCTATAACGTAAATGCCGCCGCCCACCATGAGATATGAGTTCTAAGGTATCAGTATAGCTACAACGGCTGCTCCACCCTTCAAACCGAAACGCATTACTGCTTCACGGCTGAAATAGGCAGGGTGCTGGTACCTACCCTATCTATTCTATTCGAAATCTCGTATTTAAAATTAATGTTTTTATGACACTCAGCGTCTGTTGACCAGTTGAGCTGAAACTATGTTCAGTTTTTGTGAGAGAAAGGCTTTTTTTACATATTTTTTGTATCGAATGGATGTTTCCTCACATATCTGTGATTGTTACTGAGATGACAACGGGTTCAACTAGTACAAAATTAAGTATTAAAATTATATAATCATTTAAATAATTACAGGAAGAGTACATGTAACAAAGCTTTCTTTGTGAGTCATAGCTACATAAGAGCATTATCACCAGTATCATATATATTATTATATATATAAGGTTAAAAACAGGAAACTGTTGGTTAACATTATAATATTTATAGAATATGATTCCATTATTGAATTACTTTACAAGTTAGATTTTTTTGGGTTAACAATTGAAAACACAGCATTGGATGTAATCTATGAAATTGATGGTTTGCTATGAAATTAAAAATTTTTCATGAAAAAACATGAGTTCATTTTAGTTTCATTGCCGTTGTACACAGATGTGTATACGGCTCATCCGATGGTGAGTGGTTATCGTCGGTCATGGGTGTCAGCAATGCCAGGGACATGGCCAAGCTCAATGCCTACCGCAATAATCTTAGTAGTAATGTGGTAATGGCTATCCTATTCTTAAAAAAACTTGAGCACTGTGTAATTTTTATAGCAAAAGGCTAGTGATACTGAACTGTTAAATTTGATAATTCTTATTAAATATATGATACAACAGAGGGTTATGACCGATTTAGTGGTAAATATTTACGACCGAGGGTTGGGATTTACTACCAGGCTATATATGTAGTCGTCGTGGTCTAAAGGATGAGACGTCCGGTGCATTCGTCTGAAGCGATGCACCGGTGTTCGAATCCCGCAGGCGGGTACTAATTTTTCTATTGAAATGCGTACTCAACAAATGTTCACGATTGACTACCACAGTGAAGGAATAACATCGTGTAATAAAAATCAAACCCGTAAAATTATAATTTGCGTAATCACTGGTGGTAGGACCTCTTGGGAGTCCGCACGGGGAGGTACCACCACTCGCCTATTTCCGCCGTGAGGCAGTAATGCGTTTCGGTTCGTAGGGTGGGCTAGCCGTTGTAACTATACTGAGACCTTAGAACTTATATCTCGAGGTGGGTGGCGCATTTACGTTGTTGATGTCTATGGGCTCCAGTAACTACTTAACATCAAGTGGGCTGTGAGCTCGTCCATCCACCTAGGCAATAAAAAATAAAAACTATAACAAGTTAATGCCAAATTAAAATTACCGTAATTTCCAATCAATCTCTCCATCCAACTGGTCAGTCCTTATGAATACTGTACCCATGGTCTCATTAGTTCTAAGAAGTATCATGTCAGCAGGTACTCTTTGCCCTTTATGCAGCATTACAATGTCTCCAACACGCAGTTCTGATGCTGCGACATATTCCATTTGAAATGGACGGTAGTCTTCTATTGGAGTATCTAGTACTATTCTTTCATATTTCTGTCTATTCACTTCTTTATCTCTCCTATAAAATTCAGTAATATTAAAACAAAGAACAAAAAGCACCAAGGTTACAAGAGATTGTTAAATAAAAATCATGCAAATATTATTTATTTTCTATATGTAGTAACATTTTCAAATAATGATGATGCTGCACAATTATTAAGAACAATTTATTAAACTGCTCAAAGATTGTTTTATCTGATACTTAGATTAAATAAATCACATTAATGTGTAGTGTGTGAAAGAAAAAAAATACAATTTAACAAATTTTAAACTAAAATTAATAGTTAGTAGCATGTCCACAGCTTTTAATTGCTGCATTACACTGGCAAGGTTTGACTTTATAAATTTTTAGCATTTCCCAAGAGAAACAGTATATAATTTTACAGCACTAAATAGTGCCAAAATTATACAAATAGTGACCTACAACCACTGAGTGCAGAGCATTCTCTATTTAAATTTGAATAAAAAACTATTCACATTCTTAAGATTATGTGACAAGCCAGTAAGTAGTAATACTACATTCAGATCTAATGTATAAAGTTTATTGAATTTTTAACTTATCCTTGGTATTAACAAATATACTGCAAGTATGTGAAAGTTTTTATTTGTATTTTTTTAAAAATATATCATTCGTTGTACATTTTACATACATTCTTAGTAATTTGAAAAAATCTTTCCTGTAAATAAGTGTTTTTAATTATATGATCACAACTTAATGTATTCTATAATCAATTTGAAATTAAGCTTTGAGAGCAATGAAAATTATGACCAAATGAATTTTCGATTGAGTAAAATGCAAATATTCTTACCTATATCTTCTATAATCATCTACTGCTTCCCTGAACAATGTTACAGCTAAAACAAAACATAGTGGTCCCCAGTAGGTGTACAGGTATCCAATGCGAATGCTTGGAATGAACTGACTAACCGCCATCACAAGAAAATACATATTGAGAAAGAATCTGAACTGTTCATATAAAACTAGGGGTAGGAATGTTATGAGGTTGTATTTCTGAAATTAGAGAAATTATTTTACATTAATCTTATTACTGATCTCAATTAAAATTTATTTAGAATATGTTATATAGATCATCCTTTCCCAAAGTGGGCGATGACACCCCCTTGTGGGCGCTGCAGGCCTAAAATGGGGTGGTAAGAGACCCAGAAAAAAAATGGGAGTGTTGTGTAGAGGTTTGGGAGGCGATTTGTAATTTCATCTAGGAGGACTCTTAAACACCAACTGTGCTCTCGCTATAGTGGTTATTAAGTAGGTGAAAAAATGGGGGCACTAAAAATAATTTATTCTCAAAGTGGGCAGTAGATAAAATAAGTTTGGGAGCCCCTGATATAGATGAAATAATCTACTTGCATAGTGTTGAACCATTAAAATTGTGGTATCCAGATCCCATAGATATATAAATAATACAACTACAACTAGATGGGAATGCAAAATTAAGTGATAGCTTAAAGGATAACAATTTAATTGTTTCTCACCTGATTGCAAACATAATTGGGAGGAAACTCCTCATCAGGTAAGTGTCCCAAGTTAATTGCTCGAGAACTAAGTTCCTTCTTTTTAAATCTTGATAACAGTAGCCTAAAAAAATTCACAAACATTAGCAACATTTAGAGTTGAATGAAAATTTATGATTTTATTTAAAAAAATCGCTTGTTTGAAAATACTTTTACATGGTTTTAGAAGACACTGCTAATAGTAACAAAAATCCTTCAGACTGTATTATAGATTAGTACTTGCCCAATAATATCAATGAACAAAAAGTAAGTTAAGAACGCCATCAACAATGATGTTTTTGTTCACTAATTGAGTGACTGTTTCCTACTGTTTGTAGTGTCAGTTGTGTTAGGGTAATGTTAGTGCAATTTCTGATGAGTTGGTATTTAATGAGATGGATAGATAAGATATTTATTGAATAATTAATTTAAGTTCCTAGTACTAAGTAATTTAGGGTGTGTTTTTTAAATATGCACATACTTAGATACAACGGTAGGCGTGTCAAATCAGGTGATAGTTATTGTTATTGATTTATATTGTACAAAATTAACAAATGTTTCAATAGTTATCATTCCTGCCTAAGGTATAAGATATAAAAAGTTCCATCTAATATAAATTAAAAATAGTTAATTTCAGACAACAAAGAAAATATACACAAACAACAATTACAAACCAAGACAGAAGAGATTTTCTTTTAGGCCTCATTAGTAAAGGTGTTGTTTCCATTGTAATGTTTTAAACTTATGTGTAATATAACAAAACCCAAGTTCAAATTTGATGTTTTGAATTTTTGGGTGAACGAAACATAAAAAGGAAAAACACAAGCATTCAACTTGCAGAAAACAAAGTTTACAACAGTGTCACGAAGTTGATTAATTTTTACTTCATACTTCATACATACTATTTAAGTGTATAATCTATATCATACATAGACTATAGACGAGTGAAAACAATTGTTATCTACATTTTTTTTAGGGATTTTATGACCTGGTGAGTATGACCTTTAAGTAAAATCTTAATTTTATTTTATTGAAAACTTTTTTACATGTAAAATGATATTATGAAATGAAATGAAGTTGATTAATATGAAACATGGCATGAAATGAGACGAGATGAGATAAAATGGTGGTCATTTATTAAGACTTTTTCAGTGGATTTTTGGAGGATCTCGAGAAGTTATGTTTAGCGGCTTTCATTTTCCCACGTTTGTGCAGATACTAAATAAAACAAATCACACAAATTCACTCCTCGTGTTCCCGCCAAAAATCCGTCTACATTTTTTACTTTAGGTTCTGCACAGATTCAAAGATTTTCTTCCTATTTTCTGTATGGCAATTGGCTTTTTTTATAGTTTTTAAAAACTTTATTATTGCTCTTTATTCAAATCTTCAATTATTAATTAATTTTATATTTTTACATTGCTTTGAAGTAAAAATATTATTATCTAGAATTAGAATTTTTTACTGGTGGTAGGACCTCTTGTGAGTCCGCACGGGTAGGTACCACCACCCCGCCTATTTCTGCCGTGAAGCAGTAATGCGTTTCGGTTTGAAGGGTGGGGTAGCCGTTGTAACTATACTGACACCTTAGAACTTATTTTATTTTTTATTTTTTTATTGCTTAGATGGGTGGACGAGCTCACAGCCCACCTGGTGTTAAGTGGTTACTGGAGCCCATAGACATCCACAACGTAAATGCGCCACCCACCTTGAGATACAAGTTCTAAGGTCTCAAGTATAGTAACGACGGCTGCCCCACCCTTCAAACCGAAACGCATTACTGCTTCACGGCAGAAATAAGTAGGGTGGTGGTACCCACCCGCGCGGACTCACAAGAGGTCCTACCACCAGTAATTACGCAAATTATAATTTTGCGGGTTTCATTTTTATTACACGATGTTATTCTTTCACCGTGGAAGTCAATCGTGAACATTTGTTGAGTACGTATTTTATTAGGTATATCTCGAGGTGGGTGGCGCATTTACATTGTAGATGTCTATGGGCTCCAGTAACCACTTAACACCAGGTGGGCTGTGAGCTCGTCCACCCACCTAAGCAATAAAAAAAAAAGAAAGAATCGACTAAAATGATATTAGAAAAAATATATTTAATGAAATGAGATGAGATGATCACATCTTCACACATCACATTTAATTTTATTAATTAGCCACAAATGTAGAAAAATGAAACAAAGGCGCTGAATATAACTTCTTGGGATCCTCCAAAAAGTCCAATGAAAGAGTCTTACTAAATGACCACCATTTTACTGAGATTAAATTTCATCCCATATCATCTCATTTCATTTCGTTTTCATTCAAATTAAAATAAGACTTGACCTAAAGGTCTTAGTTACTAGGTCATAAAAACCCTTACAAAAAAAGATATGACGTCTATGATATCTTATGAATGAAATTGAATAGGTGTGCAAGTTATGGCAACACAGTACAGAAAAGTAAATAAATATGGCAGCCAAGGACATGGTGGGTGTGTAAATTTGTAAAGCAGTACGCGAACGTATTAGGTGATAAGGTGCGCGTTTGGTCTGCAATGAATATATAAATCCGAGTTAATAGTGAATGTATTTCAGTGATTATTATTGGACATATAATTAAGAATTTATTAAATCGATGACTCCGTGCAATGAACAAATTGAATTGAACTTATGTTGTGTTGGAAATTCTGCTGTGTAGTCATAAAGTAAGTTTTATTACAGATATGCTAACACCTTAAACTCTGTAAGTTCTAAGTTGTTTGTGTCGTCAAGATGTTTTATAGCAGTGGTGTTGAATTGGTTCCGGGGTGCCATTGCGGCTGTCGCGGCGACCGGGCACACCTCCGTTGACCTATTTTCTGGTTATTGCATCCAACCTAACTATTTATGTCTAGGGGTTTAAAGTAGGGCGACGCCGACTTGCATCTTAAGAGTCTTTAATTGAATTCTAAGGACAGTGGGGGTTTGAATTATAGTTTCAAGAGGATCGTAAGTCTTTTTAGTAATTTAGCAAGGGATCAAATAAAGCTTTATTCAAGATTTTCTATTTCCAACATCTTTCAAATGCTATCTGCAAAATAAGGCAACACTTCAAGAACCTGCAATTATACTGGATCAGGAGTATTCAAAGCTATTAAATGCATTTTTTTTTAACTACAGAATTACCTTTAATAAAATTCCTTTACCTAATTACAGGTACTGAAATAAATAAATAAATGAACAGTCCATGCAACATAATGAACTCAAATACAGATAAAGTGATATTTTATATCAAAGAAATTCAAAAGGCATCAGTATGATGGACTCAGAACTACCACCGGGAAGCTGCAATTCCACTGGACATCTGTCCACAATAGGATATCACACCTTGCCTGGTAAGTCGATTATTAAAAAAAATAGAAGATTACAGTAATAACCATTGTAGACATTTTAATCAATAAATAGCTAGTTCTAGATGCACTTCATGAGTTATGCAGGCTTACATTGTAAATCTTTCCAATTTATTCAAATGTTGTTAAATATTTTATATAATAACAAAACAAGGGTTAAAATTTATGATCATTCTAAAATTAACGAAAATTAAAGATTTTATAAAATTGAAACCGACCTTAAAATTATAAATGAAAAAGAACAAAAAGGCTGGTCTAAATTTAGATTTCTTCCATGTTATTAGTGCTGGAAACACATGAAATGAAAAAGGTACAGCCAGACTCTCAGTATGAAATGTTTTTAACAAAAACATTGATTGAGACCGGGAATGGATAGTAACATTGTAAAGTTTGTTTGACCTAAATCATTGGATATGATATGCTTGTAAACTCGTAAAATTATGTGACCATGCTGGTGTACAAATCTCATCCATTACATTATTTAAGTATCCAAATGTTTGCTGCATCTGGAATGAAAAACTGTATCTCACACACCTACATCATTTGCTTGTTTTAAGCTGTTTAAATCTACTAACGAAATGGTTTCCTCACAACTCAAGTCATTACAAGATGTGCTTATAAGGATCAATAAAATATTTAACATTTAACAAAACAAATATTTTTGTGGTTTTGTTTCTCTGATTTTATTTCATTATTTTTTTAACATTTAAGAGGGTAGACAAGCTCACAGCCCACCTGGTGTTAAGTGGTTACTGGAGTCCGTAGACGTCTACGACGTAAATGCGCCACCCACCATGAGGTATAAGCTCTAAGGTCTGAAGTATAGTTACAACGGCTGCCCCACCCTTCAAACCGAAATGCATTACTGCTTCACGGCAGAAATAGGCGGGGTGGTGGTACCTACCCGCTCGGACTCACAAGAGTTTCTACCACCAGTAAAAAAGGAGTTTTAGGGCCCTCCGCACCAAAGGACTCCTCTGCACTCTTACGTCCGTCGCCCAGAACTTAGACATGATTAGAATAATAGACCCTTAGTGCAATCCAGCACAATACCGTCCGTGAAACACTGCCAAATTATTTCATATTTCTTTTCATCCCAATGATTTGTCATCTCTGCTGTTATTCATATACATTGAACAAACATCGTATTGTGTACACCCATGAATAATAATTTGATGACATCATATTATTTTTGACATGTTTGGATTTGTGTTAATTAGATATGAAACAAGTAATTGCTAAGTAACTCCCACTTACGCGAGTTGTAGATGTGTGTGTGTGTGAATAAAAAATTCGAATACTTTACTGGACCTTTTAAATAGGTAACATTTTTTTCGGTTAACACTCAAACTTAATTTTTTTTAATGCCCATGTAGGCAGCCTACAGGAGCCCTGACGGTAAGTGGTTACGGTCACTCATAGACGTCAGCAGTGCCAGTTTTATTACTCTACCTTTGCTGGTAGCCTTAGAAGACTATGCCAGTGTTAACGTACGAGTAGCAACTCCTACCTACAGAGTATACTTACTTAGTCTGGCCATAAATACTGTTACAATTAAAAATAAACAAAATATTACATTTGAATTTGGAATCTGTAATTTTTATATAATTGCTCATTGAGTTTTCGCATTTTGGCGCCAATACATTGTACAATATTTTGCGATATTAAAATAGAGTGAGGTGATAAAGAGAACCGAATCGCTGTGATTGCATTACACAAAGTAGGTATGGAGCCAAATGCAATTTTTAAAACTCTCCATACACTTGGTATTAGTAAAATATTTGTGTACTGGGCTATTAATAGGTGCAATGAGACCTCCTCTGTTTGTGACAGAAAAAGATCTGGCCATCCACGTAGTGTTCGTACGAAAAAGGTAGTCAAAGCAGCAAGGGAAAGAATTCGAAGAAATCCTGTCCGAAAGCAAAAGATTTTATCTTGGGAGATGAAGATAGCACCTAGAACCATGTCGCGTATTTTAAAAGATGACTTAGAACTTGCAGCCTATAAGAAACGTACTGGTCATTTCTTAACTAATAATTCAAAAGAGAATAGGGTGGTAAAATTGAAACAACTACTGAAGCGGTACGCAAAGGAAGATCATAGAAAAATTTTGTTTACGGATAAGAATTTTTTTACAATTGAGTAACATTTTGACAAACAAAATGACCGTATTTATGCTCAAAGCTCTAAGGAAGCTTCCCAATTAGTCGACAGAGTGCAACGCGGGCACTATCCGACTTCAGTGAATTGCCTTTGTAGGCAGACGGGCATACGGCCCACCTGATGGTGAGTGGTTACCGTCGCCCATGGACTTCAGCAATGCCAGGGGCAGAGCCAAGCCGCTGCCTACCGCTTAATACTCTCCATAAGCCTCGTTTGAAGAAGGACATGTCATAGCGCTCGGGAAACACCGTGGAGGGGAGCTCATTCCATAGCCGGATGGTACGTGGCAAAAAAGATCTCTGGAAACGCACTGTGGATGACCGCAGTGGCTCCAGGTAGTATGGATGAACTCTACTCCGGTGGCGGGCGGTGCGATGGTAAAAACGAGATGCTGGTATCATCTCGAACAATTCCTCAGAGCACTCCCCATGGAACATACGGTACAAAATACAGAGGGAACCGAAGTCCCTCCGCAGACCCAGAGGCTCCAAACGATCCGAGAGAATGGGATTATCGACAATCCGAACGGCCCTCCTCTGTATGGAGTCAAATGGAAGAAGCTGGTATTTGGGAGCCCCGGCCCAGAGATGGGAGCAGTACTCCACGCGAGGCCGGACTTGTGCTTTATAAAGCAAAAGTCTTTGTCCAGGCGTGAAGTACCGCTTCGCTCTGTTGAGGACTCCCAGCATTTTGGACGCCAACTTGGATGTGATCGTTGTTCGATGTTCAATAATCAAGAATGGTCCTTCCAGCAAGACTCGGCGCCAGGTCATAAAACTCGGTCTACGCAGTCTTGGTTGGGAACGAAGACTGGCCGTCGTCTAGTCCCGATCGTAATCCGCTGGATTATGATTTATGGTCAGGCTTAGAGAGTACGGCTTGCTCTAAACGCCATGACAATTTGGAGTCCCTAAAACAATCCGTACGATTGGCAGTGAAAAATTTTCCCATGGAAAGAGTGCGTGCTTCTATTGATAACTGGCCTCAACGTTTAAAGGACTGTATTGCAGCCAATGGAGACTACATCGAATAAGCTTTTTATACTTTAAATTGTTTTATATTTATGTATTAAACTAACGCACGGTAAAAGTAATAAATGTTATTTGCAATATAATTTTTATTTATTTTTAATTGTAACAGTATTTATGGCCAGATTAAGTATAAAGAAAAGTCAAGTCTATAGGCTTCAGTTAATTATACATATTATTTAACGACATATTCGAACGGCAATGCATGACTGTTTACGACCAGCCCACTGAGCTTCTCGCCGGATCTTCTCAGTTGTTCGCGTTTCCGATCCGGTGGTAGATTCTGCGAAGCACTGCTCTTGCTAGGGCCAATGTTAGCAACTTTCCCGGTTAAAGCCCCGTGAGCTCACCTACACGTCAAGGAGAAGCAGAAATAGCCTCTCAAGCCTATTAGCATAGGTAGGGGGGAAAACTGTTTTACGGCAAAAATCGACAGGATCGTGGTACCCACCAGAGCTTGTTACTACATTCTACCATCAGTAAAGAACAGTCGGAAATCGTTCTACGCTGATGTAATACTAATAGAACACTGTACCTACCCGTTCTCCTGTGAATACCTTCTTAGTCGCATTTCCGACGACACCCAGGGAAAAATATTAAGTAGATGCACGAAGTAATGTAAAGATATAGACAAAATTTGGGTGTCTGACCTTATCAAAGAAAATAGACAAATTTTCTCGTTTTTTTTTATTGCCCGTGAAGGCAGACGAGCACATGGCCCACCTGATGGTGAGTGGTTACCGTCGCCCATGGACTGCCTACGATTCTATTAATAGGGATCCGGAATTATTAGAAGTACTCAATACAGTGTTCGGTCTGCGATATTATTTGATATTTATATAGTTCAGCCACCATACTACTTACCTGATGATTATGAATGAATTATAAATATCTAATAGTGCTAGAGCCTTGAATCACGCGTAGATTTAAAGATAAAGTTTTTCTTTCTTTAAATATAATTGAATAACGCTATATAAAGATTTTGCATCAATAAAAACCGATTAAACAGATAAGAAGATAATTTTTAATTGTTTCAATGATTTGTTTATCTTCTTATAATTTGTGTTATGTTCATAGATAAAGTAGTGTCTCTTAATCTGATATTATACGATAAGTATTTAAATATTTCAGTTTACTTCGATATTTAACACTAATCATACCAACATTTACTGGTACCTATTTCTGCCATAGTGGGTAGACAAGTATAATAACTGTAGATTAATTGGTAAGAAAAAAAACGCGCAAAAGCAATAAGATGATGCGTGAATTTTCATTGCAAAAGTTCGAAATGGGTCATTTGACCCGTTATGGTATGTTTAGTGTTAATCCGTTTTATAATTGTCGCAGGCCGCATGCACCATTCGGCCAGTACACCGGCCGGTGTGGATGGCGCTGGCGGGGGCTCCAGGACGCCCCCCGCGACCCCCAAGAAGGGCGGCAAGATGCTCGCGGTCAGAGTTCAGATGCTAGATGACACTATATCAATGTTTCAAATCCAGGTGAGTCGATAGTCTTTTCGATTTCATCTTTTTTTGTTTTGTTTCTTAGATGGGTGGACGAGCGCACAGCCCACCTGATGTTAAGTGGTTACTGGAGCCCATAGACATCTACAACGTAAATGCGCCACCTACCTTGAGATATAAGTTCTAAAGCATTTTTTCTAAAGTTTCTAAAGAATTGAGTCTGGCCAATGAAGCATTGTATATATCATTATTAAAAACATAAATATTAGTTTTTGTCTAACATAAATTGATGCATAAATTTTTTTAGATAAAATAATAAGCAATATTGATACATATTATCAGGGCCGGTGGGAGCCAAAATTTTCTCCCGGACAACCGGTCTTTTCAGCGCCTCCTATTCAAAAATATAATTATGATAATTGAACAATTACATTATGTATAATAGTCGCACAATATAAAATTAGAAAAAAAAACTGCTTGGCCCGAGGTCAAATTTTCATCTGCAATGTGGCCCGATTATCAAAATATTTGCCCACCCCTGTTCTAAAGTCTCAGTATAGTTGCAACGGCTGCCCCGCCCTTCAAACCGAAACGCATTACTGCTTCACGGCAGAAATAGGTGGGCTGGTGGTACCTACTCGTGCGGACTCACAAGAGGTCCTACCACCAGTAAAGAAGATGTATAGTTTTGTTGGTGTATCCGTTGCTTACAAGTCCCCCAATTTGTTAACGGGAGAGCCACAGGATTCGGATTAGGACATTTATCTATGATATAACTAAATAGTTATGTACATATATACTTATAGTTTGAGAACTTAATCAAATCGTGCATTTCCGATCGCGATGTCACAACAAAAATGAGCAGAGTAAATAAAATATCCACGAAATGTGTAAAAATTTACATCGTTTACATGCGTCTTTTTAAAGCGCTCGTCACGATGAGATGCAAGGGTTTATAAGCGTCGCATGATTGATGAAGATTGATGCTAACGATTCACTCGAGTTTATTTTCATCGATCGACTTAGAATAGACCAGAAATGTGGACTTCTATTGAATCGAAATAAATGAGAAACGGTATAAGGAAATTAGAGTTGTGGGATGTGAGAGAAGTCTGAGGCAACTGAATGATTGATACCTCGACACAAGCAGGAAACAATATTGACAAATTTCGAGTAACCCTTAACATTAGAACCGCATAAGATTGAATCTGTGATTATTTTCTACTATATCTAGCTGCTAACCTACAACGTCTATATATTAATACGTGAAGCAAAAACTTTGTATCCCTTTTTACGAAAATTGCGCGGACGGAAGAGTATGAAAGTTTCCACACTTATAGAGAATATAGAGAAGAAGTGCACAATGCTAACATTTTTTTTAAATAATGCATAAAAGATACATTATATCAATAAAGAAAACATTACACACACTACATACCATGTATTTGACGCACACACGCATGCATACTATTTATTGCAAACTTTTGTTCTTGACGTCTGGTCAACTTGAGAATAGATTAAATATTGGTAGCCTTGGCGAAATTTGTGATTATAGAAGTATAAAATACAATCATAATAGTGTACAAACTTACAATTCCAATTAATTATAGTCGAATTTCGACTACTGCGGGACCTCTAGTTAGTATTATTTAACGAAATGTTTTCCCAAAATTGGTCGCACATTCGTTTGTTATATATTACATGTTATATACCAGCGCATTTTTTTTTTTAAATTATGTCTATTAGTGGCAGCTCACGGCCATAGTTAGCCACAGGAGTCAGTCATAGGAATTAAAATATCACAATTTTTTAAATATACTTTTCGATAATCTCGTCCTTTTACTAAATGTATCAACATAACAACACTTTATTCGATGTTTTCCAAAAAACACATTTTTTTTATTTGGGTCTCTATAATTCTAAAGATGCGATGTCTATGGATTCTAGATACAACCCGACTACAGATAAGCTTGAACTCGTTGACCCATCTAAGCAATAAAAAATAACTTAAAATAGTTGATTAAGTGAACACATATAATATTTCATTTATAAGCACGAGGTGAACCCAATTCCAGGCGCTTTTATCTTTTCGTCAACGAACCGAGTTCAATCAGCCGTCGCGAGATGAGGTGTTGATCTCACGCGACATAAAAGTAATGTGGACGTTGCGCGCCTTATCTGACTTTTGATAACGTTTTTAATTGAAATGACGCGTTGCCCTCGCAACGGGAGATTAGATTGTTCACGACCTTTTTTTTTAGTCTCAGGAAAGAATTTAAATGTCTTTTGGTGATACAACCAATACCGTCTTTACCATAAGGGCACACGGGGCCCGTGCCCAGGGCCCCCATTCTCAGGGGGCCCCGAAGGACCGACAATTTGGTTACCAATTGTAGTCGAGACCGCCATTTTCGTAGCTTAACAGCCTGGCCACGGGACATTCGCCGATGCGAATATTCGCGCGGTGCGAACGGCGAAGCGTCTAGCGACTAAAACAAGCGCATAGAAATGTACCTAACAAGCCACGCGCACCGGCGACCGGCGAAGCGACCGGCGAAATGTACCGAGCGAATCGCGCGATGCGGCGGGCGAGCAAAACAAATGCATGAATACGGACGGCGCGAGCCACGGAGTCGAGCGGTAGTCGCGGCGAATAGTGCAGTGATTAAATGAGTTTAGTTGTTTTCGCCGCGAAAAATTAACGCCGAAATTTTTATATTTTTTATTTATTTTTTATTTTATATTTTTAAAGTCGTCGTGGCCTAACGGACGTCCGGTGCAATCGTGTTGAGCGATGCACCGGTGTTCGAATATCAGGCGGGTACCAATTTTTGTAATGAAATACGTACTCAACAACACTCAACGTTCACGATTGATTTCCACGGTGAAGGAATAACATCGTGTGATAAAAATGAAATCTTCAAAATAATAATTTGCGTAATTACTGGTGGTAGGACCTCTTGTGAGTCTACACGGGTGGGTACTACCACCCTGCCTATTTCTGCCGTGAAGTAGTAATGCGTTTCGGTTTGAAGGGTGAGGCAGCCATTATAACTATACTTGAGACCTTAGAACTTATATCTCAAGGTGGGTGGCGCATTTACGTTGTGGATGTCTATGGGCTCCAGTAACCACTTAACACAAGGTGGGCTGTGAGCTCGTCCACCCATCTAAGCAATAAAAAAATAAAATAGCTGAAATACTAGCTAGACCAGCTATTTGGAAGTCTAGCCACCCAAAGTATTTCTCGTACTTCTTGTGGAATTCTCCATCTATAGGTATACTCCGATTCTTATTCAAATCATGTACTTCACAATCTTTTCCAAATAATAGGTCCTGAACCAAAAAACTATTAATTTGTAAGCAATATCGAGATAATTTCGATATAGACATTTCGCTGTCGGACTTCCTTACTAGTCGCGGCGGCGAACGTGAGTACCCGTGGCCTGCAAACGGTGCTGCGCGAATGGTCGCCTCGCCCACCGCTTCGCTGTTCGCACCGCCGATCCCCGTGGCCAGGCCGTAAGAGAATAAAAAATGAATTGCGAACAACAATGTTAGGCAGCGGCTTGGCTCTGCCCCTGGCATTGCTGAAGTCCATGGGCGACGGTAACCACTCACCATCAGGTGGGCCGTATGCCCGTCTGCCTACAAAGGCAATAAAAAAAAAAAAAAAAAAAAAAAAAGAACAACAATGTTACAAGAACGGCTGAGTAATTTGTCAATTATGGGCATAGAAAGTGATATCCTTCAAAAAGTTTACTTTAAAGATATAATGAAATATTTTGCTCAACAGAAATCCCGAAAGAAACCATTATCGTAATCGTAACCAAAAAACCAGCAGCATCCTAATATAATTAATATTATTATATCATACTGTATTTGATTACCTATAATAAATGGTCATACTCAGTAAAAAATGTTATTATAATTCGATTTTTTTACTTTCCAAAAGGGCCTCAAATTCTTGTGTGCCCAAGGGCCCCAGCCTAGTTTAAGACGTCCCTGGATGCAACGGTAACTCGTGTGCTTCTTCTAAGTATGTACATAGTTTGTCGGTGGTGTAAATGACCTCTCGTCGTAGTCGAAGCGCAAACTTGAGCGCTTAATAAAACAACGTTTTAGACAAAAAGATTACACGTAGGTATTCAGATAAATTATTCATGAATCAAAATCGACTTTGTTTTCGTTAGATATGTTAATTTTAGAAGTAAATTAATCAAAATTTGGTATTCAATACTGTGATACAGTGTGTTGTTTTTTTTTTGCGAAAATCTTTAGTATATTTAAGTTAACTAGTGGTCGCCCGGGAGTCGAAATTCGACTATAATTACATAATTCTAAAATTATAAGTTTGAACTTTATTAAGGGTCTGTTGTTAAAGACTATCATATACCTCAATAATAACAAATATAGGCCAAGGCCAAGGCTATACTATAGATGAATAATATTGAAAACAAAACAATATTAATCTATTCTCAATTTCACCAGACTTTAACAGTAAACTAAAGAGTATATATGCGTGTCAAATACACATAAGTGTGTGTAATGTTTTTTTATGGATTTAAAGTGTTTTTATGCACAAATAATAATAAAAAATGAATTTGCACTCCTTCGCTATGTAAACTATAAGTGTGGAAAATTCATACTCTCTCCGCGCAATTTTCGTAAAAAGGGGTACAAATTTTTTCTTCACGTATTACCTAATATATAGATTTATTATTTAATATGCCACACATTACACAAAAAAAGAAACAATTATTTTTGCACGTAATCCAGTGATACCGTATTCTTTGAATTGGTGCTTTTTGTTAAAGCAAACACAACACAAATAGCTTTAGTAATGAGAACTGTTCTGGACAATCTACTTGTTATTAAGGTAATCCTTACTACTAACTAGAATTTGTACATTCACATACCATTCGAATAGATGATGACCGAGCTTTGTTCGGTTTTTTTTTTGATAACGTCATCTTGTTGTCTCTAAAGCGGTTAGTTGCCCTCAATTAAGAAAAATAGTATCATTATTCGCCAAT